TTGTTATAACCAGATCGGACGTCCATCTTGGTGAAGTACTTTGCTCCCTGTAACCGTGTGATAAGGGATAAGGGAAGCGGCAAGGGGTAAGCGTTCTTGATCGTCCAATCATTGATATACCAATAATCTTGACAGGGTCGGAGATCTCCGCTTTTCTTTCCTACAAAGAAGAAACCACTGGCTTGTGGCGACTTAGATTCCGAGATAAAACCTTTCTTTACGTTTTCGTCAATGAATGCTTTGACAGCAGTTCGTTCGGCGATAGAGAGGGGATAGATTTTCGACGTTTTGGGGATGAATCTGGGTTTCGTTTCAATACGGTGGTCAATACCGGTGTAGAGACTCGTGTTTCTGTGGGCTCATATGGGCTCATATTACGAATTCTGATGACTGGCCTTCACGGCACAACTCGCACCATCACCCTCTAGTCATTCCCTATAGAGCGCACCACTTTCCCGCGGAACGCGCCATAGGCGTGATACTTTCCCGCACAATGCGCAGTATTCCCGCGTGCGCGCCTTGCGCGCTTTCTCGCGCTTAAGCGCACTATGTCGCACAGCATCCAGGAGCATCCATCCATCGTCCAACCAGTCCCTCGGTATGTCCCTTTTCGTTATCTGACCATATTTAGCATATTACACTTCCCATTTCGTTATGCACCCTTACTTTACATCACCTTACCTCACTTACATACTTAGAGCGCTTCCTATTCGGCTCCGAGCCCTGGGAGAGCGCTTAGGTAGAACTTACATACTCTCATGTTCGTTTTACACCCCAAAGCTTCCTACCACCATCTTACTACCACTCAGTATCTATCATCAGTTAGTTCCATGCAATGCATGTGTCCTTCATCATCTTGAGGCCCTAGCATCAGTCTATAGCTAGTGGCACTGTCAGTATCCATCTAGATCCGCGCTTTTCCTCTTATCAGTCTCAGTATCCGTCTTCTACACTTGTGCACCACTTGCACTACCTTCCCGCGCTTCGCGCACTTTCGCACTTCGCTTTCCCACGCGCGCTTTCTCGCGCTTTCACCGCCATTCACCAGGGTTGTTCAGCATCATTCCGTGGATCCTTGCTTTCCTTGCTTCCCCTTTAGGGTCAAACATTCTTGCATTCTGCGAGTATAGCAGCTAGGCAGAGCTGAGACTCACTTATACTGGCTGAGCACTTTTCTTATATGTGCCTGCCAGGTTGTGATACCCACACCGGGTCGTTCAGGAGGTAGTTGATTGAGACTGTCTTTAGCGAAGATATCGGCGAAGTCGTGGAGATAGGAGGGTACAAGTTCTTCGAAAGTTTTCTTCTTCTGTTCTAAGCCCGCAGCTAGAGCGAACTGCTGAGCTTTATTACTAACTTTTGCGTATTCCGTAGGCCGTGGCAGGGGTTTAATCGTGGGTTTCTGTTCAGAGAGACTTGTCCCATCTGGGGTCAATGGCGTATCCATGGTAGTATTCGAAATTACCCGGAGTTCGGATGCGTCGAGGGAATATTCTACCAGGAATTCGTCATCATCTAGATCGTACATAGAGACTTCTCGCACTGGTGCGGCAAAGTTTTCCTGTGTCCAGACGTCTTCCTTGGTATCAAAGGTCTCATCGTCTTCGTCGGGGATGGGGAGTAGAGCGGGGAGTGAATCAATGGTGGGAAGAACGGATGGTGCTTCTTCGTCAACGATCTCTTCGATGGTCAATTTTGGATAAACAACAGGAGTTTCGATAATTGGTGCTTTCCTAAGTTTGGATTGCTTCCAAGTCCGATCGATGGATTCTTGTCGAAATAGAAGTGGAAGGTTGTTCTTCTTTCTTTCTTTGTCGACTTCTTCTTCAACTTGATTACTCTTTTCCATTCGGGAAAGGATGAGGGTTTCGGCTGCCCAGTCAATAACCGGGTTCATAGCCCGTAGCCAGGGGATTCCTAGAAGAATCTGGTCTCTTCTGCCGAGACGTGTGACATTAAACTTCCCAATCATGGTTCGTTCGTCAATTTTGACGGTGAGAACGCAGTATCGGCATATAGCTCCGCTTTTGGAATAGCTTCCATCGGCGGTAGTAACCCGGAAGGGTTTACTAAGGGCATGGGTTTGGATCTTGTGCTTTTTGACAAAGTCTTCTGAGATAAAGGTTCCGGCTGCTCCGGAATCAACAACTGCGGTGGTTTCAACGGTTCTCAGACGTGTTTTCGAAATGAGGGAAAGGGGAACCCGAAGTTCTTTTCGTTCACCAACTTTTCGTACAAGTCTTATGGGTACATCGAGAGATACTGACATTGATCCAGTCTCCCATATCAAAAATCCTCGTTGAGACGACGGACTTCCGCTTCTTCTTCTTCTTCTTCTTCTTCATCGCTGCTTTCTACTTCTTTGCGGCATACCAGAGTCTTTCCTTTCTTCTTCTCCGGACAGTTCTTAAAAAGATGTCCGGTCTTGTGACAGGTGAAACATTTTCCGGTTCGGAAATGTTCCGTGCGTTCTTCTTCAGAAAGCCGATCGATCACCATGGCGTTGGAATCTTTAGATGGTACGTATCGGTTGGATCCGAAATTCTTTTTCTTCTGGGGTTGGTGACGTGCCCTGATGGCGTTCAAGTGAAGGCGTGAGTTGTCGAGATTGATACAGGTGGAGAGGACAACTTCGAAATCATCAGAGACGTCGCCCGTGCCGTAAAGGCGAGCGAGCAATCCTGGGTGTAATCCGTCTAGGAAGAACTGCTTCTTAGCGACGTCACCTTGAATTCCTGCCCGTCGTGTGAGCATCAAGAATTCCGAGATATAATCTTGGAGTTCGGTTCCTTGTTTCAGATTACGGAGCTTGGCTAACGCGGTTCCCGAAGGATCAAGCGGCCTAAATGCGCTTTTGAAGTCGGTGAGGAATTCAGCCCATGTACCATATCCTTTGACGAGGCCTGCGGTAGTCTTGTTGTTGGGGTCCTGCGCTTGTCTGAGGAAGTCTTCCTTCCAGTAGCGTGCGTTCCCTTCGTTCATGAAGGAGGTCACGAAAATGATTTTCTGTTTATCATCGACATAGATCTTCTCGTTGATATCGAGGTAAGACATGCACGACATCAGAAATCCTTCGGATTTATCTCTATCCCCGTCAAAGACTGGGGGAGATCTAATTTTGATTTCAATGGGTTTTGTGGAAGACATCGGGGGATTCAAAGGTGGTAGGGGTGGTACAGCACCTAAGTTCAAAGCGCCAAAAATTGGTGTTAATGACGTCAGCTTGTTTTCAGCGTCTGGGGACCTGGGGTTCTATCTGTCGTGATGACCAGGGTTTGTTCTGTTCTGAGTTACAACGCGTGATAGCGATGTATTCGTGGAAGACTTTAATCTTTTGTTATGAACTAGGATAGTTCAGACGTATGGCTACTCGATAAGAGTAATCGGCCAAGGTTGGTTCAAGGCTTCGGCGTATACCGAAGTTCGATGTTCTAAGACAAGACAAGGAGAGTGTCCTCGACTTGAATCAAGTTCAATACGACTTAAGATTGGAGGTCTTAAGCGAAGGAAGTTCCAGGTAAAACCTAGTAAGATTAAAGTAAAGAACTACATGGTACAGGACGAGTTTATATAGTACATGGAAATGACTTTAGGGCCGGTACGATGAGATCATAGGGATGAGTCAGAGATAAGACGAGTCAGAGATAACAAAAATAGATCATCTAGCGACGGCAAGATGCGATCGTGATGTAATACAATGATGTAAGAGAAAGAAAATGAATAGGGGCGTACTTGACTGTAACAACTGCACGAAATCATAGACCAACATTGTTTGTTCCTACGGATCCATCAGTTGCAATGAGTTGGTTGATTTTAATTTTTTAATTGACCGACTACATTACTACTATTACTAATTTAGTCCTCTGCTAAGTTGAAAGCTTAGATAATGTAGTGTGTCATCATTTGACACCACTCATTGGTTTATCTCTTCTCCATTGGTGACTCTTCCAGCATTTTGCATCAAGATGTCCACCACCATTGTCCACTGCCCATCCTGCAAGAAAACCTTCAAGACACACTCACGTCTGAATGCGCATATTGCACTAGCCCCAAATTGTAAGTGGGTTTGAACTATGTACAATGATGAAAATGAGGTCAAGACGAGAGATTATCAGTGTGTTAGGGAGTGTAGGCTCAGCCTAGGTTTGGGGTCTGCCGGGGGTGCCAGGGGTCTTGCCCGGGCCTCGAGGCACTTAGGTACTTATACCAAAGCATGTTTGTAGCTAGTCCCCATCCCATCCATCACCATTTTGCCTTTGTGTCTGGTTCGAGTCCGTTGTCCTTGTCTCAGTATGCCCTAATCCATCGGGAGCTGAGCAATCAGGAGGGTGGTCATATAGGGAATCAGGATGCAGACAATGCTCCAGCTGCTGAGTTTGCTGAAGTGGAGGAAGTGCAGCAACAGGGTGGTTCACCGTTGCAGCCTTATGCAAGGCTGCCTAATGAAGCCGCACATGATGACCATGAGGAGCCCATACTTGCGATCAACAAATTTCCAGAAGCAGGCAGGGTCTTGCAGATTGATGACACTGCTCATGCCACATACACCCGGGCCTGTCCTGACCTTCAGACTGAGGACAATCCATACCACCTTTTTTCAGTTGATGTGACTACAAGATAGCTCGGTGGGCCATACAGCAAGGGCCAAGTCAAAATGCCTTCTCAAAAATTTTGTCCATTGACGAGGTGAGCACGCAGAAGTGGCATTAATGTTATGTCTAAAGTATCTCTGCTAGGTAAAATATAAACTTGAAGTGTCTTACAAGAATGCCCATGCACTCCACCAAAAAATTGATCATGAACTCCCTGGTGTTTCTCCATGGTGTTGCAGTGTCATTCAGATTTCAGGCATTAACAAAGAATTTGAATTATTCATGTGAGATCCTGTCGAATGCATCAAATAACTGTGGGCTAATTCTGCCTATCTCAACCACCTCACCTATGCACTGGAACACCGCTTTGCAGATGAAGGGAAAGGCGAGCACATTTATGACAAATTGATGAGTGGCAATTGGTCTTGGGAGGTGCAGGTCTGTGATTTTGAATGTTTTTTTCGGACACTTCTTCCAGATGGCGCTACTCTTGTTCCTGTCATACTCAGCTCAGACAAGACCCAGCTCTGCCAATTTCGAGGTGATAAAACTGCATACCCCATCTATCTTACTATTGGCAACATCTTGAAGTCTATTTGCAACAAGCCATCCTTTCACGCCCAGAAACTTATCGGATACCTTCCGACCATTTCATTAGATGGGACAGATATATCAGCAAATAGTGCCTGCCTTACTCATGTGCAGCTCTTTCATTATGCCATGTGGATGGTTACCAGCTCACTGCGCACTGGACCTCTGACCAACGGCATAGAGCTTATAAGTGGAGATGGGGTAGTGCACCTCATATTTCCCGTGCTCGCTGCTTATGTGGCAGATTATCCAGGGTAAGCCTTGGTGACCTGCACGCGCTATGCCCAAACGTGTCCCAAGTGCTTTGTTACTAGGGATGAGCAAGGTGATCATGTCACTGGATATCCACAACAGCAACAACAGTCAGTTCACACCATTCGCCATGCTAGTCAACAATCAACCAGAGTTCGCACTGAAGCGGTTGTGAGAGACCATGGCTTAAATCTCATTCTCAACCCTTTCTGGATTGGGCTGCTGCACTGCAATATTCATTTGAAGGACAAGGATTGGGAGGTTCCAGTGACTAGCAGTAAGTGTAATTGATGCGCACTCACTATTTGGGAGCAGTGCAGCAGTGGTCGCAGCAGTTGCCACAGCAGTGGCACAGCATTTTCACGATGCCCAAAGCACATGCAGCAAGCTGAGTGAGATTCACTGCAGTCACTGTTGTGGTCATTGCAGGACATGGCAGTTTAGGGCAAGAAGTTACAAACCAGCACCCTTTCCGACTCTGACAGTAAAGACCGTCACAGTAAAGGTAAGTACTGTTGATGGCTGTATGGAATATGGTTTGGTTGGAGGTGCTTGTGACATAGTAGTGCTACTAATTAGACCCAAAATTATCCCACCTAGTAGGAGTCTTTTGAACGTGCTCACATATCTCAGTGAGTCTGTCACACTCATAGCAGACTCACACTGATACTTATTGAGGGCATCATACCCAATTTGCAAAATGTCCAGTCAAGATCTTTGTATCAGGGAAGATAGTGTTGATGCAAAGGTAAATACTTCATATCTTCTCCATTGTGCTTTGCTCACTTTATATCTAGATTATTTGATGTGACAATTTCATCTCTGGCTGCCATTCTTGCCATCAAAACTGGCCAACTTGATGTACCAAATCATATGGTACAACTACGCTCATCCAGTTTGTCACCATTCTCATTCGACTCATCACTTCTGTCCTTTCGACACTCGTGTTCCATCTCAGCATCACCCACCTGCCATGCTCACCAGCACCCACCCCACTCTTCTCACCCTCACACTCACGCACAATCATGCCTCATTCAGGGCACCCCTGCATTCACTACCTACACTAGCACCTACTTCACACATCCATCCTCCACAAATGCCCACTGCCACAACACCACTTGAGGCTTGAGCACCCACCACACAACACCGACCCACATCGACCACTGTCAATGCGACAGCAACTGATTACAAGGAGAGCGAGGGATTGGAAAGGAGAGAAGGAGAAAGAACCACAAGTGAGCACTCACATGCTATCTTACAGTCCCATCTTCCAGTCTTTTCCTCCATTTCTTAGGTTTGTGTCACTCCCTTCTTCACGCTGTGGGTATCACAACCTGGCAGGCACATATAAGAAAAGTGCTCAGCCAGTATAAGTGAGTCTCAGCTCTGCCTAGCTGCTATACTCGCAGGATGCAAGAACATTTGACCCTAAAGGGGAAGCAAGGAAAGCAAGGATCCACGGAATGATGCTGAACAACCCTGGTGAATGGTGGTGAAAGCGCGAGAAATGCGCTGCAGGCGTGCGCTGCAGGCGTGCGCAGGAAAGCGGAATGCGAAAGTGCACGAAGCGCGGGAAGGTAGTGCAAGCAGTGCACAGGTGTAGAAGACGTATTCTGAGACTGATAAGGGGAAAAGTGCAGATCTAGACAGATACTGATAGTGCCACTAGCTATAGACTGATGCTAGGGCCTCAAGACGATGATGGACACATGCATTGCATGGAACTAACTGGTGATAGATACTGAGTGGTAGGAAGGTGGTGGTAAGAAGCTAAGGTGGAATAGTTGGGTGTAAAACGAACATGAGAGTATGTAAGTTCTACCTAAGCGCTCTCCCAGGGCTCGGAGCTGAATAGGGAGCGCTCTAAGTATGTAAATGAGGTAAGGTGATGTAAAGTAAGGGTCCATGACGAAATAGGAAGTGTAATATGCCAAATATGGTCAGATAACGAAAAGGGACATACCAAAGGACTGGTTGGATGATGGATGGATGCTCCTGGATGATGCGCGACGCAGTGCACTTAAGCGCGCATGCAGGAATACTGTGCGTTGTGCGGGAAAGTAGCGCGCCTATGGCGCATTTCACGGGAAGTGGTGCGCTCCATGGTGGAAGTCATAGTGGACGATGGTGCGAGTTGTGCCATGAAACGCTAGTTGTCAGAATTCGTAAAATGAGCCCATATGTGCCTGCAGAAATGCAAGTCTCTACAACGCATCCTACAATTACCAACATCCTCATTATGCACCCATACTCCACTCGTGCAGGTTCAATGCCCTTATCGCTTGATGGACTTCCAAGTCATATTGATGCCACGACACTGCTGCAATCATGCTCATATGGAAACTCAAGCTTGGCACCTCTCACATTGCACATCAAATGTATGGCTTGCCCAAGATGCTGAGAGCTATCTGTGCACGCATCTTCATTGCTGCTGTGGCTGGGACTTCTGTACAACTTTTAGTACAAGTGTTCTGTTCTCCTTTGGATGGTTGCACAAGGATTTATATTAACAGATGTTTATACACTACATGATTAGCAGTTGTCTCTCTATGTCCTTCTTGGAAATGTGCTCAAATGTCTCTACGTCCTTGCAAGTGAAGTGTATAGCTGTCCATGTGTGAATCTGTGTGCAACTTCATAGCAGTATGGCAACATTGAATGAGCTGAAGACCCTGTCATATACCATATTCCCAGGTACAGATCCGAAGATCCGGATCTCAGATCCGATCCAGATCCGATGGACATATCTGTTGTCCGGTCCACAGATCCGATCTAATCCTTGTTTCATGTCCTGTTCATATAACTCTAACTATCGTTCATCTCCTTTTGGCATTCCTGTACACTGGTATACCAGTTATCCTTTACTTCCTGTTATGCTTACTGATCCGCTACACTTACTGATCCGCTTTAGCTTAGACTTCATTCCCGGTTATGATTCGTTATCCATCTGACTTACCGATATGCTGTACACATACTTTGCTTATACTTCATACATAGCCTCGTGTCCTTGCTTATTGATCATTCCATTAGTTATCCATAGTATATAAACCCTTGTACATGCGCTGTAGTATATCAGTTCGAATATCATCTTAGATTGCACTCATTCTGTCTGGACTCTAAGTCCATCCGTTATCCGTCCGGACTTGAGTACGATACTCTTGTCTACTCCGAGACTTAGGATTGATTCCTATAGTCTATATATCCGTCTCTGTCGTCGGACAGTCCTCGCCCATTAGTTTCTAGTTCGGATCTGATCCGGATTAGCCGTTACTATATATGTTCAATATCCGGAAGCCTTAACGGATCTGTTACGAGACTTATCCATCTCAATATACACGATACTCTAGCACTCTGAAATAAGGGGCAAGACTCGGGAAAGGGGCACAGCGCACGAGCTGAGGCCGAAGCCCTTCGGATCCGATACCTCTTGAGTACGGTCTTAACAGACCCGCATATTCAATTCCCTCAAAAACTTCCTTATCACAGTGAGAACGAACAAAAACAGATCTAGGACATATGGCCAACAATGCATGGGCTTGAGTGACTCATTGATCGCATGACAGCTACTAAGTACTAATGAATGATAGTTCTTATCACAGGGATCTGTCCAGGAGATCTTTCAATCACATTCCTTAATGCTCTCTCTCCAACCTCAAGTGACTCAACCTAAAAAAAAAACAGCATCCGTGATTCCTTCCACCATGGGCACATAATCTCTGGAAAGAGCAATTGTGAATGCTGAGATGTTAAGATAATCTGTAACTTACTCACCACTGAAAACACCAATGTAATGTCCACTTGTGATGCAGGTGAAGGGTGGGGTAGAATTGGTGTTTCGCTGGTATGTTGTATAGTATGCTGCGGTAGAAAAAGACACCGCAATCATCCGCTATAGCACCAGCGACTTTTGCATAGCTTTGCTCGCCCTCATAGAAAACAATCTCATCATGGTCCTCAGCATGCGCATATGATGGCGCCAATGATACATACACTCTGTTCTTGTCGCACAAAGTTAGTAGTGTTAACATATCACCAAGAAAACACAGCTTAGATAGTATGCCTGAATAAGAGTGAGACTCGTACAGAAATAAAAGATAGTACATACTAAAGATATATTCTGACAGCTCATTCAGACCCCCATCCAAGTCATGACAGAATGCCTGGTAAGATTCGGAAGTTGTTGTAGATGAAGTCAGAGCTGGGGGAACATGGAACCTGATCCCTAGTCATCAATCAAAATGAGACTGCATATGATTCAATCAAGAGATAGAGGAGAGCACTCACGAATGACATGGACATCGTTATCTTCCTCACTGTGACAGATAACAGCCATATAGTAAGATTCAGAAGATGTTGCCAGTGTATGCGAGTCTGGAGCTGGGGAAACACATGACTCAGAGCTGATCCCTACATCAATAAAACTACAAATGATTGGATTAAGAGATGACTCACGAATGTCATGGATGTCATCTTCTGCACTGGGTGTAGCCGGTGGACACGGCAAAGATAATCAATGAGACTACAAATGATTGGATTAAGAGATGACTCACGAATGTCATGGATGTCATCTTCTGCACTGGGTGTAGCCAGTGGACACAACAAAGATCCAACCATGTAGTAAACAGATGTTGGTGATGGAATGATGGCAATGTGAAGCTAGAGGACGAAAGAAAAATGGCTTAGCCTTAGATACATGTAAACTATGGAGCTTACAAATAGTGTAATGCATTACACCTCATATTCACAAGAGACCTGTAATGCATTAGCACCAAAATTGCATGAGTCATGGTGTCCATACCTTGTAGCGCAGCAGGTGTAATGCATTATGGGCTTGTGAGCTTACATAATCTTATTTGCTGTTTCATACCTTGAACTCACCTGTGATGCCTGCACTATGAGTGCCAGTGAGGGCAGTACAAACTCAAGTAATTATTGAGCTGGCTTACTCCCTGCACCTTCATTGAAGACTTTTAACCAGTGAAAATGAGTGAGGCTCAATGTATATACACCTCCCAACTCAGGTGGTCCAAGTGTGCACACTGCATACACATTTGTTTCACAAAGTCAAGGCTTTACTGCACGAAGTTCACAGGTTGTCAGTTTGCTGGCCTTATCTGAACAACCGGTCAGTATGAGAGTGGAGGAAGGGGCTGCATTAGACTACTCTCTGGATGGGCAGGAACCTGACTGTGACATCAAACCTGAGGTTACCAACAGCAATAGGCGGAAGTGCAACATAGGAGTAAGTATTTTCCAATGACTTAGTTTGCAGAACTACTACATCTAATTTGAACATTGACACCTCATGTATCCAGGATCACCCACTCTTGATGTGGATCAAGGACCGCAACCTTTTTTTGCAGGAACTACTACGATATGAGGGCTGTGTGGACTACATACATGACACTATCTGCAGCAGCTGTTACTCTGGCACTCCGTGATTTGGTGTAAAGACTGCTTTGGCACCGAGCTGTGTTGTCATAATTGTATTGTTGTGACTCATACTAAAAATCCAATGCATCAGATTCAAGTGAGAGGTGATCAAATATATACGCATCACATTTACTTATGAATGTTTCTTTATAGGAGTGGAGAGGCTCTTACTTCATGACCATCTCACTCAAGAAGTTAGGGCTGCATGTACAGCTTGAACATCCAGCAGGTGCTAAATGTCTGTTTCCTAAGAGGGCATTTCACAACAACTTCACTCTCATTGATACCAATGGGATTCATGAGATCGGCCTGGATTTCTGTGGTTGTGAGACTGCTCAGACGCATATGAAGCAGCTGCTTCATATGGCCTGGTTCCCAGCAACAACTATTGATCCTCATACTGCTGCTACTTTCTGAATCCTGGAACAATATCACATCTTATCGTTCAAATCCAAATGTCCAAGCTATGGGCTTTATCATACTATTGTGCAACTCTTGGATAATACAGGACTTTACCCATGAAAGGTGTGTTTAACCTCTTGAATCTTGTTCAATAATCCATCTCACGCATAGTATTAGGATCATTACGAAGCATTTATGCAGATGGTGCGCAAATGGCGACATCTGAAAATATTGAAGCGGGCTGGCTGGGGATATGATTCAGCTGGTGTAGAGAGTACTGGAAGCAGCAAATGTGCTGTGCTATGCCCAGCTTGTCTACAACCAGGTAAAAACCTACCTGATAACTGGCACGATGCACCAAATGGAAAACATTACGAGTCATTACATTTATATCTTTACTCGCTCGGCTGACTAGTGAATAGTTGGTTGTATGCTCTCTTTGTGGCGATTGATGCCAACTTCTGCCTTAAAAGGTGCATAGTGTCTAAGGATAGCATGGACCCTAGCCTTAGTCGTGGCTGGGCTTATTTTGTTGAGGAGACTGCCTACAAAACATATCTACAAACCTGCAGCGGTAACACACAGCAGGTGAGCTTTTGTTGTATTTGCATATGTAATTGCCTCTGACCACCTATATATGTAGAAAAGCACATGTTCATCCCATAACACAGTAAACATGGCAGACTCAAAAGTGTCACATGGTCTAGCCACCACAGGAGTTGGGACCATTGATTGTGCACAACACAACATGAAGCTGCCAAATGGTGTTGGTGATTTACAAAAAGGCGAAAGGTATGTACTAGACTAGCTGGCAGGTGATTGTTGATACTGACCGAATGTAGATATAGTAATATGGATTTTTGTTCTTCTCAGCACTTCGTGGATATTGCATCGACACACTCAATGTTTCATATGACATCACTTGTCAGTGGCACAAGAATTTATGGCAGAGGATGTCGACAATGCCACTCGACCTCTGTCTGGATCATCTGGCAATATTTGTCAGGTTTTTTGTTCCAAAGTTCCACCTCCCTGCACATGTGTTGACATGCCAGACCAATTTTTCATTCAATTTTTCGAAGAATGTTGGCCAAACAGATAGTGAAGCGCCTGAATGTGGATGGTCAAATATCAACCCCATGGCCTCTAGTACCAAAGAAATGGGACCAGGCTCATGGAGAGACGTACTTGATGACCATTTTGGTGACTGGAACTGGAAGAAGGTTGTACCTTTGTAAAATGACGGAGGCCAACAAAGAACAAGAGGCACATCAAACAGCATTTCAAGAACTCCACAAGGCGCTGGCACCCAAGACAACAGAGGCCTGGACAGTCGAAATTGAATCCTGGGAGGAAAATCTAAATGATTCTTTGGTCACAAATCCATTCAAATCAAAAGTCATTGGTGAGTAGCAAACAAAATCTGATTGTGAGGAGCTACTGACAACTAGTATTACAAGCTGTTATACAAGCTGCTATTCAGCTCAAACTCACTCAGCTCGAGGCATATGAGCTCTAAGAAGGGACTGATGTTTCCCTGCATGCCAAAGTGTCCCCTAGCATATTTCTTGCATTGGGGATCGATCTTGAGAACAAACAGTGCATACTAGTACTAGTATCTATCATTCTTTTTCATTATGTTCATTTCTTCCCTAAGACAATGTTTGAAAGCAAATATTAGCAAGCAAGGACTGCATGCCACAGATACACAAATGGCTGCAATTCAGCAGCTGCGGAATGCTTTACAGCGTTGTGACAATATAGTTTTCCCTGGGCTGATATTACCCCTTTTTACTTACCTTCACTTACCCACTTTCCTTAGTTTATGTTTGCATTTTTACTGCTTACATGATCATGTCTCCCTTTCACCACTGTCAGTACCAGTCTGAATCACAGTCTTTTGCTTGATGATATTTCTACTCTCTGAGCTCTGAGTCTAGTACAGAAATCCTTTAGGGTCGAATAGCAGCTAGGCATAGCAATTTTGACCCAACATTTGAAGAGTACTTTACAGAGTTCTCTTCTTGTTGTGTTTCCCACAGTGTGAGATTGATGCCTGGAAGCGCATCCAAATGCTCTACACTCCCAAAGTACAGCTACTCGAGTCCACAATCAATACCCCTTCGCGCCATATGTCCGATATAATCACACCGGAAGATGCCAACCTCTGGCTCCCATCAGCTCTTTGTAGCAAGTCCATGGTTCCTAATGCTCGACTTGTCTCAACCGAGTGGGAGTTGCGGTATGCTCAGGCTGGTGATGCTCTTGAAGAAATCCAACAGAGCCTCCACATGTGTGGCTACATGTACTCATTCAAATGGGATTGGATTCGAGGCCAGAGTGCAAATACTTGCATGCAGAACGCTGTCAGCCGTGTTGAAGTGAAGACTGCAGCTGCAGCAGATAAATATTGCACCGCTCACACAGCTCTCTCATCTCTCGCACCAGTGGTCGGTAAGATTGGCTGGGATAATACATTTAAAGTGCTTGACAGAAACAATGATGTACATGGGATGTCAGCTCCAAGGCATGGAGAGAGCGAAGGTCGAAGGCAACTGTCATGGATCTGGTTAGTTGAGGGTGTCGGAGATGATGCAGATGAGGCAATACAAGACGGTAAGTTCAATGTGAACCACAAATTGTAGAAGGTATGCAGCTGACTTTGTTGGTAGGTCTTAAACTCAAATGGTGCAAAGCTCGAGCTAGGGCTGCACACTGGGTAGAAGAAGTAGAGCTCCTTCAGGAGGAGATGTGCAGGGTGGTGTGCTTTCTTAGGTGGCATGCAGGCTGGTGGAAAAATAAGGTTGGAGAATGTGCGCTCGTCATTGCCAGCGACAACGAGAGTCTGATAGCCTATGAAGGTCTGGTGGAATATGCCCATCGCCAGGCCCAGCTCAGGCATGATCTGGCTGACTGCTTTGACAGGATATGGGCAATACATCTCCTACCTGCAGCTACCTCTACTAGCATGACAAGTTCGAGTAGCGCTTGTCAAGATCACTTTCCAGATCTCCACCTTCCAGATGCTGTGCTTCACCCTTGAAATTTTAATTTACCACTTACCAGCAGCTTATTTTGTACAAAAAATATTGATTCTTAATGGTACCGTAATTGTTGTTCTGAGCTTCGTGCCTCCCATACAGCGTGCAGGATGTTCGTGGTGGTTATCATGCAATAATGCATTATGTGTCTTGTAGTTATCATGACCTAATGCATCATTTAAACTTGTAGTAACAGATGTTAATGCAATACATGTATCTTGTCACTACAATGTATAATGCATTTCCAGGACAAGAACTTGTGTCCTGAGTGCAACATGTAGATTACAACGCATGTTAAGTATTATCCCTGCGTGTTTCTGCGGTTTCACAATCATGAGCTTATTAGTGCATCTTGTTCAATAAGCCCAAGGGCAGTCGCAGAGCGAGGCTTGATAGAACACTTGAAGGGTTTGGGGTGGCTTGGAGTGTGTCAATCCAGACCAGCGCCAGACGTACAAGATATGCGACATACCCGATCACACCTGGTAAGGTTTCAACCTCGGGGGTGATCTCGACACCATTCTCGATAACCTTGGAAATATCAAACACGGCCAGTGACATCACAGTGGATATCCAAATGGAGGCTTCAGCAAGGTAGATACCTGTACATCAAAAGCAAGCAGACGTCAGATTACTGCTAGTTGATTGATGCGAGTTGGACACACCTGGGCATATACTGCGGAGCAGAAAATTAGCATTCCGATAAGATTCAGAACCAAATTTATGCTTACCGTCTACCAAAGCCAAAGCAAATAGTGCGAGGCTCCGTCTCAGGTTCCTTTCCATCCTCAGTCAAGAAGCGTTCAGGATTGAACTGCGATGGATTAGCATATGTTTGTGGATCGTTGAGCATGAACCTGTCGCGATCAAGAGCATTACATCCTGTCCATCAACCGAAGGGGAGCACCAACCAAATGTTAGGCATTATTATGGAGCCTTTTGGAATATAGTACCCGTCATGGATATCGTCCTTGGTCACACAGTGTCCACCTGTCATTGAAATACCCGTGGGCGAATAAATAGTGTCATGAACAAGATCCACATACCGATGAGAGCGATAACGTTCCAACGCAGGACTTCTTTGACAAGCGCCTCAGTATAGGGGAGGTAGTCGCGGTCGGCGAAGGAGGGAAGACGATCAGGACCGACAACCGCATCTATTTCAGCCTGAGCTTTCTTCTGCACATCAGGGAAAAGTGTCATAGCTAGAAAAAGCGAGTATATTGCAGAAACAATCTGAGGCAGTACTTTCAGAAGATGATGATTAGAAACATAAATATGTAGGGACCAACCGAGTCGGAACCGCCGGCATATAAGGAAAAAGCAGACCATTTCACAGTGTGGTCCTCTTCCGCAGATATATCACCGCCTTCTAAGAGATTCGAGGTAAAAGACATGGGGGCGATGCCAGCAACCTGTAAAATTTGAGCTTTAATGCATGATCACAAAGCTGCAAATTATTCACCATCTGGTCCTTGACGAACTCGTGGGGTGCAGAAACCATCTCTTCGAGGGTCCTGCGCCATTCACGTGCTATGCGCTTGAAGCCAGCACCGGGGAACCACGCGGGGACCTTTGCCACTAAATTTTTCAGGTCATCGGAAGCCAACCCAAACGTCAGAATAATATAGCTCACAGAATGGTAAAATATCAACCATAAATTTACCGGACTGACCCTGCGAGAACTGGGATATAGCGCGGTCTGCAAGGTCAACGAAGGGATCATCATTCTCTTTCACTTCATAACCATAAGTGATGCGCAAAATGATAGCACCAGCAGTGCTATAGTGAAAATTCAAGATAACGTCATTGCGAGGATAAATAATACATACTGTCGGATATGCTCCTGCAGTCGATCTGGTTTCGCAAGCACACGCTTCAGGAATCGAAGAGTCTCGACCTCCTCGATCTCGTTGTATACGTCCACTGCGGCGCGACTGCCGATGACGCGCTGTATGTTCTTGCGTTGCTGGCGAAGACGGTCACCATATGAGAGGAAAGGCAAAGAGTCCTTCCAACCAACAAGTTCACCAATCATAGGAAGAACAGGACGGTCAGAGTACAAGACGCTTTTTCTGTCCATCATTTCCATTGCAGTCTCGACAGAGTTCAGCACAATGATGTGCCGACCCAGAACCTCGATATGCGTGATATCACCTGCAGGAAAGACTTTTGAAAATGGATGATATTGGAAAAAGGGAGGCACTCACCATATTTCTTACCCCACTCAGTAAATGTGAGCCAGGGTTTGACGCGAGGCATATCTAAAACATTGCCAATGAGAGGCCACCCCCGGGGACCAGGTGGATATGGTGCAGGATTCTTCTTGATGACGACCTGCTTTACCAGATAGACTCCAATACCGGTGAGGCATAGTAGGCCTACTAGCCAGGTAACGTTGGTGATTGTCAACATGGTCTACTACTAGCAGAGGATGAGCAACTCAAGAACGGGGATGTGGAGCAAATTGATCAGATAAGAGGATATCTCGTATTTATATAACACATTAGAAGGACACGAGTCGATTACCGCCACTGGGGGCCTGTCCCAACTAACCAAAATCAGTCTGTGCATTGATATTTGATTGAAGGCTGTCTGATACGGTGATTACCTCGGAGTCTGGACCTTTCTTGGTTCCTTCGAACGACTGAGCAAAAAAAGATTTGATTGAAGGCTGTCTGATATGGTGACTACCTCGGAGCCTGGACCTTTCTTGGTTTGTTCGAACGACTGAGCAAACAAAGTCCAGACATCTTACATAATTATATGATGAAAAGACCCCAGATTCTGCTTTAATAACATCTTCGCTTCAAGTTAAATTGTTTAATATGCTATGTTGAATATTTGAACGATAGGTGTCATAAGTTTTCTGAGCATAAGTATACCAGTACTGTTTGGCGGTATAATTATGGTCGAGAAGCTCGAGATGGAGTTGTGGAACTTGAAGGAGCTTTGCGAATTAAATATTAGACGCGCCTTAGGCTATAGGCGAGGCTCGAACTCGGTTTGGCGCCTGTTGACGTCACGAGGGATGCACCTCGATCGGTACCTTGTGCACTTGCCAGGCTTCTAAGTATATGAAGAAGATATCAGTAATATCAGGGGCAATCCCGTTCGAGCATTCACATTTGATGTCAAGTGTGCATGTAATGGTGACTGGTAGATGCCTACGTTTTGTTCCTGAACGTTGAAGGTTTGAACTGAGTTCCTGAAGACAGCAAAAATTTACCAACGAGTCTTGAATACAACACCCGAAGTACTTAGTGTACAGTTTCAAATAAGTCGTGAATGAGTCATGTTATTAACAACACGAGTGAGACTCTATAGAACGTAATCAATAATTATGCAAGTCGTCAAGGGTATGGGCCGTACGTAGTCAAAGCAGGTTCAGTATACCACCGCCCACACACATGACAACAAACTACCACCTAGACAAGCCAATGTGAATATCCCAACAACCCGCTGCAGTCCAAACCATGCGTAAGTGGCGATACCAAGAAGTGCCAAGATAAAGCCGGCACCAGTGAGCGCCAAAATCGTATAATAGCACCGAGTCAAGAGATCCAATGGGGGAGAGGACGTCCTGGATTGAAGCCGGAACCCCAAGGGTACCTGAAGAAGGGACTGTACAGCATACAAAGGAGGGACGGCTCTAAGTAAGAGCTGCTTTCCCTGAATACTTTCCTGGTGAGGTACACCAGTACTAGAACGTTTTCCTAGCTTGTCGGTTTCGGTTACTGTATCGACGATCTGGTATCGAATGAGAGCAAAAGATGCCACATATCCCAGAATTGCTAACGCAAGCTGTAAGTGCCTCGCGCTTCCCTGACTATCTCGGTACTCACAAGAACAGACATGAAAAATGAGGGCACCAGTAAAGCATGCATACACGAGTTCCACAGATTCCTCGCTTGCATTAAGTGTCACCTGCGACGGTATGGAGGTAAGGGTGAAGAGCTCTCCGTCGATGGAAGCAAGAAATGTCGTCTGACGGGTCGTTCAAGATTCATGTAACCAGAGTCACTGAACAATGGCTTACTATAAGAGTGAGCGTCTGGAGTCGTTGCATCCATGCCGCCACAAGCGCCGAATCTTCTTCTGTAGTTGTATTTGTATCCTTTTGAGTCTTGCCCTGTTCATCACGTTGACCACCTGTGCATTTCTCAGGATTTCTGCTTGATTAACAGAATGTGATCAAATACATACCAACACTTGGCCCAGGGTCTGCTTGTTCGAGGTCTCCTTGAGTAGTCATGACTTGCAGATTGATGTGCGTGTTCAGGAGAAAATTGCGTGACCAACGTTGCAACACTGAGTACGCACTGACTCAGTGTCCACTGGATTGACAAGACTTTTCGGACACACCATTTATATATGTCTTGCGCCCAATAGCACTGGAACGAAGGATATTTAATCAACTGATTGCGCCACTGCGGATCTCGCGTTGATATTACGGAAACGGCCGCATAGTTCTATGTAGAGGTGAAGGAAGTTTTGACGGGATCCGCGCCGCCGTCAGTGGTACCTAGTACTTAAATAGGTTGACAGTCACGAATCACGATACGTTATGGTCCGGTGGCTAGCAAACAAAGATTGAAAGGGTAAATAATGAAGCGACCATGTTGACAAGGTCTGCATGCACATGCAAGGTGTGTCGAACACGCATTCAGGTGAGGTGAGGTTTGCAGTCCAAAGAGGTGACGTAAAAATGTATTCGTCGAGTATCTCCTACAGGAAGACGTATCTGTTAACGTTGTGGGGCGAGGCGAGCACGGTTGCTGTGAAATAGTGGGAGACTGAGTGGAGCTGGGATCGTCGATTTCCAGGCGCTCGAAGCTGGAGGCATCAAAATCCCAGAGACTAAGTATGGCTGGTCGAGAACCCTCGTAAGTAACTGAAGTTCGAACCAATATGAAACGAACGAACTCTTAGGACCGTCTGACTAAGTACAGCCATGGGAGAAACCCTAGACTAGGAGTCTCAATTTCGAAATTCGCTCACACTCTCATATCTACTGTCTGCTCGTCGACCCGTCATTCAATGTCATTCTAGTCTCCCCAAGTCAGACCAGTCGTTCCTTCCATGTTATGGTCTGCTTCCGCTCCCCCCTCGATACCGTAGTAAAACCTCAACCATCAATAAATCACCATGCAACGAGCGAGTGAGTTTCTCGACACCAAAGGCACACAATACATTCCATCCCAGTTCTACTAGTATTGCCAACCTTCCCCCTCCAACGCCTCTCCGATTTCGCATATACTGGTCCTCAGTCCCCCAATCCACCCTGCAAACTTATTTCGGTACCCTCAACTGGCGTGCACCCCTCGTACCGGCTGATTCCACCTCATCAGTATCTCGTTCGGGAGTCAAATGGAAACGCACATGTGATGAAAACCGACTTCCGCTTGACTTGTTTGACTTTCCGTTACCTGAAAGCAAAAAAATGCGTGGTAATAATCTGACCGGCAGCGAGCAGCGTGAACAAGTCAACTTGCGTTCCAGTATATTTCAAGCAATAGATGCCGTCGACGGGTCTCTCGCAGAGTTCCTATATTTCACATTCCGGATCAATGTTAGGGGTGATCCACAGACAGACAGAAGTCATGCAACATGTATCGAGCATTTCCTGCGCGCAAATTCCGCATACAAGTCTGCCGATATCATTGACACACGGCCGGTATCGACTCGGAGAGTGGATGCAGCTAGGGCTGAATGTGACTGACCGTAAATTCGTGCTCATGACTAGTATTCCGCCAACACCCTCGGGGGCCGGGGAGGTTCTGATTGAAGCAACAGCCAACATTTGAACGACACATCCGAGCTTATCTAGCTACCATATGCAACACTGGTGAATACGTCGTGCGAGATATATAATAACTTGATACTGACCTGCAACAGCGAATACTGACCTGCAACAGCGAATACTGACCTGCAACAGCGAATACCGTCTTACGAATAGGAAGGCGGAACCATGCCACAAACATAGTATGTACTAAGTTAGCACCGTTGAACTCAGAGCGAGTTTGACATGTCTTCCAAGTCTTGAGCACGGGCCGCGTGCGCAAGGCCATTGGTACGTCTTTTGTTGACAATGTGCCACCGCAGGTTGAACTTTTATTCCGAGCTCTGCGCTTAATTTGCTGGGCGATCCAGATTGAATTAGACTAGGAGTCGTGATGATGACGGTCCGTCACTTTCCGTTCAACGTTCTACTGTCATGATAAGCGAATTGTCCTATTTTTCTGCTGGGAGCTGATACATACCGCATGTCTACTGTCAACGGATAGACAAATCCGTGTATTATTTTTCTGTCATATGATTACCTTGTTTTCTGCGAGGTCCCAGGATCGTGGTCACGTGGGTCAACAGTCTTCGTGGTTGACTTACACTTGAGCCAGACACGTCAATATCATTATCACTCACTGAAAGCCATTTTACCGCACTGGGGTACCGGTAATAATCTGCTTACCCTGATGGTCCACGTCCTGTCGATGGGTTGCTTGAAGTGTTCGGGAGAACCTCTTGTAGGTCGATTCATGGACACTGGAGAACTCGTGCACGCAATCAATAATGATTGTGGTCACATGAAACGAGCCTATCACTCAGATCTTGCCGGGTGTCAATTATTTAAAATGCGAACGTGCGTCAGGTAGAGTCTGACTCCACATGCTGCCCTTTTATGTTTAGAATACCATCTGGTAATGCCGCGTAAAGCCCAGGCTATAAGTACCACTATACCGAAGCTAGGCCTCTAGGGTGGCGCAGACTCAAGGCAGCACGCCACAATGCTCCCCTTTTCGAGGTTGTCTGGTTTCATATTACTAGCTTCCTATCAAGTACGAGCGAGTTCTATCAGTTCCACCACGTACACTGCTTCTGGCGCCTTTCCGACCTCGTTATATGGGTCGTACTGGAATGACCCTACTGCCACTTCGGCGCAGCCCCAGCCCGTGATAACCGATCCTGTGACTGTCTGTATCGTGTTTCATATGTCTTGAAGATGTCTAATCTCATGAACTTTACCAGAATGAGATATTCCCCTATGAGCTGACAGATCCTGCCAACTTCCCAAAGGTTAGTCGCCTTCCTGTTTGGGCACCAAACTGACACTGACACACTATTCATCAGAATGATACTGTGGACCCTCACCCGCTGCCAACGCAAGCGACACCTTCGCAGCTTATGGAACAAGCTCTTACGCAAATCATAGCGATTGCTACCAATCCAGTTTTCGGCGATGATACCTGCACAAAGTGCCAAGCCTCTCTCGCAATTGCCAAAATGCTCGTGCTTGGGGCTCCTGAACAGGGCCCCTTACTTGCTGAGGCAGTCTGCCAGTACTTCGACTACTCGACAACGTGCTACGATGAATATAGCGCGCTTGCGCTCGGTTCAACGTTTTCACAAGTTCTTGCGCTGGCCAATGCTGGCGGATATGACGGCCAGGTATGCTACCTGTGACTTCGAATCGAGGCGATATATATGAATTTCTTTCCCTTTTCAGAACCTTTGTTCGCATATTGACCTGTGCTCCGTGCCGCCAGCGGTTCCGCTTAACATGACTGGCTGGTTCGCAACACCGAAACCAAATCCGCTGCCACCTCCGATACAACCCAGCGGGGAGCGTCTGAAGGTCTTCCACATTTCTGATATTCACCTCGACCCTCGTGCGTTGGGTTTGATTCAAATCTTAAATCTCATTCTGACGATTTCGTTCTGCAGGCTACGCGATAGGATCCGAGGGTAACTGTTCCGCATACATGTGCTGCCGTGAAAACGCCTTCAATGCAGCGACTCCCGACCAGATCGTCCTTCCTGCAGCGCGCTTCGGAAGTTATTGGTGGTAAATTGAATAATCAACTCTGAGAAAAAGTTGTAACATCGTGTGCAGTGATTCTCCATTGGACTTGATGGCTGCGGCGATGGAAGCCATCGGTCCTCTCACTGGCACAGAACAGGGTGGTTTTAACTTCAGCATCTTCACTGGTGACTTGACTGCGCACGACTCCGACAACCAATATTCAAGGTTCGTTTTCTCCAATTTCATTCAGTTTGCTATAAAAACGCTCAACCTGGATGATAGGGCCTATGTTGAGTATGAAGAGGTAAAATGAATTCCCTGTTGGAAGTGGATGTGCTTTCATGACGGCCGCTAGGTTGTGTTTTACGGCTTGCTGAAGAAATTCGCTGGGCCCGCGCCTGTCTACCCGACGATCGGAAACCACGATACCTACATGCAGTTCCAAATGATCCCCTACACTATGGGCGGTACTCTCGGGACGCAATTCAACTGGTGGGTTAGAAAGTGCTCTAAGTGCACCAGATGATGACCATCCTTAGGCTGTATGAACACATTTCTTCTATGTGGCAGTACGAAGGCTGGCTTCCTGAAGCGTCGGTCGCATATGCTTCAACCCACTACGCTGCATATAGTGTGACACGCCCGGACGGCCTCAAGATCATCTCACTTGACACCAACCTTTGTGAGGCTTCTTGAACTAGAAATTATGCATGTCCCTGATATTCCTCCTTGAAGGGTATACGTATGTCTGGGCTGGTTTCGGTGCTCTCATGACCCATCTTGATCATTCTTTGCAGTGACAACTACTACTCATATATCAACTCTACGGAACCTGATCCGTACGGTATCTTGCGATTCCTCACGGACGAGCTACAGGCTTCTGAGGATGCCGGTGAAAGAGGTTCGTAAGATGACATATGGTCTGATCTGAATAGTGATCGCTTTTTAGTATGGATTATCGGACATGTGTTGAGTGGATGGGACGGAACTGCATCGCAGGTCAATCCGACCAACCTATGTACGTGAATTTATGCTATCGTCGCACTCAGTACTTCTAACATCGATTCGCGTACAGTCTACCAGATGTATGTCTCTCAGCTTTGATGGAGCGTGAAAGTTATTAACACTTACTATTAGTATTGACCGCTTCTCGCCTCATGTCATTGCCAGTGAGTTCGGCCATTCGGATTCATTGATTTTCATTGTGACACCTTCGTGATAAGATATCTTCTATGGCCACACCCACGAGGACCAGCTTTCTGTAGGTCTTTTGCTTTTGTTCAAGTTTTGGCGTGGTTCATGCTTCAACTATCCGCAGATCTTCTACGCTAACAATGGCACAGTCATGACTGCTGAGACTGCGTTGACCGCATCTTGGGTAAGAAGCTAGGAAAACCATTTTGAGCATCGACTAACTTGATCATTCAGATTGGGCCGTCACTCACTCCCTTGACAAATCTCAACTCTGGATTCCGTATGTACGAAATAGATTCCGCTGCAAGTTTTCTTTCGTCTCCAGTTTTACAGAGGACTCACTAGTTGATTAGACTTTCGACGTCCTAGATGCATACACGTAAGCAGCAGTAATGGGTGCGGATGGACTATGACTTATGTATCCAAACTTTGCAGTTATGTCAGCAATGTGAACGAGTTCCCAGCGTTGGACAATCAGACTCAGGTCGGCCCGTCGTACTATCTAGAGTACAGTACCCGTGATGCATACGGGGGAAACATCACTTGGGGCGCAAACGACCCCCTCAACGCAACATGGTGGCACCTTGTTACCGAACGTTTGTCTCCTCTCTCCTATTTCCTTTAGTCGACCATAATGATGATTTTGTCACAGAAATGCTGGTCGATCCTACTCTAGTCCAGGTGAGATCCACAACAATGAATATGACGATAGACTGACTTTTCATAGACATTCAACACATACCAATCAAAGAGCTCTGTCGCGGGCCTGGACTGCACTGGGGAGTGTATCCCTGCTAAAACATGCTATATGCGCAGCGGTTCGAGTAGCCTGGCGTATCAGAACTGTCCTGCTGGATACTCTTCGACGCAGTAAAAGAGTACAATGATCACATGTATAACTACAGCAGTGTAATGATAGTGATGCCGTGCAAACTTCTCGGAGAATGCATCAAGTCTGATATCAATCACCTTGAACTATATGACCTTGTTAGCCAAGCGACTTCAGCTACACAAAGACAAAGATATGTTGCCCCCAACTTCAATTACGTAAAGTTCCGGACAAAGTGCGGTGGCGTTATAGTGTAGTGGTTATCACTTGGGATTTTGATAACACGATTTCCCGTAACCCAGGTTCGAACCCTGGTAACGCCTGCTTTTTGGTTGTACGATCATCCTTCCATGCATCCGCGTAGAGGTAAAGTAGCCTGGGCTTAAGAAGATAACTGTTTCTCGCATGGATCCAGGTCAGTCGAGAACTGAATATTGACATCCAGACCATCCCGAAATCACTGGAATGGCTAGCTTGTTTGGTCGGTCATATTTTTAATGTTTGGCGGTGAGTACCGACTCTACCGAGTATCGCTTTCAAGGTCTTGTGCTCTACGACATCCTCAGAAATGCCACACCCTTCTCTCTCGCTCGGCAAGCTCAAGACTGGTAAAAACCAGCAACGGCATCGCAAGGCTCGCGGCACAAGCACTGAAGTTTCGCCCATCAAACTTGGCCACTTTTTCAAATCCGTTAGGCACCACCGTTTGAAGGGAAAGATCATGGTTGAGCAGCAGACGACTTCAGCTCCATCACCCTATCCTGAATTTGATATGAACCTGTCACCTCCTTCCAGGCAGCCACCTTACGAATGGAACACCGATCATTCGAGTCTTCTGCCAGGAATCAAAAACACGCGCATTTTCTCAGAGTCTGCTAGCCGGTCTACCACCGCTGAACAGAGCATAGTCCCATCTGAGGAGTCGTCACGTTCATTGTTTGTTATGCGTCCTTCGAAGACCGCTTCAGCTCTTCTTCCGAAGGCCCCTGTAGACCCCTTTGCAGACAACTCTGGTGCATCTTCTGCTTTGATGTCATCTCCGTCTATGTTTGATCTACGTTCTCATTCGGCGGGCGATTACATCGTGCGACAGCTTGGCGCAACCCTGGAAAAGCTCTCGCTGAGCGAGAGTCAGTATGCTAAGCTTGAGGGGGACGTCCTTCCGATCAAATCCCTGAATACGCGTTACAATGTGCCAAAATCGGTTCTAACCGTGACATCCAGCTTCCAGGATTCCCCAACGTCTTCTGATATGATTGTCTCTCCTGCTCCCCTTTGTACCCCCAAGTTCAAAGACTCACTTGCGTCTGGATATCTTGCAAACTTAAAACAACAGCTGCAGGAGAAGCGATGGCTGTGCAGGTTTGCTCGCTCCACATCAGCCAAAACACACCTCGCCGTCGCACCCACCATATTCATCACGTCTGTTGATGCGAAGCATCCCAAACCACTACGTTCCCCAGTTGGCCTTTTTGGACAAGTAAGCCACATTAAAGATTTGCTCAATGATCCTGCGCTTCAGCCACTGCCGCTAGCCAATTCCCCGTATCCTGATGACCCATTCAACGCGGATCCATTCTCCTCCAATCATCCCCTGCCTTCAACGCCGACTTCTGAGGAGACAGGAGAAGTCACTGAGCCTGCCTGGTATCTGCCCGCAACGCCCTCTCGTGCACATCTTGAACTCTTGCCATCTGGTGGGGAGGAATTCGCAACAGCCTTGAGCGCCACCATCACCAATCCATTTGATCTTCCGCCTTTCTCTATACCGTTTATGAAACCAAACCTTCTTGGCGCTTCGTCTTATGACAATTGAGGCGGGTTGCGATGCGGAGTGTGGACATGGTGTTGTAATCCAGTAGGTTCTGAAGCCGTTAAGTTGGCATATTCATGTCCTGGAGTCCTTAAGTTGTCTGAAGATTATTTACCATGGTACTCCATCCTAGATCCCTGTATATGCACGAGACGGGGGTCCTCGAATTTCTCACAAGTTGTTTGTGTAATATCCCAGTTGCAAGATGAATAAGATTAGCGCACTTGTCAAACAGTTGTTAGCATGCTAGAGGGTGCAATAATCGAAACGTGCACTGTATCATATGAGCAAATTCCAATTTTCTACGTCTCTGCATAATCCAGCAAGATAAAAATGTAACGCAAAAGAAAGGAGCTAAATCACAATCATGATTCAAAATACGCAAGATCCTTGGGTATAGATAACAAGTAAACGACAGTACTTCGAATTGCACACGTCAAAGCAACATCAAAGAGCACAATCTCTCCATGCGGAAGTTCATGCGCCTTCAGACGCTCACGGTGGTGGTACAATTGACAACAACTTCATCACCCTATGATCAAATGTTAGTGCAAAATAGAACCAGCGTCGATGTCATACATAGTACTGCCCGGTGCAGCAGACAGTCTCGTTGATACATTCTGAAACATCCGCGGTTTTGAGAGCACTGCACCCGTAGCCGATAAGACCGCTCAGCCCAGACTCGCTGATAGAATATTCAGCGAGGATTTCTTCAGCAGCTGCTGTGTCCGTCTGTGAAAATTTAGCATCTTTTCTGAGTCAATGGTCATGACACGCACAGTCGTGGTGTTGGAACAACACATGGTTGTTCCTGAGTCACAGGAATATTTTGCAGATATAAGAATCGGGTAAAGAACGGCAGAGGCTATCAGAAGTAAAGACAGCATTGGATTTTGACCGGGGCACAGGGTGAGGAAGCTTGGGTGGAGGCTCCCGTCAAGCCCATTGTATTTATCGCCACAAGACTTTGTAGATGTTTGAGCTAGTAACGTAGGATCAGCAAGGTTGACGACGGCGAAGCAACTAACGAGAGGTTCTTTTATTTTTTCCTGCTCGTGAACCGAAAAGTAGATACGCCATGCACCAAGTCTGAGAGGTGCACTAGCATTACACTAGCGAACCATCTGGTCCTCCGTTGTGACAGCTCGAAGGGTAGTTGGTGGGTGTAGAAAGCCCCTTGATATACAGTACACTGGCTCATAACGCATAACGTCGGGACCCCTCCCCGAGGCTATGTGTTATGATTTGTCCCAAATTATGTGACATTACCTTGCGGAGCAAAGTCTATCACGATGGAGCATGATATGTAATGGCAAGCGAGACCAAACAAACACGTAATATTTCTTTAATTGAAACCCAATTAAATTTACCCCTTAGAATTACATCGACACTGCGAGATATAAATACAAGATGTCTGCCGAAACAACGAAACAGAACCCTGATAAACGCCTTACTAACCCTAACAAATACATAGTTTGAATTGAACTTGTAATTTTTATTTTTATTTGTTTCCAATTTTATGTCCATTGAGAGTGATACTCTATGTAGGACACTACTATCTAGTCATGGAGCCCCGTGCTCCGCCCCTTCGTCACATCCCCAAATGCACTGGTGTAAGGCGTACCCCACCAGTCCGCCGTTCCTGCCGGCCGTTTTAGATGGGCGATGTATAAGACTAGGGAGCGACTGTATGTAAGATTGCGTGGTGAGAGGTCTATCGTGAAAGCTATAACGCATGCTCGGCCGCTTACGCGGACCAAACAGAGATCTGGATATTAATCTTGTTTGGGCTTAGCCATCTGATAGCCCAAACAGCAGGACCTTATGCAGTGGAACAGTGTGCAAACTGACATAGAGCAGAATAACGCCAATGCATAGAGCACAAATAGAACACAGAAAATATCAGTAATATTATTCAATGCCCCATTTAAACTACCGAACACCAATAAGCACAAACCGCGGAGCAAGGTCCACGTCGGCCCCAAGGCCGACCCTAGTACTTAAGGAAGTTGTGTGATATAATGTGACACAGACAAAACATGATGATGTCATCTGCTTTGCCCCGCGAATTTCCTCTCGGCGTACAGAAGCCCTAATGCCCGCGGCCACTTTGACAGATCAAATGACCGCCCAAGTTCTCCGAATTGAAGGCAAGCATCTTCAAGTTCGAGTTGCTGAGAACAAGGCACGCTCGACATCTAGCCTGGTCACAAAAGCGGGCACTTCGATGATAAAGCATTCAGATTAAGTGGAATATTACTGTCTACTATAATTTTCGAAAAAATGAGTTATTATGAAGTGGGTTGCATTTCAGAATGTGGTGGGCAAAGGACCGGTCCTATACCATAGTCCAAAATCAAAAATATCAATCAACGGGAGGGAGAGGGAAATTTTGCTGAGGAACGCTATTGTATATCGGACAGAGCTGCTTCGAAGCATCTAACGTTGATTGTCAGACTGGGTCTAATTCATAATGCTCGGTGCTTACTATTGATAGGCTGCGAAGCCGCCACATCTTCAGGAGCCTCTGCAAATACTATAGCTAGTCCGCTATGGACCCATCAATTCGAGTCCAGGCTCAGTGAAAGGAACAACTCACGTGTAGAGATGCCATTCGATATGACTTCACAAAGACCGAAAGTCATCGCCAGCTAAAAGACATAGACACAACACTTACCAATGCAACAGCCAAGGCCCAGGGTTATTGGTGATGAAGCGGATAGTCACACGATCACCAGTGTTGCCAGTGTCCACGGTGTCACGCATGACGGGGTTGACATAGTTATAACTGCTGCTTCCAGCACTTCTGATGACAGCGAAGGTGTGCTATGAACCACTTATTATTAGTCCATCTGGTGTATGTAGATGACACGCCAAGACGTACCCCATGCAGGTGGAATGGATGCTGTCAAAATATGTCAGTCTCTGTCAATCAAGGACATACATGATGTTTTGAACTGGACTCACAGGGCCCCCAGGAGAATTATCGGGATTGAATGAAACTTGGATAACCTTATTCCGTGGCAGAGTGTATACGGAGCCGTTGGGTGCAAGATCCGTCGCCGTCATATCACCGCTCAGTAACTGTAGTAGGACTGGGATACTAGGAGAAATGTACTGGACGCCATTGACGAGGAAGTTGAAATTGGACAGATTTTTCCCAAGAATAAGATCAAGTTTGACGTCTGGTTCCTGCAGTAAACGAGATGAAGGCGGTGATAGGGGGTGTAGGCTAGTCTCATTTAGAGCTACCAAGTCCGAGATTGTCCTGTTCTTTGGGTCGGCATCGGGAGAGCCTGCATATCGTAAGATAGCTGTGGCATTTGTACCCGAATCGGGATTGGCATGCACCCAATAGTTGTCGATAGGCTGGTTTGTCTCAAGAATGAAGGAGTATCGTTGAGCAGCATAGATCTGAATAAAGTCTACCACGAGCGGCTTGACGTATTGGCCATCAACCTCGATTATGGTAAGATTATGGCCATCGATCGAGAAAATGTAGTTGGACTTGCACGCCATGTTCAGTAAGCGGAAACGATATCGCTTTCGTGGCTGAACGTTGATGACGGCGAGAGGCACATCCGGCCCTCCATCGTAACGCCCGACACCGTTAATAAGTACCGAGTCGGGAATCACTTGTCTCTGTACCTGAGGCGAAGGCAGGTTATACCTACAAAGCAAGCCGATTTAACAACAGGAAAAGATCCATCAGCCTTTTCTTTTCTTACCAGTCCATCAATGTGATAATGCTAGACTCTTCACTCAAATGTGAGAAGCGCAACTCCATCTCGTCGAAATCACTCACCGTCATCAATATCGTACAACGAGCGGTATGGGTCGTTGGGGTCGTAGATGATCAGCGGGCCTCGTAGACCATCACAGTATTGGACCTAAATTGAACTCAGTTGATGACACCGTGAAAAATTAGAGTACGAACTCCATAATGAGAGTGATACCAGTAGGTTCCTACTTGGTCGCCAGCATTGAACTCATATAAAAAAGAGTATCCTGGAGTGATCGGACATTGCGTAACAAATGCCACGCCATCCATTTGGTTACTATGATGTTGGAATAGCCCATGCCAGTGCTGCGATAGACGTCATTGTTAGCTCCTACATGCATTTATCAGCCGGCCACGGTGCTTACGATACTGGTGCCCGTTAGCATCGACTCGTTACTTAGTTGGTTTGTGACGTTAATCTTGAACGTATCCCCCTTAATACACATGAGGTCAACCAAGAGTTTGCGCATGCAAAGTAGATACCACCTTCTGAGCCATGATCGTGGGCCCGGGATGAGTACCACCGGCAAGAACTGCCCTGCAATGATTTCAGTAATCAAATAGGTCGAAAATGCAGCAAACACTGACGTCCTGGTGAACCCGTCTGGGGATACAATGCCATTGGCAACGACGAGGTCAGAAACTGGACCAATAGTCGCGGCGTGACTCTGGAGGCTTGCCAGAAAGCACAGGAATACATAGAGTTGGAACATGACACAACGCTCTAGTCAATGGGAGGAAGATGAGCGAGACATAACGCATCCTTCAGCTTAAATAGTGCCCCTGGTATCAGGATGCACGGCCCTCATGAGCGCAGGGCTTCCTGCGTGCTCAAGCAGCTCCACAACTCCGCCACTGAGTGTCGGCCTACACATATTCCGATTGGTGGATCGGAATAATCGACTATGAGGCAGTAATTCCTCACACTAGTACGTCCCAGCGGATTCCCACCTTTAGGTCTCCGCCAATCAACTCGAATATGTTACGGGCTTGTAAAATGAAAAAATTGATTACCTGTCAAAGGCACTGGACTTCAAAATGTGATATTCCCGATCAGCGATGCGAGTTCTTTGAAGCTGGATAGCATCCAACAGGAACTTGTCAGTTGACCGGAGTGCCTAAATGAGCTTTGATTTCTTCCGCATGTTGCGCTGTGGGATGACAGCTTGGCCGGGGATGTCGCAGCGTATCGCCTAAATAGTTCCAGAAGGCCAGGCTGTTATGTCAGCTACCCCTACCGCCGTGAGACGTCTTTTGGGCATGTAGGAGTCCAGTAGGACACGACGAGAGCACTTTGTATAATGCCATAGGGTCCAATCGTTAGCCAACCTATGCCAGTACCAGAACATGTAAGTCTTCAAGACCTGGCCTGAGACATAGCATCGATGAATTTGACAATTGCCCAGTTCGAGACCGGTATGGAGATTCATAAGCAGAAGCTTCGACAGATCTTTCGTGACGCAGCCGCATTGCATAGTAGTTGCCCAGTAAGTAACTAGTGGCAGATTTGAATGGGCTCCGTAGGCGGAAGGTCGGCTTACAGCAATTTTAAGGTGCAAGTAGCTGCCGCCCTCTGCGTCACGTCGCCTGTTCATGTGTTTAATGAACTGTCAAATGATGGAGCAAGTTTAATTATATCTCCGCAGTTCAAAAAAAGTACCGTCATCCAACAGTATGTTATGGGATTTGATTTTGGGGCTGCGGCGACGTCTTGGAGCCATCCAGTGCATGTGTAGGTGCATGAACACCATCCAACCGACATTGGTGAATCATGATGGTCGCTGAGGTCAGGTGACAGATTTGCGTGGATTCCGGAAGGGGTTGGTAATTTGAAAATGGAGACTATAAATGAGCATCAGTATAAACATAGAACCATGGGGTTCAAGTTGTAGCTGGTTGCAATAGACTTGATGCAATCATAAACGCCTGGCATCGGATCAATGGAAGGAGTGGAGTGAGGATCGCGTAATCGCGCCCATATTCCGAAATCAGGAAGGGGGCAGCCGTTGTTCTAAAATATTAATAAACGCAATTCTTTAAACACACTGTGGAGTTGTTGTGATAACATATATTTGTCTTCTGTCTTGATACGGAACCACCACGAGTTGCGAATAACGTTCCTGATACATGTGTCCACTGTATATATCACTGTCAGGGAATAACTTATCCCGACGGGTTGAAGTTCGCAATCCCTTTGAAGCTGTACTTGCCCGGCGAACGATGGACGTAGGAGGTCGACCAGAGAAGCCCCCACGTGCAAGTTAGCAATGATGGCAAGATATTAATACGAACATCAAAATAACAAGCACTGGGCGTTGGATGGACAGCAACCGCTAGACTGGTTACATGACGCCCTCCCTCTGAAAAGTTAGCAATGCATCAGGACGGCTCATCCCTCTGTCTCTGGTTTTAAAAAACATGGTGGCACTAATATACGACCATACAATAAGCCAACATCCCTATGCTGTAAAACCAAGCATAAAAATCGGGCGAGGTAACTTGCTGAACTTGGAATATTGATGATACCGCCGCAGTATAAGAGCCATTCTGAAGAGGAACAATAGTAGGTATAACTTACGACTTGGAAGCATCGAGCCAACCGAGATGGAAGACAAGCTTGCTGTTTGAGTATATGAACCTGTAGACAGACGCTTAGCGCTGTCTCACAGACTTCATGCCAGCGACACAAATACAACTCACCCTCCTTGTCGGCTTGCTACGAGCGAGAGACCAACAGAACAACGGCTAAATACTGATTGTTATCCGTGATACATTACCACGAATTGAGTCAGCCAGAAAAACGCAGAAGCCTTCCACAACGCTGACCGTCGAGGAAACTATTTCTTCTGAACTAAAATCCATTGCGGCAACGAGCACTAAATCTCGAGGAAATAGCCAACATGGAAGTTCGATTGGAAGTATGTGTTGATTCACTGTTGAAGTAGTTGTTCGTCATGAGTATTTGTACAATGTTTGCAAAGGCTCCCGTTTTCAATACGAACAAATAACCACTAAAAGCAGTTCACTCGTCGAGGGATCATTCAATCGTGTATTCGTTGCCTTTAGCTCCATGACTTTCCTCTTGCGATATTCGTTGTTAGCCCTTCTCAAACTATTCCAATGGACACCTTTACTGGCGACCCTGGATCCTTTCAGTTATGTTCGGAGCATCGACGGAGACTCTATGGTCTTCGAGAGAGATAACTTCCTGTGGCCAAACCCGCCAGCAAATTATCTTCCCGCCGGATTCACCTCAAGCAATAGAAGCAGTCGTGTGTCTGCTCACGACCACCATTCTCCCCCATCATCCTCCACTTTCACATATGCACTCTTGATTTCCCAGCACAAACGCTACTTGTCAAACTTCGTGGATTCTCTAGGTCAGGCTGTACTCCAGACTGTGGTTATCTCTGCTGAAGTTCACATCAGTTCTGCTGTACTCTGACCAGTTGATCTATTTCAACAGTGGTTTTTACAGCATCCTGGTCTTGGCAGCGCTCAACCTTGGTCTTATGTGTCTCTACTCTGTTACTCGTCTCCAGTCTAAAAGAAATTTTCGTTTACCGGTCCCATCATGGGATAGCCTCAAAACGATTTTTCACAGTGACGGCGAATCTCTAAGTGCGGCGCCTTCGCGTGAGCTCTCTGGGATCAAGAACGTGTGCGTCACTCCCGACCAAGAAGCGTACAACAGCGATTCAGGTTTGCTTGCTACACAACAAGACATCTTGCGAGCTCCCAACAAACACACCTTACACGAGGATCTGGACAGTCCCGAAATTATGGATGCAGTCTCACACCTATACAATAGTCGATGTGTACTGCCACATAAGACGTCTAACGATGATGGCGATACCGAACGCACACTGAGTCAAGAGTCTCGGTCCTGGCATGATCCGGCGTCCCTGGACGTCTCACCTTCCCCCGAATCGTCGAACTCTGCGGGAGTTATCCACAATGCTGAGCCCGAGGACCCATGTCAAGCCCTACGCCCGGTGCACCTCGCTCGCAACTCCCCGCCACTGCCTGAGGCTGTATCCCATGAAAAAACAAGAACGTACAATTCGCATCGACCAGGTCGCAAGCCTGGTGGTGAACCTCATGATGGCAACCTCCAAATGACTATACCTGCAACGCCCAATCATGACGGGCATCTTTCTGTCTCGAGTATTCAAGCTTCTTTTTTGTCGAGGATCCCTCAAAAGCGAAGCTGGTCTCACACGGCTGTGATCGGTCCTGATCTTGAGGAAGACGGTGATTCAAGTCTTGAGGATGGGTCTTTCGGCAGCGAGTCTCCAGGGGATCAATTAGCTCTCGAATTATCTTTACCGCGATCCATCAACAAGAACGAGAATCGCGTTACATCCCGTCTTTCACCATCAACATCTAGACGCGAAAATATACTAGACTGTGGTTCTCTTTGTCATTCGGAACCTACAGCTACGCCATTCGAAATGCGCCACCGGAGTGCCAGCACTCCGGTCCCTTCCAGCAGAGGTAGTCAGCATTCATCAAACGGACTTGTCGTCACCGAGGTTGAACGGGACGACAGTCCGTCAAGTGGATCAGAACGTCAATTCGACGGACCAGATTCGTTCTGGGAAGCGGCTGTGCAAGAGAGATTGAGAGTCACCGCCACCTTTACGACTTTAGAGCCGCTCAAACCGAAGAGTGCAGGAACTACGCTGGTTGACCTGTCTCAAACCACCGCCACTGATGGCGACCACCCCGACAGGAACATTTCCACCGAGTCTGCAGCTTGTTCGCCCCCCTGGTCTATTGTTACGCGAAAGGCACCGTGCGCCCACAATTCCGGTGAGACGCAAGATCAGGCCCATGACGATGATCTCGCACTAAAGGCGGGGGCGCCGGGTTGGCTTCCAATCAAGCCGACGGGTATGTTAACCTGAACTGATAATGATCGTTATCTGATGAACGTCAATGCAGCTTCCCTGGATTGACCCTACGTTCGGGTGCTTATGCGAAGTATGTTCCCCCGCAACGGCGTGTGGCCGGCGAGCTCGTGTACACTGTCTCACAGCGGACGAAGCCCACGCCGCGTCATTCGGAGCGCGTAAGATTCGGATTTCCATCGCCTATGCTGGAGACAAGCTCTCGTTCGTCTACCCTGTCTCCTTGGAGTCCGTTCGCACCCCACGAATTTCTCTCTTCTACTTCAGAAGCAGTCGCGTGGAAGCGTGGTGCGCTTTTCTTGCCCAATCCTCCACCAGACGAATTCGCACATATTGATGAATTTGGAAACGAAAAATCATACTACCCAAACACAAACTGGAAGACGGCAGACCCAGACGACTGGTTGTCAGGCTCCCTTACGGCGAAGCACGCCGCTTGAAACCGGGCGGTGAAAGATGGTGAAGAGGGATGTCAACTAAACGCTCTCACCTCCGCAACGGCACTGCCATGACCTGTGGAAGAACGGTCTCTACCGATGTGAAACTTGCAGAACGTAATGAAGATGGAGACCAATGGATTCTTTTCCCCTTGAATGTTACGTGCATTTCGATGTGTTTTTTCTTTCCTGTTGTCCCTACGTATTTGATTTGTCCTGTGACCATATGGTAATTTTGATAGTTGTAGACAAGTTGTGGACTCGTTCTGTATCATAGGTGACATTCGGCTGTCAAATGCTCATGATGCCCAGGCTGTCCCATGCGTTCCCGTTCCACATCATGCAACCCCTACGTTTAACCTCGTTTAGCGCGGGAAGGCGTGACGTATGGGGATCGATGTGAAAGGTGCCTCGGAAGGAACCGGTCCAGCTTGCAGACCGCAGTTCTTCACCGCATTATACAATCCGCTTGCTCGTTTCACAGTACGTTCGCTCGCTCGTTTATTTTCGCCCACCCACCCCCAGAATTTTAATACAGTCCCATCACAATATTCGTTTCGTCCTTAGTGTACATTTGATTAATCGTACACCCACTATCACTGCCAGACTGGCAGCTTCATATCTCAGTACTCAGTATCCTTCAGTATCCATATAATGGTCATTCATTCAGCCCTCATATCGAGTTTTTCCCGCTCACCCAGCGGCAATCTCGCCAGCATCCGCACTGAGCTAACGATCCCAGCCCAACCACTGTTCTCATCGCATTTGCGATAGGTGACGAAGCTGGAAACTTCAAGATCAGATAGTGTTCGGGTGCAAAATTTGATGTGATAACGTTCATGTGAGTTTGATGTGAGCAAGTCCAATTCCATGGGACCGTTCAATGGAGAACTTTCGATCCGGCCATGATTCACCGTTATCGTTCGCGCGAGCTATAGAATCGAAAATTCTGTAGAACCAAGTACTCGTCCAAAAGTGAAATGCTCAGGCGCGTTGCTAGACTTATTTGTCTCGACCGCTTCTGTGTTTCATATCCCGACTGAATCAGGACCTTGACGTGATAGCTGTGTGAATGCATGTGATAAGACAGTACTAGTGTACCCAGGGGCCAGCAAAGACCTACCGACGTTAATTCAGAACCATCAGATGGTTGCGCCACCGCTTATCGTCATCTTGGCCACTTCACCATCCGCATCCTGAATCTCTACTTCTATATCCTGTGCAGTGTCCACGGGACCATCTTCTTCGTTATCATTGACCTCATGATGGCTACCTTCATCGAGATTCATCTCCTGCACAAGCCACCTTGCGCCCTCATCCCATCCAATCATTTCGGCTTCACCCAGGGGTGATCTTCCGGCAATATTTTTGATATCAATCAGATCAACCCCTGGTCCCCCAGTAAAGTGGACCAGCTTCTGCGCTGATTCGAGATGCTGGTTCAGCGCTGCCCAGTGCAAGGCGGTCGAGCCAGCGCTATTTTGTGCAGACAGGATGGAAGGGGAGAGAAGAGGAAGAAGGTAATCCAGCACGTCTACAAGATGCCTTACGCGAGTCAGTCCTCACGATGTGGCGAACGTGATGCAATAAGATCGTGCCTCACCTATGTGTCCATTTCCGCACGTCATGTGTAGCACGGTGTTTCCGTTGTCGTCTCGGACACTGGAGAGAGCACCTGGGCCAAATTTTGTTACAAAAGCTTGAACTTCGTCGAGATCATCGTATCGACATGAAAGGAGGAGGTCTTCCTTGTCATCGTCTGTGGGCAGCGGCCATGTAGCCATTGTGAAAGATTTAGAAAATGATGTGAACCAAATTTATTCATCAACCCATCATCAACCCATGAGCCCGGGATCCGACGGCACGGCAAAACCAGCCCGGCCTTCAAAATTTTATGACAAATCAAGCAACTTGTCACTTACCCCACAATCGCGATTGCAGCGCTTTGCAGCGGTACTGTCTGGTACTCTCTGATACTGCGGGTTACCGATTCACGGAGCACTGAATAAGCTTTGATAAGCTCGGCATCGGCACGTTGAATCAACCCGACTGGCAGTACTACTAGCTTGGGTATGGCTGTAAACCTGTGCTAATCAAACCAATACTACTTCCGGAACGGTCGGTTCGTTACAGCTACTACAGACTTGGCACCATATGCTCCAAAATCCGTAGTCTCCGTGGTCAGCAGGAACGTGCCACAACGGGTGGCATTGCGATGATATCATGATATATTAATGTGTATGTATCATGTTATCTTCCTCCCAAACAGACTCGCTTTTGTTTCATGATCCTTTCCCTGTCGTGTGGAATACTGTGAGAGGGACTCTACTTACGCACTATATATTTTCGTCTCCTCAACTTCATAAATACCACGACCAGAGCATTTATCATTACTTCGCGCAACTCTCACCTCCTCTTCTTTCTACTTATTCTCCTTTGCTCGCTTTTGAATCATGGCCCACATGAGTCCAGCCGTCAACCTTGTATGGGCAGCACTTACAGTTATGGTCGGTCTAGTGCTCGATTATTCGATGGAGGAAATACTGACATCCATTTGGTTTAGTTCGAATCCTTTTTAGTGTATCATCTCTGGTCCTTTGACCGTTTCAAATGTCTGAGGTTGGCGGATTGTTGCACACACAATTTACGAGTGCCCTAAGTACATTTGTACAGGTGGAATCATGGACTGCGTTCTGGCACATTCAAGCGGGTCATGACGGTGCGTCACGGTTTCCTTCATTTCTATTGTATCCATCACATCGGTCTCACTCAATCTCACAGTATTCTTATTTAACCAGCATTCCGTTAATCACAATCTACGCTGTGGGTTTCTCCATTATCAAATATAGTTATGGTTTCACTGTTATTCCTGGGATGGGTAGTGAGTAAGCCCAATCGGTAACTTTGACGCCTCCCACTGATGCCAAATTTTCACAAGTCACACCCACTCCGTACGAGCTTTGGAGTGGCAGTGCACAAAGCGCAATCCTCCCTCTGTACCTGTGTTTTTCGGTTGCTTGGGGACTAGAGATGTGAGTTTGCCCAACCGATATTCACCGACACCAGCTAACGTTTCGGCTAAGGGTAACGCACCTAGAAGGTTTATTTTTATGCCTTGGCGTTTGAGTTGAAACTAAAGTCACGCCCCGTAGAGCTGTGCTTTTGGCTTTTCTTGATTCACTCTGGCTCTGCGAAACAAGATTGGTTTCGCAGCCTATATTTCAAAACATGGGCGATCGGATCTGTAGTCGCAGTCATTTGTATGCCCCTTGTAACGGTTTTGACACGGGAAGACCCCTACAAGGTCTGTCATTTGCATGTTTGGATATCGGACGAAATTTGTAAACTCTGACTAGTGCGAGGCTTACACAATCTTGATCGGGAGTCTCGGGAGCTTGTCTTTGACAATATGGTTTCTTCCGATTTTGTGGACATTCCCCACATTCCTCGAGAGCCTGGTTGGTTCATTTCGATCAAGGTTATGATCCGGTCTGACCAATCCTCTCCAGAAACAAGCCAATGTTGATAGGAGCACAATAATTAGGCTCGTAAAGTTTCACGAGCTCAACGTAAGCTTTGTGCAGATGTGACATCGTTGCTTAACTCATGTGTGGTACATGGAAGTGTATCCGGGTCTTCTTCCGCTTTCTCTTCACAGTGCCGTTTGTGATATTGGGCATTGATGGCATCAGACCGCATCAGCACATCAACGATAAGATGTGCGTGTTATGTGCCTGTATCTGAAACATGCTAACTGTCAGATACTAACTTTCTCATCTAGGTTTCCCACCGGTATGCAACTTCACCGTGCCAGGCAGGTTTGAGTCACTAACCCATCCTTCCAACTAGACCTATTGGGGATGACTGCGGGTATAGGCTGTGTCGTATCCTCTGGGATTACTCTTATCGTGCGTCATTTATAGGTGCTAGTCATGTAATTTGATTCAAAACGGTGAGCCTCAGATATTCTTCCCGCGCTCAATCAAGGGGGAAATAGCAAATAGGGAGGCGGCTCGCGAGCCTCGCCGATTCCCCCGACCAAATACCTTTGGAGAAGATCCTATGAATGTGCAGCGCGGAGATCAGTATGTGTCCGCATATCAACTACCTCCCTATGAGGCAGCAGCTCTCGGTCACTCGATACAGAAATTAACAATCGAAGAAATGTCGGACGAGGAAAATCCAAAATATGGGCCGTGCGAGGTGTCACCTTCACTATGCCTGCAACCAAATCGCAGAACGAAGGATGGGAATGTGGAAATAGGGACTGTCTTCAATCTCACGGATGCTGCTCTGTCGAGACATAATACAGTCACGCCGAAGTCGAATGTAAATCATCTTGTGTATAACTGGCGATCACCACTTGGTAAGGACTCATTATTTCTACTGTTGTGGATGGGTGCTGACAGGGGAGGTAGAAATTGGAGAACCACCGTATTGGTACCGGTGATACCAAATGATTTGGCGGTAAAAATGGACTAACGGATCGATGCTAGTATTCTACCTCACTCTGCTCGCCCTAATTGCATACTGCTTTGCTAACTCGAAATATAAGCGCCTAAAATTTCAACAATCGGCTACTTGTGTGTTACCTCGTTCATTCTACTTCATACAAAGATTGTCCTCAGTCGAGACTCCTGAGAGGCTAGCTCAGAAGTGACCAGTACAAGCTAACAATATCAATATTGGTAGCGATGCCAAGTCTTTTCGCACAAGGTCAGGTTATCCTAAAACTGACGATGTCCTCAATGGTGCGTGTTATAATGTTGAAAAGATATCGATATCGATGAAGAAAAAACTATCTCCCTTCTATGTATCAAGGTTTGACTACGGGTCTACTGTCAATGTCTGTCATGTTTATCCTTCGAAAGCGTGGGAAAAATAAAGGTGTCACGATCTTGCAAAAATTCTGAGTCCAGGTTCTTCAGATCATCATCATATCAGTATTCTGGTCTGAGACTCTGAGCCCGAGTACCATCGCAGTGACTTCTGCTTGTTCATCGTGATGTGGTCGGTAGCGTATCGTCTTCCAACCATCTCAATGCGGCATTCATTCCCTCAATTTCAGCAAACATGTATTAAATGCTCAAGTTTCGATACGAGCTCCATGCTGCAAGCAATGGTTTGATTGTGCAGAGTGTCATGCGGAGACGCAGGATCATGCGTTAGGGAAGACAACTGAGATGGCGTTCATGTGCAAGAAGTGCAAGAAGGCCTTTAGGAAGGATATGTCAAACTACGAGGAGAGCGATGAGTTTTGCCCGCACTGCGATAATCACTATGTAGGCGACATCGCATTCTTGTGACCGCAAGTTAACATCTCTTCACGCCACTGATAGGTCATTGATGCCAAGACGCCGCAGGCGGTGATCGGAGTTGAGGGCGAAGATACGCGAGTTGACGCACGGTGAGGTCTTTCTTGATGAAATATAGCTCATGGCTTGATTCCTCTGCACAGGATGCTCAAAGACGATCGTGTTCAACAAGATCCAACGCGATCCATCTTTTCAAGAGATTTTTCGGATAGAGTGGGATGATGTCTCTCGACACCCTTGCGTTCCCTGTTTTCCACTTGTGTTCACTGTTGTATGCTATCACTGTCTCTATCGGATTAGGATGACGATCCATTTTATAGTCATTTTCCCTTCCCTCGGCGTGACTGACTGATGTCTATGCAGCCTCTCGGAGCGAAAGCATTCAAGTTGTACAGACAGTGGATCTTGATCTCAGTGACTGATGCGTCTGATACAGGCAACCGAAGTCCCAGACTATAGATCGATCCTTCGTTCAACGCTGCAGCACTCAATACTCGGCCTTTTGTACTCGGCACTCATTCCACACTGAATCGTGTTGGTGAGACGCGTTACTTAAAGCGCACGAACCCCTGGAATCCTACTCAATTATCACGCTTTCTGTCATATCTAATGTGGAGCGACGTTTAACAGATCAAATTGCATCTCGCATGTAGCAACATTAACATCAATCGGTGCATGTCCATCCACAGAGTATAAGATGGAACTGTGGTTCACCTGCGTGTGCTGACATAAGTTATCTCTAGCTCTTAACATGGACTATTCGTGATTTCGGGTGTAGTCGTCCCTGTATCTATCTCTCGCCAGTACCCATGTTACGGATTTCCATACCAGAGTCCTGTCACAGTGGCTGGGGTCGTTGTTGATATTGATGGTACGTCAGTAGATGCACATCATCCATCCATCTGCCGTTTTGGGTTGAGGTTCGCCCTGCGGTCTCCGGAAGCCCTCGTGTGAGTCTGTCCCCGGTTCAAAGTTCAATGAATATTGGAGATATTGATGACCGACTGATTCATGCTGGCAGGTGTTTTCAACATGCTCAAGACCTGCCAGCGAATGAAGACACGGTGTATGAGCACACACGATCGGTTCGCATCAGTTGTTTTGCCGTCTCAGAGCGCAGTACATTTTGATTTGCTGTGACAATGCATGGTAGCCTGCTAGCAGCTACATACAAATCTTACATTGCGTCAGCTGCTGGAGACTACTAGCAGTTGCCCCATCATGCTCCTTGACCCTGACTGAGTCACTTGTAGTCAGGGAATTATTGCTTTAGTGCCGGAATCAACTACCTTTCTTACAGCTACTTTCATATCGATAGATCAGATTTCTTTTTTTTTCCTCTTACCGCTTCTATGTACTCGTAGAGCTGGACAAACAGGGTCCCGTTTATTACGATACCTTCAAGTTGGTCGGGCGAGATACCCTTGAATGGCAAGGGCGCTTTGCTTGCCTGAACACCGTCTGGAGTCCAGACACTCCAGTGGCCGCTGTCAAACAGCAATAAGTCATCGTGTCTGTCCGTATGTTGTGGCTGGCTTGTGCACAATGGATACTTGTGATTATGATCTCATATAACTACAAAACTGTACAATGTATACGAGTCGCGAGCTGAGAGGCCTGTCGGAAGCAGCGAACTCCCAAGTTCCCTGCCATTCGCCGGGGATGTATTCTGCCTTTGAACAGTACTATAATATTGTAAAAGGCGGTACCTTGTTATTTGTCCAGTTCCACAAGTAAATAGAAGCGGTAAGAGGGAAAAAACGAGGCAAAAATGAAATCCGGTTCAAGGGATGACCGCTGCAGTGGTCTCTATCTCCGACAATCGATCCTGGGGTCACGAGCTAACCATACAATTATGACCCAGTTCTTAACGCTACTGAAGCACTAGCCATTCAAAATTCCTATACGTGCATCCACTCGTAGAATGCATCATTCGATCCGGTCCGACGTGCAGGAGGCGCAGGTCATCAATATCCTTTGCTCGCTATTTATATAGCTACACTACCATTCGTCCAATCGGAGAGACGTTACTACGACACATCAACTAACTCGAGACTTCTCAGACTTCCTGAGACGACACGTCGGGGGCTTGCTCGTGAGACTAATATTTTCTGCTCGGCACTCACGAGCGTCGGGCAGGTGGACTTATTAAATATCGAGAGAAACAGGTCCGTCCTCTCGCATCACGCTCTCCCTGATTGCACTTTCAGCAGTCTGACTCGATGATGAAGATCGTCAGCAGCAGTCTCGCTCTTGCCTCGCTTGTGGGACCTGCCCTAGCAGGTGCGATCTACACTCTGAACGAGTGCGTTCGTGGTGAAGGCTTCTACGACTCCTTCAATTTCGAGAATATCACTGACCCCACCAAGGGGCGTGTGTATGTCCGCCTCGCTTGCACGCAATTTGTTCTTTTTCTCATTAAATGACACTGACAGGACGTATGTCAACCGAACAACGGCAGAGAGCCTCAACTTGACCTATGCCACGAGTGATACCTTCATCTTGCGCGCAGACGACACCACGGTTTTGAACGTCAATGACACAGGCCGGAATTCGGTCAGGATTCGGTCCAATCAGCGGCACCATGAGCATGTTGTTGTGTAAGTGATTCCTCGTAGACGTCTCATCGACTGATGCTTTGTCAATAATAGCTTTGACATACAGCACATGCCCGAAGGATGTGGGTGAGCTTCTTTAATTTATTCCATGGTTCCGTCGCTTATATATCTTGAAATAGAACATGGCCTGTAAGTAGGCGGTTCCGATCAAGCAGCTTTATAGTAACAGATAGCAGGCTATCTGGGAAACTAAAGAGTCCGGTTGGCCTGCCGGTGTTTGTTCTTTCCTTGTGTGATAGCTCTACCATCCTGACGTACGTCCCTTTGCCAGGGTGAAATCGATATCCTCGAGGGTGCAAACAATGTAGTGCCTAACCAGTCGACACTCCATACTAGCCACAGTTCGTTCACTCCATAACATTCATAACTGTGCTATTTTACAACATCACACAGATTGCTCCATGCCAAATAACACTCTCCAATCAGGGTATGTTTTGATCCGTCACTGCATTAAACCTCGTTCGGCTAAAATGCTAACTCTTTAGAACCTTTATAACAACCAACTGTGACGCTTCAGGTGATGCCACTATAGCTGATTCCAATCTCGTGCTAAAATGCAAAAGTCGCTTACAATATTGGGTGTGCTGTGAAGCTCACTCAAGACGATAACAGTTTTGGTCCAGCATTCAACAACATTGGCGGAGGATGGTACGTTACGGGCCCAGAAACTTACTTTCAGTACTCTTTCGGCTTACAGGTTCTTCTGCAGGTATGCTATGGAACGCACACTTCACTATATCAAGGTTTGGTTCTGGGAGAGACAAGACCCATTTGTTCCCTTGGACGTTAGCAGTGGTGCATGGATGATCGACACTGACAACTGGGTAATAGTCTTTGCATCCCTTTTGAATTGCGCTTATATGATTTGACTGCGAGGGCATCCCTGCCGCCTACTTCCCTAATAACACCGAGTGTGACATCCAGTCTCACTTTGGAGCCAACAACATTATCATTGATCTGACGTTCTGTGAGTCTTGCATTGTTTTGTAGTGGTCTGTCGTGTTCATGCCGCGCGCAGGCGGCAGCTGGGCAGGCAACGCGGCTCTCTACAATGCTTCTGGATGTCCTTTAGACTGTGAGACTTATGTCAACAGTAAGTGCTCCCGAGCGAATGTCTAGTACATCTGTGAACCCTCCGCAGACAACCCTACCGCGTTCACAAACGCCTACTTCCAGATCTCGTCCATGAACGTCTACAAATAGATGTCGCAGGACAGGCGTTAGGTGTGTTGTTTTCATACTCCCGTTCGGTAATCCCTGAAACTTGGCTCAGTAGGTCAAAAATAATCATTGTCAATGATGCGAATTATATAGCACATAGAGGATGTTACTTTACTTACATACCATGAAATACAGAAGGGCATTCGCTACGGCAGCTGAGATTTTGCGGATTGATGGAAAGAGCGTATTGCTCCCTGAAGCCAATGTAGGTACATGGAATGTTTCGGGTCAACAAAATGTGTGATGTGTCCTCCCAGTGAACGGCACTGGCGTCATGATGCACTGATGCCTGTACAGCTATGACGTCAGAGCTGTTCAAGAGGCGTGTAGTCATTTTTCTAGACGAGATGCGCTTGCGAGGATCTACAGCAGTTAACACCCAAGTAACTGCACGCATACCTGCTCTGGAAGAAGAAACAATCCTAATTCTGCCTGCTTGTGTATCGCTTTTGAAACACAAGCTAAGTTGCTGAACGCCGAGAGTAACCTGTTAACTGAGACCTTGCGTGTGATGCCATATAAGTGACCCATGATGCATGATGCATGATCATCGATGTCCAACGAAGGATGAATATCACCGGCAAGGTCTGGCTCAACCAGGCTCGACCGCTCAGCCTTCGTCTAGTGTCTATGTGCCATCTACACAACAAAAGTAGGTAGCTATTACTGATGGACTCGATGCATTGTTACCAGTGCCAAACACACCACTTCCGCCACTGCTGACATGTCCGTTGAAGAAGAGTGTGAAGGTAATAGTAGGAACTTGCTTACCCACTGCATTCTTCCATTCTTTGGTACATTTTCACCGCACCTGAGGGAAATTTCCCTAGCGCTGTGTGCCTCTAAAATTGTCTTCCAGTGCCTGCAACACATCCTGACCAGATTTTGGGGGTGCCTGTTTTTCAAGCGCAACTACCTTTTACAAAGCCTTTGCTTCATCCTGGAGTGCTAATACCGCTGTTGAATCATTTTTGATGATCTTTAATGGGCCTTGGAACAAGATTCTAGAGCCGGAGCGAACTGATTTGTTCACTATACGAACTTTGTGAAGTATAGCCGCGATTTGAATTATCAAATTCGTGTGGCAGTTCACGCGCCGAACGGCACTGCCACAATTGCTGAGGCGTGAATACGCACTCTCAAGAACAACCTACTAACGGACGACCCAGTTCACTTTGAAACGACGACATTCCGTACTTCAAGTTTAATTGTTGTACCTCTCCTGATTGTCAACTGCTCTATAAATCACGAAATATGTCTGCCAGGAGGCAGTCATCAACAACATCTCTAGCTAAATATGCACGGGCCACATCGCCCGATACCAACATTCGCTCTTTGGATTTCTGCAACTCTTTCTGGGGTGTTGCAGATGGAGGCGTAGATGTATTGTTTGCTCGAATGCGCGGGGCAGCAAGGACGATGGAGGAGTTGAGGAACTTCTGGAAGGAGAGGTAATTTGACTCTCTTATATTTTTCCCATTGAGCTTTACACATGTCTGCAGATCTGCGATCGAGGAAGATTATGCCAAACGGCTCGCGAAGTTGGCCAAAATGTCAATTGGCAAGGATGAAATAGGGTGAGTTACTCAAATTCTTCGAACCCTGACCTTCGCCTGCGGGCCGCTCTGGTCGGGCGGGCGGGATGACACAGGTGTGGCTCTGCAAGTTGCAGAACTACACGTTGTTCCACAGAGCACTTAGGGAGATGTATTTCCCGTCTCATTACTCGGGTCGAATACACAGCGTCCAGCTGCCTGGTGGCGCAACTTTGCATCTGACGTGTGGCTTACGCCTGGGTTTCATTACTGATCGCAACTCGCAGGGAACTACGGAACTCCGTGGATACATTGCGCTTGGAAACCGATAAGCAAGCCGGTTTTCACTTGCAGCTTTCGCAGCAAATACGGAATGATCTCGAAGGTCAGGCCGCGGCTTTCTCCGCAAGGCAACAACACCACAAGAAGACGTATCAAGCTGCTATCGAGAAGGAGTTCAAAGTAAAGCAAACACGCGAACAGCATGCAAGCAAAGCTCGGGAGAAATATGAATCTGATTGCCTTCGTATCAACTCCTACACTGCTCAGTCGACGCTAGTTCAGGGCAAAGATCTCGAGAAAATTCACCTGAAGCTCGAGCGTGCCCAGCAAACAGTCCAAGTGAACGAAAATGATTACGCTCAGTTTACTCGAGTATTGCAAGAGACTATGCAGAAATGGGAGCAGGATTGGAAGGCGTTCTGCGACACATGTCAAGATCTCGAAGAAGAGCGAATGGAGTTTATGAAGGATAATATGTGGGCATATGCCAATTCTGTATCAACAGTATGTGTCTCAGATGACGAGGTAAGTCTTTCGCCATCATTGGCTATCACTGTTTAGTAATCGGTCTATATAGTCTTGCGAGAAAATGCGACTCGCCTTAGAACAAATGGAACCGGAGAAGGAGATGGAAAATTTTGTTCGCGACTACGCAACGGGAAATGCGATACCCGAGTCACCGGCGTTCGTCAACTACACCAATACCGATGCAGTGCCCTCATCTTCTACTCGCATTGCTACTCGTCCTGCAACCTATGCTCGAACATCCCAGAGGTCATCGGCAGGGCGTAACGCACCACCACCGGAGCCCGAAGACCCCTACGACGATACAAACCATGCAGGTGTAGGGGCGATTGGTGCAGGAAGTCGTAGCTCTCCTGCTGAATCTGCTCTCGCGAGAAGTCAGACCCAAAGATCTCAAAGTGGACGCTCTCAAACGAACGGTGTCAACGGACACGTATCCCCTCTCCGTGATGTTCAATCTCGGGCGTCCCAGGCACAGAGGCGCAATAGCACAGCCTCTGCCCTTCGGCCTACGCAAGAGCCCCGTGGGGATCCAGTCGATCCTACGGTCTCTAACACACAGCTAGTTATCGGAGATCAGACTTGGAATGTTGATCCAAACAAGGACCCACAACAGCAGAGAGGCCAACCTCGGACATCTCCTCCTGTTGGAGAGCAAAATGACCCATTAGTCAGGCAAATGGCTGAGCTGAGCACTGCTGCTGCTCAGAATGTGGCTAGACGTCCTACCGTTCGCAGAGATACACTCTCAGGACAAGATCCCCGCAGAGCTACCACTGAATCTCTCGTTACCCCCTCTTCGGTCCACTCTGGCAATCGCGATTTCCGTAATTCAGCTGAAGTCGTAGTTGGGTCATACCCTCTGGCACCATCGCGTTCGAACTCTCCAAATCCTAAACCCGTTCTTGCAGCCCCTCCGCCACCCTCACTCCCGCCACCTTCCTCGAATCTCCCAGTGGAGCAAGTCCTCAATAACTATGGTCGTACGTTCCCAGGAGAACAAAGGTCTCGCAGCAGGGCCAATAGCTTTGTTGGTCCGCCGCCTCCTGTTAACAATCACCAAACCCAGGATCCAAATGGGGTACGCCCGACTAGTAGGGGGGGTTATCCTGGTGTTGGTACTCAAAATCTAGGTCCTCAGCCTCCGTCACTGGTTCGTGCGCCGTCAATCGCTCAAAGGCCAGTTACGCCGAACAACCCAGTTGGCATTGCTCTAGGCCCAGATGGACGTGTCGTTGTGGATCATATGGCACACCAACCCCCGCGACAACCACCCTACGTCCAACAACCATCTAGCGCGCAATCATACCCAGGGTATAATAATAACGACAGCCGGCAGCTGCAGCAGCCTCGCGCTGATTATGGTACTGTGGCGACCTATGGCGCGCCCGCTCCACCACCACAACCTTACGGCAATTATAATCACACGCCTCAACGTCCTCAATATGATTCTCAGCCCGTTGTTCCTTACCAGCCTCCTCCGCCGCCATCGCAGCCTTACAACAACTACGGTCCGCCTGCGCGGAATCCGTCAATTGCGGCTCACCCAAGCCAGGGTGCCATTAATCACCAGCACCCTCAGCAAGCATACTATGGACATAACACAAACACCTACCGGGCGCCAAGCCCTGCTATGACACGTACACCTTCTCCACAGCTCCCACGTCATCCACCGCCTCCCACAGGTGCCTATACTGATGATGGCCGCCCCATCCTGTTTTACGGTACGTTTTATGACTTGACAATGTACCTCGGTGTGTTCATAACGTAACTCGTGCTCACAGTGAAAGCACTGTATGATTACGCAGCAACCATTGACGAAGAATTTGATTTCCAAGCGGGCGATATCATCGCCGTAACTGATACCCCAGAGGACGGGTGGTGGAGTGGAGAGTTGCTTGACGAGATTAGACGACAGGCCGGTAGGCACGTGTTCCCAAGCAATTTTGTGTGTTTGTTCTAGTCGTATACCTCTCACTCGTTTTTAGCGCGCTCTGCATTTACATCATTCTTTTTGCTTACTTCAGACACCTGCTATGTTTTCTTACTGATACCAAACCCGTGACGAGTCCATTGACGCTTGTGATGTTTGTGTGGTACACAATTTTTCAGTCAACCTTATCTAGATTCTACTGGTGGATAAATATTCACTGATCCATGGACGCTGGAATCGGGTCCGATAAGTTCGCGTGAGTGGCAGCAATGCCAATCTGATAATCTTCCCTAGCCGTCTTCCCGTACATCACGCATTGATGTGTTCTTGTCTAGGCATTATTTGAACAAATGACAAATGTGTTGTTGCGTCCTAATATCGTTCCAGGTCACCCTGCGACATCGACTCGGATGGGCCCGCATTGAAGTCCGCTTAGTCCGCTTCCCGCCGGCTATCGACCTCGACTCTTCATTTTGCAATTATATATGGGTTTATCATAGCTTTTCGTCTTCTGTTCTCATTTACAAGAGGGCTTAAGTCGTGATGGAATGCGTTATCGACGATATATAAGACACGTGTAGTTGCGTTCAATTAACGTTCATTTTGAGATAGCTGCTGTGCAGACTCGTGTGCGCTTCTATCGTTATGCAAGCTAGTGCGTGCAACTTGAAATCCCCTTTGGAGGCCAATATGTAACATTCAGTACTTCCAAAGGAAGCAGCTAAGGAGCAGTCCTTTGTCTTATGACAAGTTATTTGCACTAGCTGTTTCTGACCGCTAGGCTACTTGGCACAGCAACCGGAACTCAATTGAAATTTCACCTCGAAGCCTGGCCAGCGCGAATATCTATCCGGTTATGGGGGTTATTTCCCGGCCCTTAGTTGTGGATCATGAAACATGCTGAAACCGTGACATGGCAGTGAAAATTATGTATATCAGGGGCAATCGACATTACCGTTATGCGGTTCCCACCAATCTAAGCGAACAAGGATAACGTTTGTGGTCATCGCATTATGCTTACCCGAAATCGGCTCCGGCAACATCTTGTAGTATTAAAGGCCCACTTCTGGCCAAGTTATCTCTAGTAGCTCCGTATCCTCGCATTTCACTCTGTCTTGAAGTTGTCATAGCTCTTGTGGTTCATCGATACTTGAACGTTAACCCTTGACGCTCCCGATAATCCTCAAGCTACCATGCGTCCATATGCCATTTACGAGCACCCCGATTTCAGCCTCTCCGCTGAGTCGGTATCGACGCTGCAAAAGATTGCAGCTGCTTTGACCGCTGTTGCTGCATCCAGTGCAGCTGTATATGAGTATATCGCCCACGTTGGTGCTTCCACTGCACAGGGAAGGTCAGTAACACTTGATCCGATTTTTGGTTCGGTCGCTGAGTTCCCCTGCAGCTCGGCGCTTCTTTAAGCCTGAGGCGATTCAGACGAATGTCCAAGTGTTCCGTGCTCACGAAATGGGGCATTGCCTCCTGTTCAATCGTCGGAAGGTCGATTTGTGGGATTTAGAGCATATGAAGACTTCAATAGAAGCAGGGGGACGAGCTTAGGCGGACCCCGGATCGCATTGAAGGGTGAAACTAAATGTAAGAGTGCGCAGACTTATCATCGGTGTAGGGTTATATGCAGCTACTGCAGATGGTTCCCATCCGGTATGGACATTGAACCACTATGTATCATCAGTTACGGCAATTTGTTGTACGAGCGTTAGTTTATCGTTTCCCATCATTCTTACATGATACAATTGTTCTGTACTGCTATCATCTAGAGGTTGTAGAATTTACTATTTTGAAAGCGCTTCGTATGCATAGGCCAGTCTGCTTTCAGCTTAGTTGGGCAAGGGTCCCTCCAAAATGCAAATGTTCTATGATGGACAGAGTACAAAGTACAGACCTACAAAGTATGGATCTACAGCTGTTGTATCCTCTGCTGGACCTTTTCCCTGACGGTCTGATACGCATTCATAATCGTCTGCTCGTTGATTACAATCTCAGTTGTGTCGGCCTTTGGTCGACTAACTCTGGATGCAATTGTCGTCGAATCTGTTTCCACAATAATTCTGTTAAGATGGCGATAAGCATATGCGTTGGACCATTGATCAAAATAACACTTTACCCATCATCAATTGTTTCATCCAGGCACAAAAGAACCATGTCGAGGTTCTCCAGTACAGCCCGCTTCTCAACCTGATTCCGCAACAGCAAATGGACTGCGTCACAGAACGCTGTGAGAGCGGAGTAAAGCATGATTTCATTCTCTGTTGCACCGCCGATAATGTAGAAGATGAGATCTAATGAATGTCGGAAGACTGCAAGACGACCGTCGTAGAGTATGATATCGGCTGAACACGTATGCATCGACGACGGGCTACCTGTGAGTAGGTTTTCCTGTTACACATGCGGTTACGCACCTCCAGGCTTCTTGGTTTTCTGCCATAGACCCTTCTCAAATGCTCGTTGGTCCTTCAACGTCAGAAGATCCTTGGACTCGCCCTGGGGATGACCTTTGGGTCGATAGTACTTGGCGAGGACACGATGTCCTTCAGCGTCTAAGATGAGGAACGAGTTTACGCTGTATAATGATAGATTCATCTTCAAAAATGGGACAAAGTTAGCCTTGCTCCGTTACAGTAGATGCGACAACGACCTTCACCGACGTGGCCAACAATACCAGTGCTAGTGATCACCTGTTGAAAAGCACCCGAATGTACTACGTCGAAAAAGGAAATTGTAAAATTGGCTGCTATCCGATTGATTCTTGCTGCTATCACACTTCAAGCTAATACTACCTATTAGCGTTAGACGTGTTCATCTTGTCTGAGACCTCCGAAGGCCTCTTTTCGACTTCGATGATGTCACTCCGGTTTAAACTTGTATTTTTTGCCCCAAAAACTCACACCGCGGAGATCCTGAGCATGCTGTTCAAACAATGCCCGAACGTACTCGGTAAGATTGGTCAGTATGAAGGAATGCGCATTCATCACTCCCGGAGTTGGTGAGTCTTGCCGAGGCAGGTGACTTTGAGTTGATTCCGTCTGGACGATTCGTCTGAGGTCATCCATAGGGCAGTTCAGGCCAGGGCCAGGCGCTCAACCTCTTACTGGAGAGCCTGGCAAACTCGAACACGTGGATGAGGATAGGGTGGAAATTGTGGTTAGTGACCAGGGCGATAAAGCACAACTCAAGGATGCAATTAGTCATTTGAAAGCGGCAAGACATGTTTTTTTCGTAAAATCGGATGTGAATGTCCTGACGTTTGGCTCCTTCAGGTTCATCCATATGAAGAGGTCGCATATGACGTCTACAGACTTGAAGACGTTTAGGCCACAAGCCTTTACCTGCCTTGGTTGTTTCTCCGACGCGGCTTGATGTTATCTTTATTTGAAATACAACTAAGCCAAATGGCGAAATGCGCTTACACTGAGTAGACTCACTGTTCGGGTGAAGACATCCTGTTCCGCCTCCACCTCACACTTTGGTTACGCGAAATGAAAAACACGTCTTGGTCAACCAGTGACCCGTCCTGCAACGTGGTGCGGGATTTCCCTGAAATTGATGAACCTATTCCTAACCCGTCCCGCAAGTGTCCGAGTGTGCTTTATAGCTATGGGCGCGACTCATATTCCAACTTCGGCCGCCTCGCCATATTTGATGTGCATTGCTGCAGACATGTTCATGACCCATCAGTCAAATGACGTTTTCTGAGCTGATTGAAAGGGCGCGTGCCTATCTACAACCGATAAGTCACATCACCAACCAGATTGCGGTTTTTTTTTCTCTGTTCTAGAACACACTCACAAAGTGGCATCGCAATACTGGTGGAGCTACAGCAACACTGGATATTGAGCGTGTTCGAACGTCCCTAATCATCGCTGCAAGTGCTGTGCATCGGAGTATTGGTTCACTGTGCTTGGCGGCCATTGAGGTGCTTTTGCGAGCGCTAAGGTCACAGTCGAAAGTCCCACACAGCTTGCTCGACACCTACCAGCCGCGTGGTTGGAGCGCTTGACGCCCTTATGTTGCTGGCCTCACCTATCCCGTCAGTCTGATCATGGATCAATGCTGTTGAGGCATGCGGCTGGCCTTATGAGCCGTCACATGCTCTCTTAGGGGTGTGTTCGAGGCACGATGCAAGATATAAACTGGAGTTCACCATGGGGTTCACACAGTTGTAGAACGAGTCGCTATATAGAAGCTTCATTTCCCCGCTTCTTCACCTCCTTCCTTTCTCAGAACCCGGCGATGGATTATTCCACCTTTTCCATCAGGTGTGTGATAAGAGTCACTGTCGGATAGATGTTTGACGACATTCTTTGGACTGTAGAGATGCACTGGGTCCTCAGGTGGTCCTGCAGCGTTCTTCGACGATGACCAGTGTCGTTCCACGAGATCGTGCTTTTGTGGAGCAGGAAACCTTTCTGTCACGCAATCAGGCCGATGCAGCGCGAAATCTAAATGACGTCGATGCCACGAGGTGATTATTCACAATAGCTGTCGTCATCATACAATGTATTAAAATTACGATGGCTCGGTTCCGCAGTCATCCAACACATCACTCCTTTAATACAAATTCACAACACGCACATTCCGTTTCTCCGCTACTTTCATTTCAAAATGTGTCTGAGGATTACATTCCCACCCTCCCCGGCTTCGCGATCCACAACACGTCATCTACTCATGTCTACCAGGAACACCACTTCTTAGATCCGTCCAATGCACGTATCACAAACCATCAGCTCATGCTGCATGATTCGACATATCCTTTCTCAGAGATAGCCCTGGCACCTGGGGAACAGTCTTCGTAAGTCTTCCATTGCTGGATTTATTCTAATTCATTACTGATGTTCTATGAAGCAATGGGGACCAGCCCATCAAGGCTGCCAGCTTCTCGAGGACCGCAGGTCAGAACCATCAGTATGACGCACTATCTCTAGACACTACCTTCCATCATTTGTACTTAACCATCAACGATAAAAGCGAAATGACGCATCCTACATCGCCCCCCTTTTCGCTAGATAGTCTTGATAGCACACGTCCCCCTTGGATCTACCAGCATCCTGTGCCACACCATCATCATCCTGCATATCCTTTTCCCTTAGTACTTCTCCCTCTCGCCGACTACTCCTCGTTTCCTGGATCTTATGCCCCAAGAAGAGATGGTCGGCGTACGTCACACGTCTCAGTTGAACGCTCAAGAATACGGGCAGCTTGACATCTTGCGTGGCACCGCTGGATTATCTAGGCCATCACATTATATCAAGGCGCCCACCCAACTACCACCTCGCCCTTATTCGGCAGATCCCCCCGCGTACCGGAGTTCTGGGGAAACGATTGAGGAGAAGGTCCTCGGATTCTGACCTTGCAGATCGGGACACCACGATAACTGCACTGCCTCAGGCATGCAATTCCCGTTCAGAACCTAGGATTAAACGTACAATCGCAGCACCACATGGTGCCCAGCCACCCGTGCATCTCCGTGCACACCACGTCACTGCCCCCGTGGAGTCATCTCGTCATCAACAATCAGTGTCACAAAAGGTGGATTGCGATAACTGCCTAGTTGACGAGTCGGCCGTGCGGATTGGTGGACGAGCTCTACTGCACGTCTACGAATGCCAATGGGACAAAAGTCACTCCCCCTGTGGTATGCATATCGAAGGTGATCAAGCCAGCGTCACAGACCATCTCGCCAGATTTCATGGTTTCACGGGTGGCGAAGGCGATACCGCTTGTCTCTGGGACGGCTGTACCTCAAAAAAGCGCGGCGCTATGAAAGGTACGAGTATCGCTCGTCACCCTCGTCACTCATATCGGCTACAAAATAAAATGTACCGCCTGCAACGTCGACTATGCGCGGGAAGATGCGTGCAGGAGAAGTCACGCGAACGCGAGATCAGATTGCCAGAATATGCAGATAGCCCCTGTCCATGGTACCGGAGTTATTACGCTCAAGGTTCAAGCCTGCGAGCCCGCTGCTAAGAAAAGACATCTCGCGGAGGCCTAGACCCAAAATTCTATCTATTGTAACTTTCTTACCTAATGACTTACTTCATAATTTGCTCACCTTGTCTCCTTCTCTTCAATTTCCGCGTAGATACCAGGCCTGGCTCGTATACCCTATCATAGAGCCACTCTCATAATTTATTGCTATCTATTGACATACATATGTAGTTTATTCATATCCGGATCCATACTATACTAGTTCGATTCTCAAGTTCAAGTTAAATGTATCTCGCTCCCATTTACTATTACGATATTGTAGTATTATGCTCATGTAGACAGTCGTCACCTATCCTTATCAAACTTCTAGCGCATTTCCTTGCTCAGGTCATACTTGCCAATATCTGATAGATCGGAATGACGCCGTCACCCGTGATTGCAGTTTCAACGCGACCGCTTTCAGACGCACGTCGCGCTAGCGTCAGCACACCTTACGACCCGGCCCCTCCTCCCAGAAATTCACCGGGGATATGCCTGTCGCGGTAGAGGTGTCGATCATCGCGTCTGTGCCATGATAAATATACTGTGAACTAAATTGTTCAAAAAACGCACACAATTTCTGCCCTTCAGATAAAACATCAAGGCAAGACCGCAGACCCTTCAAACACCACTGCCGTTCGAGCCAGGAAAGGAGGTAGCGATTCCAGAAAGCCTGAAATCTACAGTTGAGCTTGCCATCCTGAGGGTATGGAGCACGCGATAGATGAACGGCCCAGTTTTGGCATGCGTACTTGAGAGCGTCGGAAGATGCTCGACTCTTATGCTGTGCCTTATTTGCGAAAGTGGTAAAGGTATTCATAGCGTGGATGATCTTCCGATCAGGTGGGTCTGGTAGTGTAGAGCCGAAATGGTCCTGGTGCATCAATGCCACAAACGTTGGAAACATCAAGAAATCCGGTAAACTCTTGAACCGCTGGACCACTTGGAAAGTTGGCAGTAAAAGGAATTTTCCGACAATCGTATATTTGCTGATTGCTTCCAATGTGCTCGCGAATTCTTCCATGATTACCCAGACAGAGGCTGCAGGAGTGGACTGCCATGCCTTGCCATGGGGCGTCTGTAACCAGTCTCGCCCGCGTGGGGTCTGCAACCAGTCTCGCCCAGGTGGGGTCTGCAACCAGTCTTGCCCTCCATGCGTCTGAAGCCAGTCTCGCCCTTCCTGCGTCTGGAACCAAGTGGTCCCTTCCTGCGTCTGGAGCCAGTCTCGCCCTCCTTGCGTCTGGAGCCAGTCTCGCCCTCCTTGCGTCTGGAGCCAGTCTCGCCCTTCCTGCGCCTGGAGCCAAGCTTTCCCTCCCTGCGTCTGGAGCCATTCTTGCCCTCTCTGCGTTTGGAGCCAGTTTTGCCCTCCCTGCGTTTGGAGCCACTCTCGCCCTCCCGGCGTCTGGAGCCATTCTTGCCCTCTCTGCGTCCGGAGCCAGTCTTGCCCTCTCTGCGTTTGGAGCCACTCTCGCCCTCCCTGCGTCTGAAGCCACTCTCGCCCTCCCGGCGTCTGGAACCATTCTTGCCCTCTCTGCGTCCGGAGCCAGTCTTGCCCTCTCTGCGTTTGGAGCCACTCTCGCCCTCCCTGCGTCTGGAGCCAGTCTCGCCCTTCTTGCGTCTGAGCCAGTGTTGCCCTCTCTGCGTTTGGAGCCAGTTTTGCCCTCCCCACATCTCGAGCCACTCTCGCCCTCCCGGCGTCTGGAGCCAGTCTCGCCCTTCTTGCGTTTGAAGCCACCCTCGCCCTCCCCACATCTCGAGCCACTCTCGCCCCTCCCTGCGTCTGGAGCCAGTTTCGCCCTCCCTGCGTTTGAAGCCACCCTCGCCCTGCCCACGTCTGGAGCCACTCTCGCCCTCCCTGCGTCTGGAGCCACTCTCGCCCCTCCCTGCATCTGGAGCCACTCTCGCCCTCCCTGCATCTGGAGCCACTCTCGCCCTCCCGGCGTCTGGAGCCATTCTTGCCCTCCCTGCGTCTGGAGCCACCGTCGCCCTCCCCACATCTCGAGCCACTCTCGCCCTCCCTGCGTCTGGAGCCAGTCTTGCCCTTCTTGCGTCTGGAGCCAGTCTTGCCCTCTCTGCGTCTGGAGCCACCGTCGCCCTCCCCACATCTCGAGCCACTCTCGCCCTCCCTGCGCCTGGAGCCACTCTCGCCCTCCCTGCGTCTGGAGCCACTCTCGCCCTCCCGGCGTCTGGAGCCATTCTTGCCCTCCCTGCGTCTGGAGCCACCGTCGCCCTCCCCACATCTCGAGCCACTCTCGCCCTCCCTGCGTCTGGAGCCAGTCTTGCCCTTCTTGCGTTTGAAGCCAGTCTCGCCCTCCCTGCGTCCGGAGCCAGTCTTTCCCTTCCTGCGTTTGAAGCCACCCTCGCCCTTCCTGCGCCTGGAGCCAAGCTTTCCCTCCCTGCGTCTGGAGCCAGTCTTGCCCTCCCCGCGCCTGGAGCCAGTCTTGCCCTCTCCGCGCCTGGAGCCAGTCTTGCCCTCTCTGCGTTTGGAACCAGTCTCGCTCTCCCTGCGTTTGGAACCGCTCTCGCCCTTCCTGCGTCTGAAGCCACTCTCGCCCTCCCCGCGTCTGGAGCGAGACTCTCCTGTCAGGGATCTGGGGCAAAGCTACTGGGGTCAGGCGCGGGCATTCCCGGGCATTGGCATTCCATCGCTCGGTCTTCAGCCAGGCCTGTCCTTCCTCAGTTTCCAGCCAGTGTTTTCCTCTTTGCGTCCCCAGCCAATCTTGCCCTCCTTCTGTTTGCAGCCAATCTTGACCACGCCTGCAACGCAGCCAATCTTGCCCTCCTTGGGTTTGCAGCCAGTTGTGTCCTTCCTGGGTGTGCAGCCAGAATTTCCGCTGCATGGTCTGTAGCCAATCTCGGTGTGCGATCGGCAGCCAGTCTGGTCCACGCGTCGCCAACAGTAAGGCTGCTCGACAATTATTTCTCCACATCTGCGGCGAGATCAGCCCTACCTGGGACCGCAGCCAGTCTCTCTCGCTCTGGATATGGAGCCACTCTCGCCCTCCCGGAGTTAGGAGCCACTCTTGCCCATTCAGGGTCTGGAGCCACTGTCGCGCGCCCTGGGTCTGCAACCAGTCTCTTCCGCCCTGGGTCTGCAGCCAGTATCGTGCGTCCTGGGTCTGCAGCCAGTTTCGTCCCGCTGGGGTCTGCAGCCAGTCTCGCCCCACCTCGGTCTGCAGCCACGCTCGTCCTCTATGGGTTTGCAGTGAGTCTTGTCCTCCCTGGGTCTGCAGCCAGTCCCGACCTCCCTGTGTCCGCAGCCAATATCGCCTGCGCAGAGTCTGCAACCAGTCTTGCCCATGCGTGGTCTGCAGCCAGCCTCTCCCGCCCTGGGTATACAGCCAGTCACGCCCTCCCTGGGTATGCAGCCAGTCATCCCCTCCGCGGGTTTGCAGCCAGGCGCGCCCGTCCAGGGTCTCTGCCCAGTATCGTAAGTCTGAGCTGTGATCTCCCCGGAGCCATAGCATGCTGATAAGAACCGATAGTGGCTCCGGTGGTTGGACGAGGAAGGTCAGCGAATCTTTTAATATCTGGGGGTCCTGAGGTTGCATAGCTTGACTGTGCTTCTGCAATTCGAAGAGCGCATCCAAAAGGGCCGTACTTTCTGGAATCTTTTTCATCATCAAGCGAAGAGAGGAGTCGGCGAGTAGGAAGTGGGGTGATTGCATGTCGTGTTCGCGTACTTGAGGGAGGCTGCAGTTTGAGGGGTCGGAAACAAATGTCGCGAATGGACGAGTGATAGATATTCACGGGGAGAGTGCTGTCTGTAGGGATATCCATGACGGACCGTAGCTGTATCAGAGTTGTCTCCACATCCCTGCCCAAACCAGGGCCAAGAAGTGACGAGATTTGCGAGATGGGAAGAGGATCTGTGAGGGCGGCGACGATGGACAAATGCATGTAAGCCCGCTTGGGGTCGGCACATGTGGAGAGGATACAATCGTATAACTTGTACACCTCCGTTCCTGGTAGCAGTTCGCTCGTTAGCTTGAGCATCAGTTGCAGCCGATCATGGGGATCATCGTCTTCATCGTCGATAATGAACTTCATCATCGTAGACGCCACGATGAAACGTCTACCAGCGCGGCTCGCCAGCTGCGAGAGTTCATCCCTCGTTGGCTGAGGGAAATCGGGATGGCGACTTGCCAGCTTTGCGAAGGAATGCTGCAAGAAAATATAGATATCTGTGTCGACATCGGCGCCGTCGAGCGAGATGATAGCAGCAACGCCCTCCCCAGAAGTTTTCACTGGGATTTCGCATAACAACGGGCGCACCTCTTCGTTCTGAAATGCTTCAGAGATATGGGTTTCCGAGCGACTTGTGAGCAGAATATGGGTCACGGGGATATCAGGGTCACGAAGAACCTGCGCGAGGGAAAGGATGAGGTCGGTAAGCTCGGGTTCGGATGTGCATTCATCAAGGGCATCAACAACAAACGTCAGAGGTTGACACCCGCGCAATCTGAGTTGAAGTTTCCGGAGGGGTTGGAGAAAGAGAGCCTCCATCTGGTCGTAGAGAGGCGTGTCTGGGTCTAGTAGAGCAGGATTGTTGCGGATCGCTCTGTTCATATCCTGCCGGATGCTTGGAAAATTATTGGCAAGCTGGTAGCCAAGCGTTGCAAAGAAATATCCAGCTGTGCAACGTTTGGTGTGCTTGCGCGAGAAAAAGAATGTTCCCGCTAGCCTCATTTCGACATTCGTCTCTTCTGTCACTTTTAGACCTTTCATCCTCTCAGCTACGGTGAACGCGACGGCAGACTTTCCGACGCCTGCCGTGCCATGCAGCCAAATAAGTTGATTCTTCTCTCGGTCATCCAGGAATCCGTGAATGTATTTGAGGAGATTCACACGGGTCCCTTCCAAACATTTTGGGTGGGGCTGACGTTCACGGGAGTTATATTGAGCACCCTTGACAGCGACATCGGACAGCCTCGCCCAAGTTTCTTTAAACGATGGAAGAACTGTCTGAAGGTCAGAAAGCGAGAGAGGTACAAGAGTGAGAAAAACCAACATTGTTCCTCACTCATTCCCGAAGGTTGTGATACGCGTGATGAAATGTTTAATGGACAATTGAGAGCACTAGCAATGGGTGCGATTAGAAATTATCTGGGCGATATTTATCTCCAGGGACAATGTCGAAGGATCTGTTGGAGTCAAAGTAAGTTGCCAGCTTAGGGCGACGGAGATGGGATGGAATAAATGGATGCTTCAATCTATGGAAAGCTTGCCAGTGGAGGATACAGTTCAAGGACGATTGGTGGGTGCTTGTCCGGTTGCAGGAGGCCACGAGGTTGCTGTGCATGCTGTAATACTAACGGTAGCTACTATGACGTCTTTAGATGTGTTTCGAAGTAGAAATATACTAGGAGAGATATTCTTGTACATACAAGTAAAAACCTGTAATTTTTGGAGGATACGTATACGTACGTACTACGTAGCGTCTATGATCGACTCCTACGTATACCTACGTATACGTCAGATTCTTACTGTTGGAAAATTGAAATCCGAACTCGTCGTTACTACGCATCAGTCTCGCGTGGTGCCCTTGCCCTACAAAGATTTTGCGACGCGAGTATGGAGATTCCTACGAGGCTGGAAAGTATCCTGATCCAGTAGTCGAGATGAAGCTGCGCAATCCTATGCTCGCTGAGTTCAGCCCCACGGATGCACTGGTTTCTCTTTTCGCACCCAATTCAAAGCTTACATCAAGGGCGAGGACCCATTCGATCGGAAGATGAGAATGAACGAAAGTGCTCTCGGCTGATGGAAAGCATTGCAAAAAGACGAGCGAGCTAATGTTCTTGCAGTAAGTCTGCGAGGCTCCCGCATCCAAGACAAGTGACTAAGTATTTCGACAGCCTCTCGCAATAAGTTATGGATGATGACTGGAAACCTTTCCAAGGAAAAGCTGAAGCCATCGCAGGGCATAGAGGTCTTTTCATGAACTGACTGTCACATAAAAAGGAGGTTTCGGCGCAATGACTGGGCTTGCTAAGCTAAGATGACCTCTGCAGATCTGAGGATTTATACAACACAAAAATATTAGCAGCAGGTTTCGAAACAACTCCAAGAGAAACAGATTTTGACTCTGTTGCAGTAACCACTTGGCTAAGATCAGTTAGATGGACCTCTGAGGAAACCATTCATGAGCCAATGCGTGTGGCCCGACAGAAAAAAAACTGTCATGTAGCAGGTTTCGAACCTGCGCAGTCCAAGAGAAACAGATTTTGATTCTGTTGCGGTGACCAATTAGCTAAGACCAGTTAAGAGGAACACCCGATGAAACCATCCATGAGTAATGAAGTGAGTTCCAATAGGAAAAAAACCTTGTCGTCGACATGTTTAACAGATTTTGATTCCGTTGTGGAAACCACCTGGCTATAAGACCAGTTAAGACATCGATGGACCTCCAAGGAAACCATCCATGAGTGAATCTTCAAGGCATGTTCCGATAGCAAAAAAACCTTGTCATCAGCAGGTTTCGAACCTACACCGGAAGAGTTCAACAGACAGATTTAGATTCTGTCGGGGTGACCACTTTGGCCAGGACGAAGTTGAGATGCATTTCCGAGGAAGCCATGAACGCATCTTCAAAGCTTTAAGGCGTGTTCCAATAATAAAAACCTGTCAAACGGCAAGTTTCGAACCTGCGCAGTCCAAGAGAAACAGATTTCGATTCTGTTGTGATGACCACTTAGCTAAGACCAGTGAGATGGATCGATGAACCTCCGATGAAACCATCTCTGAGCCAATGTCAAGGTATGTTCAGAGAGAGAAAAAAACTCGTTGAACGGCAGGTTTCGAACCTGCGCAGTCCAAGAGAAACAGATTTCGATTCTGTTGTGGTAACCACTCCGGCCAGTACGCTTTGCAAGTTGAGATGTTGAACCTCTGACTCGGAAGAACTGTCCATGAGCGAATATCAAGGTATGACAAGACATCTGTCGCCGGTCAAATTTTGAATTCGCACCATCCAAGATTTCTAATCTGTTCTGCTGCCAGTTAGCTACGACTACCGAGGATAGACCTCGATCGAAGGATCCATCCGTAAGTGAATGTTCGAGGCGAGGTAAAAGGAAAAAGATTGTTGAGCAGGTTTGGAGCAACAGATTTCTGTCCTGTCACGCGAACCACTTGGCTAAGACTGGTCAAGATGGATGTCTGCAGTACGAGTCCAAGAACATCATGCATCGACGGTAGGATCATATAGGATCACCGGTCATTTGCCAACGAATGTACTCTTGCAGGTGACAAGGTGTCAGGTGAATGTAGAGAAGAAGTAAATACGACCACAGCATAGACATACTACTGGTCGTTGAGTCAGTTCCACTCAGCCTGAGCATATAGGCCCAGTGCTGCGTTAGATAGCGTCGGGCTGTACAGTGAAACATCAGCGGTGGTGTAGTTCTCCGCATTCTGCAAGCCGTTGAGAATGCCAAGGAGTTGCGCTTCAATGAAGTCGACGAAGACAAGATCTATAGGTGTGTCGTCCGTCACGTTAGGCGGGTTCGAGCCAATGAAGTCTGGAACCGAATAGTAGGGCAACGCCATGTGCAGCGTGTCATCTCCAGCACCAGGGCACGACTAAGTCACCGCTATGAGCGCGTCGGAGCGAATGCGAGGATGGGTTACTTACATCGACCGTGACATATCCAAGCGTCAAATTGCCTGCCGTTGCTTCTCGTCTACCCATTCCAGCACGCCGATCCATCTCCTCTAACCAGGATCTGTACCGAGTATCAACAATCCCACGGCCCCAAAGTTCCTTTTCAACCTCATCTCGCTTCCGTTTCTCACTCGCGCCAGCATTGTTCAAAGCCGGAAGGACCTGGTTTGCGATGCTAAATGTGATGTTGGGGATATACAAGAATGAATCCGTGAACGGCGAGGCGGTGAGCTGATCGTTCTTGGTGAATGGTCCCTGGAAGACGTTGAAGCGTTGAGATCCTGAATTGGTGATAAATATGGCTGGGATGGAATCACGCGTATTGTTAATGGAGAGAGCGTATGGAATAGCCTGACAAGGGCGTTAATAATTGACGTTTCTGGGAAATCAGGCCTTACATCTGCAATGAAAAGAGATAGAAGGGATCCGTTGGAAGGATATGGGTTCCTAGCACACAATTGAGCTGGTGGCTTATGCGATATATACGGAGTACACACTGGTTGATGGTATAATCTTGTGGGGCTGTTCCGTACAGATAGGATAAATCAAAGTTGACCGCGAGCTCCTGCAGACCGTCAGTGATCGAGCGCCCATAGGCGGTGTCAAACGTTTGGTTTGACATTTGAGTGTGGTACTAATTGTGACACGCGGATTAGGATATCATTGAGAAACTGATAGCACACTTTACCTCGTAGGTCACACGGTTCTGGTCCAAATATCTCCTTGTGAAAAGAAATGTTGTTGGCGTTGCCCTGGGCAGCCTCGAGGTCCGCACCTAAGTTCCTGGGTCAGATCGTTGAAAGAATTTTTTCGTTAAACAATGTACTCATCCAGCCTAAAAGAACATGTGAGACATAGCAGCCAACTCATCTTCGACGCTCACATACCGATTGTCTCCATGTAGCGTCCGCTTTCGAGAGCCATGGAACGACCATCATACTGTTGGCAGTCACGGATGTGGCTATGTCCTGAGTCGGCGGTGAGAAATTTAGTTGAATACATCAAATGGGTTTCCACCTCCAAAGATTAAGATGGGCGTCAGAGGGGTGCACAGCTCGAACAGCGTCAAAGACAGTAGGCCCTAGAAAACCAAATCATCGTATCATCAAACCTTGAAATTGCTGTAGTTGGCCTACAGTTATCATAAGAAACTGGCATGTGTCTGAGATCACATTAAGAACATTTTCTCAGAAACTATGAGAGCCACCTACCCAATAAGTACAAACACGTCAGGTTCTTCCGCGATAGCCTCGGCGAACTGTAAAAATCAATCAGAATACTGCTTTGGATCACCTAGACGCCTAGGATAACGTACCCACTGTTTCCTCGACCACATCAGCCACAGTTTGCACAGTCCGTGTTCACGTCATTCCCAGTGAAATCATATAGGACCCCAAGAGAAGTGATGCGACGGCCTCTGTTACATCGAATGAATAGAGTCCCACCTTGGATTCACAAGATCTCTTACTTCCTTGTGGTGAACTTGGTGTAGCGATCTGGGGAAAGGACATCGACACTAGTCAAACTAAATTTAAGTTTCAAACTTACTGCCAACTGGCACACTCTCAGGTTCGCCATCCGAGTTGAAAATAGTGATGTTGACATTGGAAGACAAGTACCCGCCCATCAAGATAAGGGACGAAGTTCGTGTACCTGAGGGGATTGGCAAACAAAAGGTAGTGATCGAACAAAACATAAATGTTGCAGAGGAGGAAACAAAAAAAGATGCAAAATAAGATATTATTAGTCAAACCGAATTTTGCTCAGAATATTCAGGACCTACATGTCATATGTATCCGCATAGATGTACAGTTCATGGCTATGGAAGTAAAATTATCAGTTTAAAACATGGTATCAACAGGAGGCGGATAAGGAGAGGACCGAAAACTCGAGACTCACTTTCCGATAGTCATGACATCGTACGGAAGGCGCTCAAGAAACTTGTTTGACTTTTAAAAACGCGTGGAAGGTATCAGTGTCGAGGTACGTATCAATAACAAAACAACAGACCTCATGCGCGTCAACACCACCGGGGGGATAACCATCAGAAAGCCCAGTTCCTGAGAGGTGGGTTGGATTGTGTCTTCGATAAATGCCAATTCGATGCATACCATCATGTACATCCCCCGAGTCTACCAAAAGTAGGTCGACGTCCTTTTCCTGAAATAGTAAATATGTACAATGAAGTCAGGATCTAAACTGATGCATGATGGACGAACGATCGCGATTTTTTTCATATGCGTGACGAAACTAGCAAAATCTCCAAGGTCCCCACTATAATATGCGCAGGGTGATGCGTTTGAGTCATAGCGCCTTAAATTAGTCCCTCTGAACACTCACCTGTAGTCTGGTTCAGGGAATGTCAGCTTTTGGTGACCAAGTAACCAGCCATGAGTGTCGGTGGTATGGATCACATTGAAATCTCCCCAGACGAGAGGACGGTAGGGAGGAGTTATTGGAACCTGTGGGTACTCACGCTTGCCCAAATGTTCATGACCATAGGTGTCACGAGCATGCAAGTGATCACCCGTGCAAGCAGCACCACGGAGTGCAAGACCCAAAAGAATAGCGGCAGGCAAAATCATAAACATACTGGAAGGGGTGGCGCCTGCCTATCTAAAAAGCCTGTTGAATCCAAGAGCGCTTTTTTTAAGAGAGGCTCAGAGGCGCTTCAAGTTATTAGCCTCAGATCCAGACAAGCTGAGTTTATCGAGCCTCCTCCGATCAAAGGCCGTTCCTATCCCATGAATGCCAAGCGAGCCATCTGACTATGACTGCCATATGCTGATCTGACGAGAGATAAAGTGACCGAAACGCCTCACCATGGATGGCCCGGATCTGCGGTTTTGCATAAGCAGCACGAATTAAGTTCGGAGTTTGAATTCCCATACGCGCAAGCGACCATCATCGTCCATGCGGTCATGACCGGTGACCTGGTCGAGAACACACGGTACCCACTGCCTTATTGTCTTGAGCCGTCTGATACAATTGCGCTGAGGTCCACTGACCATGGTTAACGACAGGTGAACCTCCTTCAAGTCGGAGGGTACTTAAAGGGGCAACGCGTTATACGCTGGTTTCCATAGTACTATCCATACTCTCACTAGGGAAGAACATGCCTGAGCTTGTGCACTTTCTCATGCAAGACCTGAGTCCTTTCAACGGGAGCCGCAGTTCCACGGTTATCAAGCGTATCAAGCCCCGTCAATCAAACAGCCAGACGGAAATAGTTAAATCGATCATGAGGCCCAGGAAGAGCGCTGCCCGGTGCCGCAACCATTGAACGTTCGAACGTTTGAACACTTATTGCGGTTGACAGTACAGAAAGTTAAATGGTCAATATTTCAATCACTGCGTCGTGCAAGCTGTAGCAGCTTACTAGTAAAGTTCGAACCATGCCGGTTGGTTTCGTGGGTATTGGACTATCGTAGGGCTTCTCCGTCCACGGTCCACTGCCTACGGTAGGAATAGTTCCTTGTAATCGTATGTAATGAACACAGCTGCAGTACGTCTTTGCACTTCTCATCTGTGTAATGATGTAAGGACCCTGTGTTCTCTACTAGTACGCCCCGACCTGCAGCGCTTCAAACGAACACGCAGTCCGCATGTCTCACCGTGACCGATGCCGAAGAGCTTTACTCTTCGCATCCATCCTTTATCATACGTTTCTCATATTTCCCCTTATCTTTTGATACAGTCACGTTGTGCAGGGCGCAAACTTCTGACGCCATCGCTTATATCCCTGTCCTTACCTTCTCCCTTTCATCGTAGTCGACACTCATTATCTTGTTCTTAAAGTTCCCTTTCGTCGTTGAAACCCCTTTTTCTCGGACGTTCCGTTTCCTCCTCTCGTACCTGCGTCTTATCACTTACTTCTCCCTTCCACACTCGTACTTATAAAACGACCTCCTGTATTGATGTATACGTCATCGAATCAAGAGCATTCATCCTAACTTCCAGAAAGTCCGTCATCTCAATCCGAAGTCTCCTTATCAACGTCGTTTCGATCTCTACTCCCATTCGAACTCACTAACAGCCTTATTACAATGAGATAAATAGGTCGTAGGCGAATGTTAGGTGAATACGGTCGTACACTAGTACCGTGTATTAGTAATGCTGTACACCTCAAGCCTGCACAGCCTCTTGAGTTCAAGTTGATCTGCCTCGTTCCTAAACTCCCAAGATCCCTGGTGGTCAATGCCTCATGCACATGCCTCAGGCTAGCCCATATGTCTTCCTAGCAACGCATTTGCTGTAGAAGCCTCTGAATCTAATCCGACGATTATATCATCCGCGCGTCAGATACTCAGCGTTCAGCACTGGAATTCAAGCGATCTGAAGTAATTGCTGAATCTTTCTGGCGTCAACACCAAGGGCATCCGAAGTGGCCACTATGATCCGCGAAACTGGGACGCGTGGTGTTCACCATCAACTGTTGTCGTGCTGCCTTCCATAATAGAAGCACTTCCAGATTCCAGACAAATCACACGTACTTCCGCGGGATGCCTACTTGCATGCCATGGTTGGCACTACTAGCGCTCAGCATTGCTTTTGTGACTTGATGCAGTTTCATTGGATCCTCGCCTTCATCAGCGCTCCGCTGCCATGGTCAAGTTACCACAGCACTTTTCCCTTGAAGTAGACTGACACACGCTCGTTTGTCTCCACAATGCAGCAGATCCGGAATCGGAGGGAGGGAAATGTTATTGCCGGTTCTTGTGAATTCACACTTCAACTATTACGTCGAATACCACACCGGCACTGGCAGTCACTTGTCGGGTCTGGCCTCGTCGGTCAAACCTTGGTCCGATTGAGCGACATATCTCGATATCACAGGTCGCAAACTTTATACTGAAATCAGCTCCCTCCACCATGCCGAGTACTTCGGTACACTTGGCTCCTTCGAGACGTCATAACACACATACGCGAGATATGATATAGATACCAAACTGTTCGTTATTTCGCTAATGACATGTGCTTACAGTTACCCCTTTGATAGACAGGCCATTCGTCTAGGTCCGCGTACTGTAGCTACTGCTGGTCGTTTCGTTTACTGCACCTTGGGATCCCAGTTGCTGTTAGTGAACTTTCAAGGGACGTGCCAGTCGGGTGGCTGCTGATCCCGTCCCCAATTGACGGATCAAAGATTGATCTACCCGGGTGCCACGAAGCCCTTCCAACATGACGCCCGTCATGTACAGAGTTCACTTCAGAAACCCTCCAATATGAAAATGATTTAGTAACCGGGTCACCTGTCTTGATCCGGTCTGGTATAGCAACATTGGCATACTGACCGAAGTGACTATCATCCTTTCAACTTGCCTGTTTGAAGGTTGTAACGACACAGCGCGTAACCAATCTATCCCTTCCACCACCATTGTAGCGGAATTGCACAAACCCAAGAGTTCAGTGGAAATCTGGCGATTTCAGCCAACACTCGTGCCTCTTGTCGAGCTGCGGTGGGGAACAGCGCCAGAGATGAAGCAAGTTAAAAGCAACTCATCTGCAGAACCAGAAGACACACAAACCAACTCCTCCGATCTAATATGAACACAGATCGGTTAGTGGTGACATCCCCTACCATTTATTCATAGCTCACCGTTCTTTATCTAGCTCGCCTGACTTTTCCATGGTCCATGATATACTCCTGGAGCATCATAATGGGGCGAATCCCATCCTCATTGACCGGGACATCCTGCGCGACCATGACGCCGAGGTTAGAGTGCACCCATGTAACTGGGCTGACTGCAAGATGCATATCGGCGTCGAGCATAGGCAGATCTCCAGACATCTCCAGCAACATCATGGTATCAACACCAGCGCTACGAGCGAGGACACGCAGCAGATCTCCTGTCTTTGGTCGGGTTGTCCCAAATCCCGTATGAAACCGGGGAACCTTACACGCCATATACTTTCACACCTTGGAGTACGGTGGAATTGTCAGATATGCGGGGCTTCACTCTCGCGGGATGATGCCTTTCGAAGACATACTCTCGAAAAGCCGGGTTGCCAGTATGCGCAAGCTGTTGTCGAGCATGGGGGTAAATCACTAGTAATCGACACCGCGTGCATTGATGGGGGGTTTTCGGCCAGCCAAATGTAATCTGCATCCCCTGATGTCTCTTAGACTGATGTAGTCCTCCGGCGTTATCTTACAGTATTATCCCTATCATTTTGCGTTCCAACCTTATATGCATCTTCGTATAGTTTTTGTCCGTCATCTGTAATTATGATCGTCCTACCATATATTCCTACTTAGTTGATCCTATCTATACTATTGTACTAGAAAATGTGTATTTTATCCTTGGATTTTGTCGTGGTGTCGACTATTAAGTTATCTGATCGTCTGCACATCAAGGTACTAAAATGATTCCAGTCCCATTCAACCACCTGGCGAGATGCCCACTGTTATCTTCGGTTACATGAGTTGACGAGGGTTGCATCTGACAAAGTCATTTCACTTGCTTCGACATGACAGTGAACTAGAGGGACAAAGGTTGATAAAAGTATAGGTTCAGCAGTATTACTACGTCCGTAAAGCTAGTGACAAAAAGGGTATACACACACGGCCGGCGGTCATTACTGTCCTCGTCGATGTCATAATAAGCTGCAAGAATGCGTGACAGGAAAATCATGGCCACGTCATGCGGCGGCGTTTGGCACGACCATCATGAGGTTCGGATTCTCTGCAATCCTCTCGTTTTGAATTCTTTAGGTGGCGCAGTTTAGAATCTAACCGAGCAAACTGCTTTCCACAACTACCGCATTCCGTTTTGTTGGTCAAATGAACTGCGACGATGTGCCGCGATATGCTCTCCTTCTTCATCTCTTTCCCGCAGCCGTCCCACCTGCATAGCATCTTATCTTTATCGCCGCCAGATTTGATACCGTGGAGGACTTGGAGGTGTTTCCCCACTTCGGACTTGTCGGAAGTCAGAGATGTAGTGCAGGACCCATCACCCCAGCGACACAAGTTTAAAGTGTCATCCACATCGGCCATCAACGATAACAAGTCACTCTTTCTCTCCTCCGACCACGACGATGTAGACGAATGAAGATCAGTTCCGCCACATAGATAAACATCGCTGGTGTTCTGCGTGTCAGGTTGTATCTCGTGGGATAATGGCTCGAAAAAATAGTCGGGGGCGAGCTCGTTCGTCGGCGCATAATCGCAAGGCAAACTCCCGGTAGAAGATGATGCGTCGGGTGGCTGCGGAAAAGTACAGGAACTCCACATCTGGGATGAAGTGTGATCCATAGAGGGGGTCATGGAAAGCACTGAAAGGAAGTTGTCGGAAAGCTGGGGAAAAGGTGAGTCCGGGTTGAAGTTGTGACCTTGGTCAGGTCCGCTAAGATATGGTGCATCCGTTCCAATGTCTGCATCAAGAATGGTGTTTGGAAGGGGCAGGTGATTGAAATCGAACTCCATTGGGGATGGAACACTGAAGCTGGGTGACCCTACGTCCAATGCAAGGGGTGCCTCCACACTGGTGCACATTGTCATGTTGAACGTGTCCAAAGCGGAATCGTCGCACGGTGAACATTCACCAGCAATGGCTGAAGGAGATCCATGACATTGGGTCAGCCTGCAAATAACCCCTCGGTAAACATTTTCGCATAGGCCAGCAACCATACGAACCAATGATGGAGTAAAGGTAATTGGTCTAGAAAAAATTGCACTATAGGATAGCAAGGGCATGCGTTTCCCTGTCTTTCAGCGTGCAGCCTGAAAGGGATGAGGACGAAATCATTCCGAGAGTGCAAGTACTCATACCTTACAAGAGCTTTGAGCGTATCATGCAAGCAGGAAGCAAGCAGAAGTGTGTTGGTCGACATTTTTTGACCGTGTCTCTGAAGTACGGATACCCGCCAACAGAGACTTTATATCTGCCCATAGCCATCAGATAGAGCTTGGATGGCTGGCTGGCCTGCGAGAAATTACAAAGAAGTGTTTGGCTCATCTTCTTCCGATGCCAACCAATGCCTCGATTAAAACGTGTGAACCTGGCCATCAATAGAACCAACACAATAATAATCCTACGAAAATTGGCTTCTTCCAGAAGCTTAGCCACTTCATTAGGAAAGGTGCTTTGGCCCGATCTAAAATCTATCCACCAGTCAACTTTGACTAGTGACTGCTGATTGTGGGGTGGTGATATACAAGGCCAGGTTACGAGTTGGCCGAACGAATGATCCGACTTCTGCGCAAGGCCAAGCTAAAAAGACCGTAGATCGCGTTGAATCAGGCCTATTTCATGTAATGCTGTGTGTGGACCATGGCACCCTCAAAGTCCGAAAGACGGGGCTCGTCCTGGCTCAGCGCTAATTGACAGCGTGACAGGCATAGTGAGGACCTGGATTACCTACACATAGAGCAAGAGTGCCACACGCCATGTCAGAATAAGGATAACATGCCTTTAACGCCACTCACCATTCCCATTGGTGATTGGCTTGGGCCTTCGTTGGCACACGCAGATCACGCAGCATGGCTGGCTTCCGTGATCGACCTTATTGGGTCGAGCGCTAAGCATAGGGAGGCTATGGCTGGCCATGGCCATGGAACGCCAGGGAACGCCATTGTGATGACGGCCAAGCCACGTTAGTTGGCTGGCGTTGGCTTTTCATATAAATATAGGCTGCCAACCCCAATAAAATTTTACATAATTAAAATAAAAACAAGTCAATAATAGAAGTTGGCAGTGTTAAGGCACGTAATGCCAACGAGATCAACACAGGAAGATGGCCGTATGGCCATTGGCCATACGTGTCAGCGTTGCGTGAACGTCACTACAGCAAGTTGACTACTCCACTCGTGCTTCGATTCCTTGATGAACAGTAGGTAGTACTATTGGAACAAGAAGCATGGCGAGATGGCAAAACTTACAATTGAGAAGTAGTAGACAGACCATATGGAGAGCGAAGATATGCCAGTCCACTTGTTCCAAAAGTAGGAGCTTGCATCAACTCGGAGACCAGAACAACACAAGAGAAATTGTCGGCTGTAGTCACTTGCAAACAAATGAACTCTGTACAATTCACTCGCAAGAAACGAGGGAAGGAAGGGTGGAAAAATGTCACTTTGCAGTGCAAGTGGTTCCAATGTACTGAATTCATTGCAATCTCTTGCAAGTGAAGCGTATCAACAAGAGATGTGCCAGCAGGAGCAAAATATATGCATTTGATAGCCTTGCAACTGTTGATCCACTCGACAATATTATGGGATAGCAGGGTGGTGAAGAAATAGATATGAGACAAAAGGTGTAAGATAGCTTTCAGGCTGCGATTTTATAGTCACGGGAAGTGGAAAATGTTGGTCAATGTGGCTCTATTTGTAGGCCGCTGGTAGCCTGCACAGCCGATAAATGTACGAATCTGCCACCATTATGACTCCGTCAACTAATAGGAGTCCCGTGAAAAATTAGCACGTTAGAAAGGCAGACCCCGGGTTGCAGTTCCAGGGCGATCAGTGCAATGTCTGAATAGCGGAGAGAGCGGCGTTCGGGTTTGTATTTTGGGGTTTGCGTTTCGTTGTTGTGCAGTAGCCTAGTAGGGTTTATTGCACGACGCAAATGTGTTGTGCATCTAAGGAAGAATGACACCCGTCGAGTTCGAGCATACCAACAAAATACATGGAGCAGACCGTCGGAATTCAGGTTGGTGTCACGAAGCATGCGAGTATATCGTACGTGACCCATTTAAATGGCTCAACTGTAAGCGCCTGCATTACTTGAAGGTTAAGACCTTTTTTTAACATCGAACGGCACATCTGTCAGTTACACAAACTCCCATCACAAAATATAACTTAACTTGAATGCATTCACGGCATGAACCCTTGATCACAAAAAAGTCTCAGGCTGATTCTTGCATCGAGACGCGGGAAGAAATGTCGAGTCTTCTGCATTGCAGTCGACATTCTCTCCATATACAATGCTTAGCAAAGCGCTTGTAGCTCACTCGAGTTTATGTCGCGCTTTCACCGCCCCACTAGGTGGTGCAGATCTATCGGCACCTCGTGGACATGAAGCCAGGCCTGACAGTAATCGGTCGTCACCTGCTGTCTTGATTGTGATCTCATTTTCTCTCATGGGTGGCTATAGCTCATCTAATCACAGAACAAGAATCGTGGCGTATCCGCAACGGCAGACGGTTCCATGTGTCGTTGGTGTTGCAGTGGGGACCTTTTTGGTGCTAATATACGATCGATCCTGCAAGAGAGCAAGCAGCCCGGAGTGTCTAAGACGGAGAGTTCGTCAATTAGCCAACATGTTGAAACTGGGTATTCCGTGATTATTCGAGACGCACCTAATGAATATTGTTTTCTATATGCCGATCCGTGCAGCATAGCTGCTTCTTTCTGTTATGGATCACTGGCAGGAAGCTCAATGACAATGGGCCCGGGACATTGGCACGCACCCAGCGTACATTCGCCCATGATTTCATAGTATCCGTCCAATTTGAAAAGTCGTAGTCCTTGACGCTGTCTAGCGAGTTTGGCAGTTCCTCGGGGTGAGACTTCATCGTTCTTCGGTGCTATACTAGTGAGATTAATGCACTGAGCAGGGGCCGCATGATGGCGTTGAATCTTTTGACGGGAGCAGGAGACCATCCAAATAATCAGTGATGTCATTAAACATACAAGAACATGCTATGCACACACGCTCAATGTGTCATCGCCGCACCGCGAGATGATGGTGGTGTTCAGAACGTTCAAGCTCAAGATGGGTGACCAGCAGCGAATTCAAGTCGTGCGTACAACTTGAATGGCTGCCAACAGCTGGTTCCTTGTCATAAATCTTCGGATTAAGTCAGCTCCAGTTATTGAATTTATGGCCGTTGTGGCGTTGCGTCGACTCGGACGACATTTCTAGGCTTACGTTAATGAGATTTGGCAATTTTTCTTCTTCATGACCTACACACCACGGACCACGATGCCATCGACTTCCATCCAGGTTTCATGTTTTTCAGATCTCCAGACTGTGGGCGACAAAAAAATGGTCTCCGAGTGGTCAGCAGTAGCGCCCAACTAATTTGAAAGGCGTGTGCAAGGCGTGCATACCTAGCACTACAGTTAGTATGGTTACTGCGGTATGCATGGCAATGATTTGAAGGCATGTGACCCGCCACGTCACCGTGACGTTCACTGTTCAAAGGATCTTCCACAAATCACGAAACTTCATCGCAAAGTGGGCGATGATCGGAGTGTTCAGTGGATGGCAAACTCAACCAATGCTGCCAGGTGTACATGCGTACGTTCTGACTCTGGCCTGTTTACTGGGCAGCTGCAACCTTTACAGACCTACATCTTGTGGCTCAGTTATACGATCCTAGCCGTCTTCATTCATAAAAGCTTAATAGGCCTTCAGCCGCTGAACTTCGAATTCGGCCTCTTCAGATGCTGTTGGGTCGTGTGACCTTGTGTGGTCAAGAAACCGTTTTCCACTAGCGATGGTGTCCAGGGACTTGTATCTTCTATTTTCACTGCTCAGGTTCAAGTCATCATTGTAGATCATCTCGAGCTCGGCGCTCTCGCGTCTATTGAACTATTGGGGGTGGTGAAGTCGACTTCTAAACACGTGTTGGAATCATAAGTAGCTTAGGCCATTAAATTCAAGCGACGAAAAACGGTACGTTGGTATATATGAGTAATGGCTTCATTGATTACATGTGTGTAGGAGAAACGTCGATTCATGATAAAACCTGGCCAGCGATGAGTAAGTTCGACTGCTTTACATGATATCCGAAATGCTCACCCGGGCCAGCTGTGCAATTTAGCATCTGATGCACTAGTGTCTTGGACCTAGTGATCCTTACGTTCATGATACTTTAAAAGATCTGAGCGGGCAAAGTCTTTGCCGCATAGTTTGCACCCATAACGCAAACCCAGATGCTTCGCTATATGGCGGGGAATATTGCGACGCTGGGATATGTTCCCGCACGGGAATTCGTAGCCTGAGCAGGGTACAGCCCACTTGCACTCCATTGAGATTCTCTCTGACCCACAAACATTGTGCACCGTGTTTAGATGTGAGAGCATCGGTTGCAGACCTGCTGGTACGAGTTCAGGGCACCTCCGATTTGTGGTCTCATCCATCCAGCCACATTGCCACGTATTACCTGGGACGCCAACTTCAGTAGGACCGTCTTGGGAGGGTTCAGGGTGGTCCTCAGTACACGAGCCGGCCTCATTTGACGGATGAACTGCCAAATATTCCTCCGACGCTTGCAGAAGGTCAGCTTCTGACAACTCTTCTAGAGGCTCTTTGTGGTGGATGAACTTTTCATAGAGAAACATGGCGAGCCCCAAATCCTGCAGGAAACATTTAGCTGCAGATATTGCTCGTCCCTACGATGTACGCACCTCCTCGCTGAAGTGAAGTGGCGTGGTATCACCAGCTTCACCATTCATCATGTTCAGTACGTCTGCCATAGATGTATTGCTGTTGAAACATACTCAACCCCTTTTTGATGCTTACTTTCGGTACGAAATAGCTCACCTGTCGATGTCCTGCAGAAACATAGGGAGCCCCCAATCCTGCAGGAAACATTTAGCTGCAGATATTGCTCGTCCCTACAATGCACGCACCTCCTCGCTGAAGTGAAGTGGTGTGTTATCACCAGCTTCACCATTCACCGGATCCAGTACGTCTGCCATAGGTGTATTGCTGTTGAAACATACTCAACCCCTCTCTAATGGTTACTTTCGGTGCGAATTAGCTCACCTGTCGATGTCCTGGGACCGATTATTGCTGAATATCGGCTGGTCCATAGGGAATGGATGTTTTGGGTACTGGAACCAGACATAGTCCGTTTTTTATGTACCACTGTCCCCGCCAGCTGGCATGGTGGGGACACGGAGTCAGCAACGATTGAACCCTTGGAAGGGTCCCAGGTTTCGTACGTGATGACGGTCATGGCTTGCTATCGGATGGCCATCGCTGACAGTATAGCTCCTTGGAAGGGTCCCAGGTGGTGTGGTCCGTAATCGTACCCCGTGGTTGTCGAACTAATCGCCACCGAAACAGACATGCCAGCTGGCTTGGTTTAGCAACGCGCCAGGAGGCATGACCAAGAGACCTTCCAGATAGATCCATATTAAGTTCAATAATGCGCATTGCTTGGGTCTATCCGTCTGTGGAATCGAGTCATTAACTTATCGGGCTTGCCATTCATGAATCGCGGGCCAGATGGCACTTGTAAATCCCACGGCGGATCAAAAAGAAAAGGTGAAAAATGCATCAGATGGATGCTGGTTTTGCTGAAAGATCTTAGTCAACTTGACGCTCGATGCGTGAGAGCAACCTGAACATCATCGATAAGCGCAAGGACCGCGATGCGCCTACAATTTGAAACCCATTAAACAGATTTTATCCTTACATTGCATGCCTGGCAATGTATATTGGCTCGATGTTCACAAGCAGACGGGTTCATTTGCAACGACTCATGGCACACAACCACTGCGGCAGCCGATTAGCACGCAGTTTGAAAAAGAACGAACAATTGTCTTTCTTCTATCGAGGTCTGACTACGGGAGACAAGGGCGACAAAGTTCTTTATCCGAACCTTTTCCTTCCGCGACTACGACTCGGAGGACAACAATCAAGCTCTTTGCTTAAATTTCTGGTCACGCCCTGCGGGCGTGTGGCTGAGATTTGTGCTTGGCGGGAGATGCTCGTCACTCTTTCTCTAGCACAACAAGATTCGGGGATCACTTGATCCAAACACCCGTATGTTCACCCCAAGGTAAGTGCCAAATTTGCATGACTCCTGACTAAAAGCGTGTACATACATCAATGATAGTATGATCGTAATCCTTTCGCATCGTTTCACACGGTTGATGAGAACATCACCCATGAATGCTGTCATAGGAATTAGCACGCCACCATCTTTCCTAATCTCAGGAACCTTTCCTGGGTCAGTTGCAAATACCAACATCTGATATCTATACTACTGATGATTACTAGGTCTCATGGTGTTGGAGCCGAATACAGGAACACACTCGAGGCAAGAGGTACGGCTACTAGTGAGAAAACAGACCTCTAGTCACGGTGAACGCAACTCCCCCGGATCAGCTCCCCTGTCCGCTGTTTTACTCGTCGTTGATTTAATCCTTCCACTGTGATACCTCGACAATATCTACCAAGCTTGTGTTTTGATATCCCTACAAAATGTTTTTATACTCTAGGTAAAATCTGATGTATACATTTACGGGATCTTGGGATCTGGGTGATTGTGTTCAACCAAGGTTGCAAATTACCTTCATAGCAAGGAGGGGTAGTACGAATTCAGAGTTTTTCATACTCAGCAGCATACGCGTGACTACTAGATGTAAAGTTGAAGGTCAATCGCCTTCAAGCTTCAGGTTTGAAAGCTTGAGCTGTAGGTGAACAGGCGGCTCCAAATCCCCGGAATGTAAACTGAGCAACATGAAATCGACAATCCAGGTGGAGCTAGCTTACCTACGATTCGTACTGAAAATCGTCACTTCAGGGCTTCGGATAACTATGCAACTCGCCATCAAATCGGACAATGGCTTACTTAAGGTAGTTTGTATAAATCAATATGAATTCGAAGACGACAACAAAGAGTAAAACTATGCTTCGGAATGAGCGTCAGTCGAATAAACGTAAGTAAGATGTCATATAGGTAACGATCAGAGTCCATATTCAACGTGTCTTACGTGCCTCTGTTCCGACTAACAACTCACTTTCGATGTCGACATGTCCTGATCTCCTCAACCTCTCAACGAGAACGTCTCCAAAAGCAGTCATGGGAGTCATGATACCGCCACCTATGCTTATCCGAGGCAAGCTTGCACCATCCAAAGCCAGCGCTAGCGCACATTCCGAAATCATGACTGAAAAGTTTAATGAACGACTAATTAATGGTTTACTAGGAGCTTAAATGGAGCTTACTGGATGATAAGAAGTATCCAGGGTCACCTCGACCCTGGAAAATACTTCGTACAACGATATTTTCTCCTTTGGAGTTGGGACTGGACGTAGTGATGTTAGTGATTTTGACAGAGCCACTCTGTAGTTGTCTGCGTGTGGCATGGTATGAGTTATAAGATCAATAAATTCGATTGCACTCACTTTTCAGAGGGACCTTCACCAGGGCCGGGCATTATTCTCCGGGCGAACCACCTTGCCTGTTAAAGTCATCCACACGCAGTCATTCTTCTGCTACAAGGACGGGGAGGAGATGACTAACAGGCTGGAAGAGAACAAGTAATGCTGCTATCGCAGCAAATGTGATTGAATACATCATAGCGTAGAGTGCACTTGGCAGGACCACGAACTCCTCGTACTTGAAATTCGGACCGTAGGAGAGTGGAGCGACAGCGGTCGCATTATGATGGTTGACACGGCGTGCAAGTTCATACAGGCCCCACGTGCGCTGCACAACCTGAGAATTGGTAATTGCCATGAAATACCACGCCCCGTAGACGGGTCGATCAGAGTACGGCAAGGTATAAAGCATCCGGGGTCGAGGAGAATGGGTTCCTTTCACTAATAAACAACTTGAAGTCAGCCACCACCGCATACTTCAATGCGGCGAGATAAACCTGGGCTTAACACAAAACCCTGCCTTGCCGCGAGCAGTTTGTGCTTTGGAACATCTTCCAATGCAGTGAGGATTGTGGAGAAAGTGCCTCCCGAAATAGAAGCGCCACCAAGCTTCCACGCCGAAGTGGAGAGGTCGATTGTGGTAGACGGCCCACCGAAGGATTTCAATGTCTTGTTTGCGACGAATGCAAGAACATCAGAAGGTACCGAGTCCAACCCGCAGCAAGGGACCACAATTGAACCTGACTTGACAGCTGCGTAATCGAGTCTAGAAGCGGTCAAGTTGGTACTTCTCAAAATCAGCATAGGCTTCCCACATACTCAAAGATAATATCCTTTATCCAGTGAACTTCGCCAGTCAAGTCCACGTAATGTTTCCCATGATGCACACAAGCTCGGACAACAGAAGTTCCCCACCGCCAGTATGGGCCAATGGTGTTAATTACAATCCTGGCCTGTTGTACCACAGCATCTACGTCACTGGGATTCGTGACGTCCACAGTGAATGCAGGTACATCGTCTTTCGAGAGATTGAGTTCTCTAAAAACTTTCTCGAGTGCTGACTGTGACCGTGCAGCAAGACCAAACGTGAAGGATGAACCCTGCGGATGGGTGGCGAGGTACTGAGCTATGAGGCGGCCAGTATAGCCTTGAGGACCGTTAGTTAGCTACTGGTGGATAACAACATAACATGTGTAGCCATACCTGTCGCACCGAGAACAACTATGTCGACCATGACGAGAAACAAAGATTTGCAAAGCGTCGCAGGTGTGGTCACTGCGGTACTAGCATTACTTAACTGCATTGCTCTGCATACGTAAGTACTATTCGCTAAGTAAACCGGCTATTCCGGTATGTCGTGCAAGCAACCGTCACACAAGGTTGTTACACTCACTTCTTGTTCGCGGATGTCCGATTTTTTACAGGATACAGAAAAGATGTACACATTGTATTGAAACCTTAGAGGAGTTTAGATAGCCTCTACCTAGTACCAATCAATCATCAAACATGGTTCTATCCATCCGAACTCCAAAATTTTGTTTCACTTCCATACCCAAGAGTTTCATCTTCCCAACCTAATGAAGGTGATATTGACATCTTAGCATTGTCCATATTGCATACAACTCACCTCAACTCTCTCACTCTGGACTTTCCTCAACTCCATAAGCTCTTCCTTGCTTAGATAACTTTCGTGCTCGGCAGGCGCTTTCTTGTGTCGTAGAGAGTGAGCCCGTAAATCAGCCTCAGGATCATAGGAGTCTTCTGCCGGTGGAACGAACTCGCCGGCTCGTAACGACGTCATTCGTCGTTCGTATGCCTCCATATGGTAATATTTCTCGTGAGGGAGGGTTGCTACCAAGCGCTAAACGATATGAGCAAAAAGCAATCTAATGTCACGCACCAGTGTTATAGTCTTCAATAAAAACAACGAATTCTTTGCGTTCCTGATCCTTGGATATGGCCTCTGGGTTAATTTTGCGCTCTTCCAAAAGCCACGTGCGGAATTCTTGGGTTTTATTGTAGAAGCTAGGGAACAAAAATTAGCCATATGGCCGCGGCTGTTGCAATTGAACTGACTCAGTTTCACTGATAATTCCGTATTTACCCCACTGAGCACCAGAGGCAGTCCCATGCCTTTTCTTCTGCGAGAAACGGGTTCGCTGATGGTTATAATTCTTAGGACTACTCACTTTCTTATCTTTCTTTTCTCTCTTTCTTTCCCTCTTCTCCTCACGACTGCGGTGCTTGTCTTTCTTCTTACGACGCCTTCGCTCCGAATCAGTATCAGATAAACTTGATACGGAGCTTGAACGAGAACGTGAACGCTTGTGTCTGAGCTTTTCTCTGTCTTTATGACGTTCATGCCTTTCCCTAGAGTGCGAGCGCTCGGGGCCACGGGAACGCGACCGAGACCTTGGCCATTGGCGTTTACGTCTGGGACTGCGAGACCGTGATATTGAGCGCCTACGTGAGCGAAGGGGGGATCGTGACCGACGAGGCGCGTCCCTCTCGGAATCCATTCCTGAACGTCGGCTATGGCCAGAAACATTTCTGTCTGCCATGAGGGACTCCCTGTCCCTCACAGTTCTCCTATCATAAGCATTTCTACCCTGGCTCCTAGACCGGCTTCGACTCCTACGAGCTTCATCTGAGGCCATGGGTTGTCTACACAGATTCAGACTCCTGGACTCGTTTACTCACAAGGTGGTTGGAGTAGTAGCAGCGTGAGAATATTGCAGCCACAATCCTAATACTATTGCGGCTGTTTGAATCAGGAGCTTTTGCCAAACAACGTAGGACGTGCAAGCTCGACACTCTATGCGAAGGACTAGTCTTATTCCCGCTTCATCTCATTTGGGCTTTCTATCATTCAGACGCACGGTGTCATACCAGTGGGCGCTTTGCCACTTCCTCCATAGCTTATTCTCCTGTAAACTCGGAGCTTCTCACGAATGGCCATCACCACCTCCTAAATCATGTAGTACGTCTTGCTGTGCTGCTCATTATCAGACTAATATGAGCCGAACCGGAACACGTCGCCACGTGGAGGGGTTTCTCCTCGGATTTAACGTGATTGCGGCGTGGCAGACCTCGAATTTCATATTCTGTGGCATGTCAAATGGCCGTTATGAACCTCCTGTGAGTCACATTTGGCTATTCACCACAACTTTACTTTATGGACCGATCGCTCGCAGTCTTACGCACTGGCTTGTCGGATTGCGTTGACTACAGCTCCATTTTATTGAAAGTCGATTCATACTGAATCAGCTGCCTGGGTGTTTGTCAGATGGCCGTAATACTAGTGGAAAACATAATGGATGAACCTCCTGCTTGACATTTCCGTACAGGAAAGTGAAGTATACACAGAATGGGCCAAATAGTGCTTTTTTATCATTTCACACATCGCAGAGTGTGGCCTAGAAATCATATCCTTACAGGTATAAAACGCTCCTTCTTTACCGCTTTGGTTCATGCTAGCTCACGACTCACGAGTACTACTTATTAGCGCTTGAAAACCAAAGCTACGCTACTATTCCTATGTCTTTCAAAGAAAGACCTGTCTCTGATTCCTAGTACGCCTTCATTGCCTAGCGATTTATTACCTCCTTGAGTTGCTCATCATGCATTGTCACAGCGGTTGGGAACCATTCAATTGTTCACCCGGTCGGGAAACAACGTCTCTGAATCTCCAAAGACCTTCGCTCAATTTCAGTGTCGAACCACCATCGTTGTTGTGCGCTAGGTCTCTTTGCTGTTTCAGCTCATCAATGACATCACTGCTATTTAGCTCCACCTCGTCGCACATAAATCCGGTTACTGCACAGTGAGCAGCAGTATTCCTCTTTGTATATGTGCCTCTCATGAACGAAACAGCAGAACTGGGATGACACCATCTGATGATCCTTTTCTCGCGAGAAGCTATCAGAATTTTCAGGGCGACCCATTCATTGATTATGACGCATTGTGGCACGATGATAATAGCATGCCAGTGGCTCCCCCTGGCAATATGGCGTCAACAATCACTGTTTCTCAGACTACCGACGGTGCCTGGTCGACTAGTGCCTCTGCAACTCTACCTCCGGAACTCGAGACATCTGCTCACAATTCATATCAACCAATTCATCCACCGCTTCCGCACGTGGTAGCTAGCAGCTCTCTCATGTGGCCTGTGCATGGACCAGTCCATACTGGGACCGTCCATTCATTAGAAGTCTTGCATGAAGACTACAGGACTGCAATGCTACAAGGAAGTCCACAGTCCCCGGCGCAAGCACCACACAGCATCTCGTGGTATCCTCAAGTAGAGGCTGTAGGCAGCTCCGCGACCACCGTGTTTCAATCTCCTTCCCTCCGATCGAGGCCAACGCCATCGGCCCTTCGACATGAAAGCACACCACAATGTTTAGGCTCTCGGCACGATGAAACCGCTATAATAGGTCCACAGACGGCTGGTACGGGGTCAGTTGGCCATGAACCTGCTTCCAAATCACCGCGTCAGAGACGCAGAGCCTCGTGGTCGAGTTATGCCGACCGGCCCGCAAAAGCTCTGCGCTGCAACGGGATTGTCCTTGATGAAGAAGACATTAGGGAGACTAGGGGTATTAATGGCGGTCTCGTTATCACTTATCCCTGTCGCTGGACGCACAACGGGCAGGAATGCGGTATGCACGTTATGGGTGATCGTATACGATTGGCAAGGCATATACAGAGGTGGCACATGGCTCACGCAGCACACAGTCAAAGGCAGGCCCCTTGCCGCTGGGGTGGCTGTGGAAAGGTAATGAAGAGAGAGAACGTCGTCCGACATGTCATCGTCACCCATCTCAAGATGAAATGGTGCTGCTCAGTATGTCGCATCAAGCTATCTCGCGATGATGCCTCTGCGAGGCATTTCGAACGTGTGAAATCCTGCAGGCACGGTGTTGCGACGGTTGAAAGAGGCCCAGAAGCACAGGAGGTGAATGTTTGTCAAGGGGTCGAGTTCTGATCAAACCTCACATCAATTGCCTTAATGCGGACATCTCTCGAGCGAACGATAATTCTATGTTACACGGACAGCGTTGGCGAATATTTGTGATTCGATCATGTGCTGCGGTCGTGGGTCCACCGGTCACCGGTCATGCTTGAATCCGACTCTCCCTCTAATAGATGGACGAGAAGGTTGTATTTTCTACAGTGTCATAGTATAGTAATAATATATACCGTTAATGATATTTATACATTTCACTTGCCTTAGGAGCCCTCCCAGTCAGGATGTGCAATACTGAGTCATACTACTGTAGACAATCCTTTAGAAATGTAGCAACAAACTATCGACTTCTTGTCGCTCAAATTGTAAGTGGGTTAGACTGCTGCACGTGCACCGAAACGTAGAATACTGAAAGCTCACCTTTCAGCATCAGCGATAGTATATAAATCATAGTGGCGGCTCGCCGCCAATCACCGACTCCAATGGGACTGTAGTCAACAATAGCAGACTCAGGCTGTCCAGACAAGCGGCATATGAATGAGCTTGATTAACTTCAACACTTTGATTCCAAACGGAAATAAGAGTAGGGTATGTGCCTGGAATGAGATCAGGATTGTTGTATTCAATGACCGGATGAAGTCCTCGATGTCGGACCACAAGGTCAGGCAACGAGGTAGTGGCACTCTCCTAAAGTAGATGTTTGAGAGCAGCAGCTATATATGAATGTTCGGCCACTCATGTTGTCACACTCTGGATCGGAGACACCCACCCTCAAAGCATTGTTACAACGGACCCGTCGTCGTTTTGTCCACCACAAGCTCCGCAAGATGCTCTTGAAGTACAGTTGGCTCCTCTTCAAATACCCTTTTGACATCAAGCTCATGGTTCCCGAGTACGCGCTCAGACAAGCCAGGTATCACATTGTCGGGACTCTGCAGGATAAAGCGCGTCATTTTCTCGTTCGATATGTATGTTGAAATACAACCGATTGCGATGCTTCGGCCACATGAGGAAGACCCAAATTTATCCGTACGCACTCGAAAATTAGGACCTAACTGGTCAGACTTGAATTTTCAAGGGCCAACAAACACAATGGCTCAGGAGCCCATTGATATCGGCGGGAGTTCGAGGCAACACAGATGCCGTAGACACAACATTCATTTCATGTGCACATATATTGCCATGAGCGACCCACGGTTGCGCCGGATCTGATGGCTAAAAACAAATGTGCTACAAGGCCATTTGCAAGCGCACTTCGACAATGTCGCAAAGCAGTCGGCGCACACGTTCATTGCAGTGGATGCGGGAGGATCGTCGATGATGCCTGCCTTTTCAAGCCTATCAGATCATTAAAAGTATCGTTTTCGAAGAGAAATGATGTAGATACACACTGCAGGATGCCACTCACTTCAACGGACAGCAAGTGCCGTATGTATTATCCGTTCCCGTCTGTTCATTTTCATGCGCTCGCGTGAGGATCCGAGACGCTCCGTCACGAAGCTTTCATACTCTATAGATAGTATCTGTGTAATGAAATGTTCATCAGGTAGAGTGCCAAAGGGAAGTGACAAAGCAGGATATCACACACTTTCAACTTGGGCCAATACCGATTGCAAAAAGATGGCACAATCTCGGATATGACAGGCAAGACCGTTAGTCGTTTTTGAATTATTTAACGGCAGGACGCCCTCTCATAGGCAGATCATGGATACTTACATTCAGAAAGCACATCAATATTAAAATATTAAAATGTTGTAGTCAGTTTACCAAGTATCAAGCGCTTCAGCTTTCCCATCCCCATCAAATTCCCACGAGATTCGTTCGCTTTCTGACAGTCCGCGAAAACCCTCTCCAGTAACTCAGTGGAGTGGGGGAAATATACTCAGGTACGCCAGCGTGCTTACACAAGTGCAACTCAAAAATGTCTCTCAAACAAACCTGGAACAAGAAATGCCCATCATGCATATAGCCTAATCGAAAGGTCTTTGCAACAGAATATCATTTCTCCCTCAGACTCATCACGCTGCATGGCAGTAGTAAAACCAGTCACCGACTCCCTCCAGCATTAAACGCGTTTAATTAATATATCACCAAGAAAATACATCAAAATATTGTCGACCTCGAAGACTGTACAGTGTATTTTTTTTTAGTTCCAATTTCTGTCCTATTTGAGAGTAAACTCTATGAAGGACAATACATTCTAGTCTACTGGACCCCCTGTGTCCTTTCGCATCTCCCAATTCTGTGCAATGTACATATCCCCCATACCTTCGACTATCGGATGACTCGACTGGAAGAGCTTGTCAATGCCATCTATTCCGAGAGGCTGTCATCACATGCATTCGCATTTCAGAACGGGCTACTCGACGTTTGTTTCAACGTACCTGCCGTCGGAGTAACCTTAGTCTCCTCTTTATAAAAGAGGGAATATGTATAACCCTTCCTTCTAAGAGTAACCTGCGTCCTCGCCTGTCCTCATTTCCCTCGCTTGGAATTTGCACACGCACTTGTCACTCACGTAAACAAGCCCCGAAGTAACATGAACGGGTTTTTTAATTCTGCGCACTATGATAGGATACAGTCTCCGAGTGCTAACAGATCACAGAGGAGCTATGAGCCTTGCAAGACAAATGAGTCTGTGGCAGAGACAAGCGGCGCTCGGTGCCTATCCTGCCTCGCCAATCCAAACACAACAGCTCTGTCATCGGCTATCGACAATCCCTTCCCATAGCCATCAGTCTTCTGGAATCCTGGCCGGTTCCCGTGGCATACCTAGATACACTGCGCCCGAGAGTTATAAGTGTTGGTATAGTTGACAATTCCAAATTTGGTACACATACCCGCTTCACCCATGACCATTATGCGTACCCGTGCTGCGCCACCAATGCTTTTTCAATGTTTGATAAATACAGTTGTCACATCGGTATAACGTCAGAGTGCCACCTCGCCGCAGAACGTTCTATGAACGTTGAGGCGTTATTGAAGGATGTCTGAGGGTAGGAAATCCAGTCGCCGGGATCTTTTGAAACAGAGTTCGCGTGTACCTGTATGAATACCAGACAAATTTATGATCCTTAGTCCTCAAGATAAAAGAGCTCTTGACCTATGGCATGACGGACTGACCTGCGCAGCTAAGCATCAATCTGCTTTACCAATTCTTTACGCCCATGCCATTTCCCGCAGAACTCAACATTGATAGCATCATGAACTTGCAGGTCATCTTCGGTGATGGGATTCAGGCCATCGAAGACAATGACCTCGATACTATTTCGCCGTCATCGGCACCACCTCAAGAATACGGTCCTCTGTCCCAAGATTCTGTTGGGATCGTCAATGCCACGACAGATCCTCCTGTCGAACAACTTTCTCCAGGTAGAGTTCGTTATCTTCGCAGCCTTTCATTCAAACGTTTACAATGTGCGACACCCAGACCTAATGTTCGCCGGTTCCGGTAGCCACGTCGTACCGCCCTTCCAGTCATCCGTAAATGGGCATGTCACGGAGAAGCAACCCACATCTGGCTCTTCAGCCAAACGCTACCCGCATCTTTGTCTCCCCATCATGCTCGGAGGTCAGAAGAAAGTGAAGTGCACATGGCCCGGATGCTCGAGCATTCTCAAGAAAGATAGCCACACTCGCCATGTGGACAACATTCATCTCCGCAAGGTTAAGGCTATATGCTCTCGCTGTGGAAGAGGATTCACGCGCACGTACGCGAAGACGAAACATAAACTTACGTGCCCTGGTGCACACTCTACATGTAAATGATGAATCCAGAAAGCCTATCTGTGCTAATTGTGGATCATTTTATTTCACCTAGAACACAACTCCACCTCGATTCTAGCACGAAAATCTATTATAGCCATTCTTTGTATTAAAAAATGCGTACTTACTGAAGTTATCTTTGTTCTCTTAAACACGCCCTCTTGGAACATCCAGACACCCTACGCTCGAGCACGAGTTGCTAGCTTGTGAATCGTCCTGCGTGTTTGACCGGTCGGGTTCTATAATACCGAGTTCTGGGTGAGTGTGAGGTAAACATTGCGACCATAGATGATGGAGCAGGTCTTTGGTGACTGGCGCTTGCTTGCCGTGGCGGGGAGGAGAATCCCAGATGAGGAGGAGCGACATCATGATTAAGCGATAGCAATACACGGGCTATGGTCGCTCGGGATCTCGACCACCTTAAAACGTTATTTCGTACTGGTCTCCAAGACTCGAAGGTGTTGAGCGACAGGTTATTACTCGTTATTCGGTTGGCCCGGTTGGCCACCATAGCCTAAGCAGTTTTGCTCCTTGCGGGTGATTTACTGACGTGCGGGAATGGCCAAATACTGAGAGCTCCTTGATGCATTAGTGGCAGTTAGAGTCGGCGATGAGATGATTATGATGTGATTCTATCAGTGATTCAAACTACGATTTTGGGTGCTCGGAATCGTCAGAATCGTTGAATCGCTTCCAGAGGTGCTTCACGCGATTATGAATCGAGGTCGGTGATAATGCGGACATCAGCGCCAAGATCGGGTCGACACCATGCCCCCCCAAGGCAAAGACCGACCGACCATCAAGGCCAAAACCTCGCAAGAAAGGACCTGCAAAGAACAGTCAAAAGGGGGACAAGAAGTTTGAAGTCGGTGATAGTGCGGACATCAGCACCAAGATCAAGTCGACCCCCCCCAAGGTAAAGACCAACCGACCCAAAACTTCGCAAGAAAAGACCTAAAAGAACGGCCAAAAAGGGACAAGAAGTTCGGAGTCGGTAATAGTGCGGATATCAGCGCCAAGACCGAGTCGAACGTGAACGACGAGCCCGATATTCCAACCCCAGTGACTGCCACTATTAAGGAGTGATCGCAAAGCCCTCCTCCATTTGGACGGACGAGTGGGGTGGCGACGTTTTTTATGTTAAAGCCCCTCGTAAACATGCGTTTGAAGTCCTTCATTCAGTACTTACTGGTCAAATTGTAGACTATGTCAGCCCAGGATGGGCGGTTGTTTAATATTAGTGGAAAGGTACAACCCAAAAAGGAAGTGAATATATATTCTTATGGGCCGCCGCCGGATCGTTTCTATCAATTGCACCGGGTCGAGTTATTACGCCTTGAGCTTGCAGAACTTCGAAACGCCAAACAGAACTTCGGTATAAATCTCGAGCAAGATGTCCAAGTCACGCCGTAATCTTTCTGGTACGGTTGGCAAACGCTCATCCCTAATGACTACCTCCACCTCCAGCGCAACCGCCAGCGATCCGCTTTCCGTCGTTTCAGAGTCCTCCTTCGTGTCTACATCCGCTCATTCAATATTACCGGTCTCGTCTACTCCCGTGCCCCAGGTATATTCATATTCACACCAACGAAGCCCTTCGCCACCAGCTTCGAGCTATTTCCCATCTGTATCCGCTGTACAGAATGGTGAACCACAGCCTACACCAGGCGCTTCTACCCATTTTGCATATAGCACAACCCTTAGAAGACATCATCAACCTAAAGACCCCAGTCTTCAATTATCTTCGAATTTCAGTGACATTACTTCTAGCGAGGGGCTACCACCCCTCTGGCAGAGGGTAAAGGGCCTCGCACGCCGACTCTCGGGTGGGGCTGCGGAAGACCGTTATGAACTAGTGCCAGCGGGAGAACGGGTCGGCCAGTCCTTGAGACTTCGAGAGGATCAAGACAGAAGGGAAACTCCTGCTGCGCGTTTTGCTCGTTGGGCAGTTGAGGTGAGTACACCCTTTCAAATCTATTCATCTTGCGTACGTGTCCCACTGGCAGTGGTCCTATGTATGCAATGTTCTAGAAATCCAGGATGGAAGCTCGGATTTCTTCTGATCGCGCCTATTTAATATCCCTACCTTCGCGTAATCCCCATAAATGGATTTCTCGAAAAGGGTAAAAATAGATGCGGCGGTTCCGTCCGGTATTAGAGTATCAGTAACTAACCAAATTGCCTTCGTAGGACACTCTGGCACACTTCAAAACGTCCTCAGTCTCTGGTCTTCCTAGTTCATCGATTCTAACGCTGCAGGATTTCCATGGATATAATGAATTTTCTGTATCTCTACCTGAACCAGCTCTGCTCAAGTTTGCTAAAACCATTTACGAGAGCCCACTGATCCTGCTCCTATGCGGCAGCGCTGTGATTAGTGCGGTCATGGGAAACATCGACGATGCAATCAGTATCACGGTAGCAGTGCTAATAGTACTGACTGGTGAGCATCTACATTTACGGGACTTTATTGACGTGTCTCATCTTCCCTAGTTGGCTTTGTGCAGGAACAGCGCTCGGAGAAAAGCCTGGAAGCGCTTAACAAGCTCGTACCACACCACTGCCATGTGATCCGGTGCGGCACGAATATTCCGTCAGATGTTCCATTATCTCAACGTTCACAGTGACAAACGTGATATTCACATTCTTGCCAATGAGCTGGTTCCTGGGGATATTGTTGCGCTTTCATCGGGAGACCGTGTTCCTGCGGACATGCGTATCATCACGGCAGTAGACCTCGAAATTGACGAGAGTAGTCTGACTGGTGAGACCAACGCACGTCGAAAGGATTCCGATCCTTGCGTCTCTCAGGTTTCTACGTCTTCAACTGTTTCGAATAGCCCAGAAGAACTAGGAGATGTCGCGCTAGCTGAACGATCATGCATTGGATACATGGGAACTTTGGTTCGGAACGGTGAGTAAATATTAAGAGCGGGCTCCACGAACTTAGTCCCCCACTACTTTAAGGTCGTGGCGTGGGTGTCGTGATCGCCACTGGTACTCAAACAGAGTTTGGTGTGATATTTTCCATGATGCAAGATGTAGGTGTCTTTTGAGCTTTTAATCAGGAGCATGCTCAGCTCCAAACAGGTCGAGGAAAAACGCACGCCTCTTCAATTGAGCATGGATGAGCTGGCCAAGAAGTTGTCGGTTATATCCTTCGGCATTATTGGAGTCATTTGCCTTATTGGCATGTGGCAGCAGCGGCCCTGGTTGGACATGTTCACCATCGGAGGTAGCTGATTCCATTAACGACATCTTTGCTCATTTAACTTTGTACGCAGTATCTCTTGCGGTAGCAGCCATCCCGGAGGGCCTCCCCATCGTCACGACTGTCACGTTAGCTCTTGGTGTGCTAAGGATGTCGAAGAGAAAGGCTATCGTAAAAAAACTTCATTCTGTCGAAGCTTTGGGCTGCATTTCTGTCATTTGTTCTGACAAGACCGGTCAGTTAATAATTGCATCATCTTTGTCTTTTGTTACAATTGATGTTACAGGCACTTTGACAAAGAATGAACAGACCGTCACAGAGATGTATGTCGTCGATGAGAACATTCACGTCGATGGCCCTCGGTCAACGATATCCCCGGCGGTTAGGAAGCTTCTGGAAATCGGCTCTTTGTGCAACAATTCCTCGATGGCTAAGGATGGCGAGGGCAAATACGTTGGACAATCAACCGACGTGGCATTGATAAATGTTCTGTCCTCATTCAATATACCAGATCAACGGCAGGTAGGTTTGCAGCAACGGCGTCATCAGTGTTTTATACTAAAATTGGTCAAAGTCCTTCATCCGGCTTTCGGAAAAACCTTTCAACTCGGAACAAAAGTACATGGCCGTCAGCGGTATTCACTCACACTCCACAACTATCTATTCAGGTTCTCCTAGCGAGATATATTACATCAAGGGTTCTATCGACGCCATCTTGGATCGTTGCAAATACTACTTTATTACGGACAGCTCAATATCTGCCTTGGACGCTGGCACGCGCAGCGTCATACTGAACAACGCTCAAGCAACAGCGTCGCGGGGCCTTCGGGTAATTGCCATGGCGTATGGATACGGATCTATCGATTCTCCTCGCCAGGATTCTGCACAACCACAGCACCGCGCCACCCAGTCAGTGCCAGTGTCGCGAACCCCAGTGCCTGATGAGGACAAGACCAATCTGGTCTTTGTTGGGTTCCAGGCCATGTTTGATCCCCCACGCAAGGGAGTTGCGGATGCTATCGGCTTGCTCCAGAACGGCGGGGTACAAGTTGTTATGATCACCGGAGATGCTGAGCAGACAGCCTTGGCTATCGCCCAAAAACTGGGGCTCCGCGTTGGTCCTGCACATGCTCGCGATGGCCAGCTCCGCAAATATTGCTTGACTGGAAAGGATCTCGACCAGATGAGCAAATCACAGCTCATCGAGCGGGTAGGCAGCGTGAGCGTGTTCGCGCGGACAACACCGCGACACAAAATGGCGATTGTCGAAGCCTTCCAAGCTCGTGGAGCTGTTGTGGCTATGACTGGGGACGGGGGTGAGTGCTGTCTATATCATGCCATGAGCATGCTTATATTGATTCTGCCTATTTTTTCTTCGGCCTGTTTCGCTAGTCAATGACGCGCCAGCGCTTAAAATGGCTGACATTGGTGTGTCGATGGGGAAAAGTGGTACCGACGTCGCGAAGGAAGCCGCTGATGCTATCCTCGTGGATGACAATTTCAGCACAATATTACCTGCTGTCGAGGAGGGTGAGCAATCTACTCTTCCAATCATGGTCACGTAACTATTGAAAGCGCTTCTGAAGGCAAATCTATCTTTCACAACATCCAAAACTTCTTGTCTTTCCAGCTCAGTACAGCTGCCGCTGCATTGACGCTCATTACACTCAGTACGCTGTTTGGGTTCAGCAACCCGCTCAACGCTATGCAGATACTTTTCATTAATATTTTGATGGACGGTATGTTCTTTGGGTCGCCCTCGAATAACGAATGTCTGATTTAGTTCCAGGTCCTCCAAGTCAATCGTTAGGCGTCGACCCAATAGATCCAGCAGTCATGCGAAGACCTCCACGGAAGAAAAACGAGCCGGTAATCACTAAACGCCTGTTATACCGCGTCCTTTTCTCGGCAGCTACCATTGTCTGTGGAACCTCTTACATTTATACCATTGCGCTTGGTGATGATCTTGTTTCGAGGCGGGAACAAACCATGGTCGGTTCTTGGACTCCTGAATTCTACTTACCACAACTTACATGTTGAATAGACTTTCACGTGCTTCGTCTTCCTTGACCTCGTGTCTGCAGTGCAGAACCGCGGTCTCGGATGTGGCCTGATACAAAACAAGATGCTTGTGACAACCGTATCGATATCATTCTTTGTCCAACTGACACTCGTTTATGTTCCCTTCATGCAAGCAATCTTCCAGACAGATGCTCTTGGGGGGCAGGACATCTTGACCATCTTACTCATAGCTGCAACGTCTTTTGTGCTGCATGAGGGGCGGAGACGTTTCGAGAGAGCGGTCGAGTCAGACGAATCATATGCTAACATCGCGGAAGAGATGGCGTGATCTCTCTTTGATAGAGACTAGATATCTATACACGAATATATAACGGATGGATAACTATATGGTTTACATAGCATTACACATTATAAACTTGTACACACTTGAGATCAAACTACCACGCATAACTACCGCACAATTGGAAGCATCTAAACTAAGTCATCACTTTGTAGGGAGTGAAGGCTGGGGGAATGATCGTCCAGGACGGCGCGCCAGGAGGAACTGCTTGCGGAGCGGCGCCAGTCGCAAGACGAGATTGTGAGTAGCATTCTGTACGGAGTTCCTGGACAAATAGGTCAGTGATGTAAGCAATGTTGACAAGAAAGCGGACGTACCTCAAAACTCCATGATCGAAGACCTGGTGTCGCCGAGATACTCTGAAATATGTCGGGAATACCTTGATGCTCTTGCGCCACTTCATCGGTGCAAATTTGCATGTCGTGTGACATGGTGGTGCCATCGCAGGAAATGGGATCGACCAGACGAGTGGCAGCATGACCTTGAACGGTGCCTGTGGGCATCGCGCGTGCTCGAGCAGGAAGGGGAATGATTGCTCTCTTGGGAATAGCACCCTGCCAAACCGCAGCTGCCTTCGAGATGAAAATACCCTCATCATCTTCTGCAATTTCAAAAGATAGGTTCAAGGGGATATCTTTGCCTCCTGCACCGGCCAGCTGAGAGGATTCTGGAGACGTGTAGTAGTGGCTGTAACCGCTGATTGATGTTAGGTTTGGTGTATCGGGTGAGACGGTCAGGCCGAGCGTTCCGCAATGCGCAGATTGCAAAGACATGGTGGAGATATTTGGGGATTAAGCGACTGAAAGATTGTTTTGCTGTACGCTAGATTTTATAGGTGATGTCAAAGGAAGCTGCTATAGTGGATTAACGTCAATTATTAGTTCGCTCCAATCGGTAATGAAGAAGAATGAGATAACGCAATAAAGCACCTCATTTACAAGGCATAAGGGACCGGAAAAAGGCCAATTGGTCAATGGAGCTGGCGACGTCCACACATTGTATGGCGTGATATGTACACGGTTGTGGAATCTGGATGGACCCAGACAACAAAAAAATGGTCGCATCGTCCGTGACTCCGTGACTTGGTGGGTCAATCACGTGACACGCTGATAACTACAACATTTGCACGTGGCATCCTCAACTATGTAGGTCACCAGTGGACGTTTAGGCGTTGGACCATCAGACATTAGTGCTATTAGTCCTACATTCACCCGGAATATATCACCTGGAATGCCCAGGCATAATCTACCTGGTCGACTTGATCCTGAGGCACTACTATGGTCAAGACACCCGATTCATCAATGTTCCACTGAAGGCTCTGCGAATTCCTTGATGGCCCCAGCAGCACAACATTGTCACCCTCCTGAATCGGTAGCGCCACGTCACCCGCATCCACCGTCACTTGCCCATCGCTCGGCTTGTTGAATGCGATGATGCAAAATGATTTTGGTGTGGTGAGAAACCTAAATGATCCCGTCGGATCTTGGGACCCTTGGTACCAGTAATCCTGATGCGCACACGTTTCATCTGAATAAAGGATTGCCAAAAGGGGTGTTCGTGACTTACCGTTGCATAGACACAGTCACCTGCATACTTCAGCCATTTACCAGCAGCGAGGAGGTTGTCTGCCATTGGTGCAATGATGTCACCCTCCGCGGTGGGACCAACATCGAGTAAACTGTGAAATGAAATAAAACAACTAGCAAGGCGATAGATGCTATTTCTCACTAGTTTCCATTCTTGCTCACAATATCGACCAGTGTTTGGATGATGGTCGTTCCATTCTTGTACTCGCTCGCATTGGTGGCAGTATTCAGACCGTAGCTATTCGGGTCCATCCCTTCGCTCGTCTCCCAGCGGCGAGTGGACAGGGAACCGAACGTTGTATACTCTGGTGTGTCAAAGTCCGGAACCGCACCACAACCTTGAGTGGGTATGCATCAGGCGTGCTTAAAACTTCGCAGCAAAGACAACTTACGATCATTCATGGTAACCTGATAGCCATTCTGCATTGCCTTGTTATAGAATTGTGCAGCAAAATCCAACGTCTTATTGGGGCCTCCGATATCGCACCACTAGTAGGGCCCGTCAGCGCATGCTGAGAAGTCGGTATAATAACGAGCTAACCATGATTTCCGTGTCATAGCTCAGCGCCAAAGACAGCATCTGGGGGTATTGCAAATCCTCGACGTAGTCGCTTATATTCAATATTCCTGTATAAGGCTCCAGCTCAGACGCATTGAATGCGTTGTGCGCCAAGCCTCCTGGCCATAAACCAAGCCCATACCTGGAGTAGTCTGGATTGAACCTGCAGGAGATTAGAAACAGGAGCCATACTCGCGGTATCAACACTCTTACCATTCGGGAAGTGAGTAGTACGTTCCCCGATGAATGTCGGGATAATCCGATTTGGCGGTGTCCATGAGCTCTTTGACAAAGTCACGATGTGGGTTAAGGTGTACGCTACTTCTATGTGTGGTATTTTTCGTATCAAACAGTCCGTAACCATCGTGATGTTTCTGCAATGCGGCATGGTCAGACTTGATTGACAAACGACAAAGAAGTTCGCACGGTAACGATAACAAAGTATTTCGCCCCAGCTTCGGTGAACAGATCTAACCAGGCACTTGGATTCCAAGTAGACGCCGTGAAGTTAGCGATAAAGTCATCGTATACGACATCCTGCAGTCCACAGTCATGGACGTTAATGCTGACTGAAAGCTCATTATGCTTACCTTCCCATAAGTGTCCAGGTGATGTACCCACGTCGGCGAGTTGGAGTTTGGGGGATTATGGAGTTCCCAGCTGCTCTTGTGTCAGAATGACCTGCCGCATATAATTGAGAACATCCTTACTCATACCACTCTGCAGTTGTACTAGGTGGGCCCTATCTAAAATGCATCAACCAACGTGAGCGTCACTGACAGCGCAAACATACTTACCCAAGCGGAGACACTGTAGATGCCCCAGTGAATGCTGCAAATGCATGAGTCCATGGATGATTTGAATCCTTAGGAATCATCTAGTACTTACAATATTCCATACTTCGCCTGGTTCCACCAAGTGGGCGTCTCATGTGTGCTCAGCACATCAGCGTCCGCTGTCCATTCGGTCCGCAGCGGGACGATGGGCCAGCCCACGGAAGTCCCAACGATATTCCCAATTTCATCTTTGATCGTGACTGTCGCATTTCCCGTCCCGTTGTTGTTGAGAACAAGGACGTCCACGCGAGCCTGGTCTGCGGGAACCAGGCGATACACGAGGCCAGGCGTGACTGTGAAGACCCCCTCGCCTACTACTGAGATCTCATATCGCGAGTTTATGGATGCGTTCGAGGAGGTCGCGTGACTCCCTGGGAGTAGATTCGCAAGGGTGATGGCGACGGCTTGAGCTCGCTGCCCATTGACGTCCTCCCACCTCGTGCTGAATTGGGCACTACGAACAGAGAGCTGGGGCACCAGAAGACCACTGGAGAGTTCAAAAGAAGGTGTCATAGAGAGTGCGAATATATGGAGTCTGTCCGAAGTAGAAGACGTATTTGGGAGTGTGATACTCTCAAGCGGCGCACGAGATGGTACGGATAGCGATATTTGGAATATTTGGCTAGAATTCCAGTTTTTATTGGATGAATATTCTTCGAAATGATATGGTCTGTTATGGGTCAACAGTCAGTATAAGTTGGCGAAGACAATGCACGTTTTTTACATTCGAATTTCTCCCCAGTTGAGAATAGGCCATCTCCACCAGCCTTTCCCGGTGACTAAACGCTGGCAATGAGCTGGCAGAGTTTGCGCAGGGGTTAAGGGAAACGAACATTTCAAGTACTTAACTGAGTTATCCGCATAGTTCAGGCTGAACGTTCCACTTAATCCATCTGCGAATTCAAGTCAACGCGTGAGAGGATGCGGATAGCTGACTGCACTTCCTACCCGAACTATCCCCTGCATATACGATGTGCAACTCATGAACATAGGTTGCGTTCGAAAGTTTCACAACTTGTCCTTCAGCAATGACATTGTCTTGGCTTTGGCCCCAAGTCGATGGTAGGTCATACTGAAGATCGCTGAGTGAATAGACAACTCGTCATCGTGATCCTCACCAAGATTCCATTATACAACCATGGACCCTCAGGTAAATACTCTGCTGCATATGTAGCGCCATTCCCATCGAAGTTGCCAGTGGTACCATTTAACGAAGCAGCTTGGTTATTGAAGAGATCGCTTAGTGGAATGACAGCAGATGGAAATGTGACGAGGGATGACTTTACAGTGCGAAAGTAGGAGAGTAAAGCCCCGCACAGCAATGGTACACCAAAGACTCTCATAGCGGCCTCGAAGGGGGGCCGCTTCGCGAGGGTGCATACCTTTTCTATCCACAGCTAGGCAAAATATCGGTGTTATGTCATTCGCATAAACAATACTATTTGACCATGGTCACAGTAGCCTGTCATGTTCATGATATATGTTTCTTCCATATGTTACGAGGGTCGGCAAGAAGCGTATCTGATGATTGTGGTTTAATTTCAAGTCGAGTACACGACACGCTGAAATGATTCGGAGAAGACGAGAATGACGTTCGACGTGGCCGCGCTCAACGGTTTCGATTACGCCGCTGTTAGAAAGGCTTCAAGTTACTGTGCGAAATGTGGCAAACAGCCTTTGAAGTTTCAACCTTGAAATTTTGAAGCGTCCAACTGAGCTGAGAGATATCTCAGAAATGGCTGGAGAAATCAAAGCATGATAGATCAGGCGGGGGCACTGATCAGTGAATTCATGAGTCTATGACATTTAATTAGTTATTTGATGGTCTGTGAACAAAGGAATGTGAAGTCCCATACACTGAAACAGTGGACCGGGATCTGACACAACTGAAGAGGAGTACCAAAGAAACAGGAAGTAAATCGCCAGCGAGCGCACACATAAACGCACAAGCATTTGGAACCCGACAGATGCGAACTAACCACGAGAGTAAAGAATCATGCTTAAGGAGTTGGGGAGAAAGCCGGCAGAATGGGCGCAGCTTAGAAGCATGGGAAAATTTGGACCTTTATCTTTGCAGCCTGCTCGAACATGTTCGAGTTCTAAAACACATCTACTGATTCTACCTCCCGCCACTGAGATTCTGCAAGAATACCTTCTTGTTCAGCGACGCTTCGTGACTCCTCGAGATGAGCTAACCTCAATTTAATCATCTTCTGGGCGACAACTTGTCCGTGATCATATAGTCATGATATAGAGGTAGTGAGATTTGCCTAATGTGCTACTTTATGAAAGAGTAAATACGATACTTACCTCCCAGTCGCCCCAGAACAGACATATCTCGTTTCCAACACAACAACTCTAATCCATCAGCACTTCCACTATCCACGATCCTCCTCGCAAACCACGTCCGAATAATACCCGAGCCAACAACGACAAAGCCAGCATGCATCAGAAACGTGAGTGGCGATGGTTAAGGGTGGGTAGAACCAAAATGAGCAGCTGGGGTTTGGGAGTGGGAGCCCTGGACAGTGCTGGATGCGTGCTTGGAGGGTTTGGATGGTGTGGAGGTCGTCAAGGAATTCAGTTAATGCTAGGTGGATGAGGGAGTGTGTTGCATATCGCGGGTAGGAAGGAATCAATGCGGTTGTGGCGCACTTGCAGTTTGTCGTGTTTTATGATTTCCTTGCAAGTTCGGAGCTGTTCGCGCTCCATAGCTCGATATTTATTCGCCCTATATGTTGCGGACTCTATCGTATACACCAAGTCCATTGCCTGCGTGTATCCATCATCATCAACATCGTCACCAACCTAGTAAACTGACTCACCTACCTGCGCGTCGACAGTATCTGTTATCGTAGGACTTCGTATCCGTGGGTTAACAATATCACACTCGCGGTAGGATGTACTTGCCTGGAACACTTCTTGTGGAGCATCGGTGCCTTGGTAAACATTGTTCTTGAAAGACGTTGGGAGAAAAAGGACATGCAGCACGAATTTCGTAGTAGATGTCGTGGATTTCGTAAGAAAGCGGAAGAGGGGAATGTATACTTGAGGAATAGTCAGGATGATCTAGGTATTCGAGTCAAATGAAGAATGAGGACTGATCCTGTCCTAGAACTGCGTTAGTAGCAGTGCAATGGAGAGCCCAGGACACACGGATACGGCAACGATGTTGGACTTTTGCACCCTGGCGCTGACGACGTGGATGATGGAGTTGTCTGTCTTGGGTACCTGCCTGGCTGACGGGAGTGCATCTAGTACACGTGGTGGATGGAAACGACCATTTAAGGGGAGCACCAGCCTTCTTGGTGGAAAAGTGGATGTGGCTTGAAGATTGAGGCCTAGGACTAAGAGGGTGCGGTAACTGCATGCCGTTGATTATGCATAATACTGTTGGGTGGGTGAGACGAGGAGAAGAGAGAGAATCAAGAATGATACATCATGTTTTGGGTTAGTACTAGTACAGCAGTTCAGTCTGACGGCCGATTGAACGGACGAAAAGCAGTTTTTATGACGTATAAACACTCTGCAGGTCGGCCTGCTACGCACTCTGCATAGTGAGGAAATATAGAGTCAGTTTGAGGCTTTGAGGTTTGCGATCGAGGATGTGCTTCATTAAGGTAGCATGTTACAAGCACTGCCGAGCAACTACCGTGGCTATTTTTGTCACAATCATCGGGCAGGCCGTCGGCCCATCAGAAGAACGCGGTCGAACTTCAAATGCTTAGCGCTTAGCGCTTGCAACACTGGAACAAATATTGCCTCGAGGCGTTAATGGCTTGTTATTTCATATAAATGATATGGGACTAGATCTTATTTTACACCACTTCAACTACTAGTATTCACAATGAGCAAAGGCAAATCGTCGAGAGGTTCGACTCAACAAACCCATAATTCTAACGAAACAACAGCAGGTGAAGGTCCGGTACGTAGCTCATGAGGATCACATAGTTCACTCCACTCCAAATACTGACATTGACGCATCCTTCGTCTAGCATCGAACCCGTGGCAAAGTCAATCGTTTTTTAGGGAAGGTCAAGGACGGTGTAAACAAGTTAAGACCCTCTGTGAGTCCACGAGCATCGTAGTGACTGTCCTGGAATACGGCTAAGATTGGCATAAGCGCTCGAAGGATTCCCGCAGTCGCAGCCCTGTTCCCCCGAATGTCAATCAAGAAGGTGTTTCAACGACCTCGGTAAGTTCTCATACTTGCCCTCCAGTTTCTGCGCTCTCTAAATTCTGGTGGTCGTGCACGTTCAGGCGGCTCCGTCTGGTGTGGAGGTGGAGGCTGATACCCGATCGGCGCTTCAGGTTACTCAAGAAGCTGTAGAGGTCATGCATTCACTTTCGGGACATGCGACAACCGTGATCTCCCTTGTTCAAGGCGCACAAGAGGATCTCGATACTGCGGACAAGTTCCAGGACACTTATCTCAAACCTCTCAAGATATTCGACGATGTTATCGGGAAGATCGCGGATGTATGGACCTTCCTCTCGATGAGAACCGAACTAATATAGTCTCACAGCTACATCCTTATGCAAAGATGGCTCTGGGCGTGTTGTCTTGTGCAGCCAAAGTACGCTTTCATTTTCTCTCTCTCTATCTCAGCCCACTGTGGCTCAACAATCAATTGTACAGATTATTCTAGCGCAAGTGGATTGCGACAGAGCGGTACGCGAACTTCTCGAGAAGTCGTGCCAGGTTTACAGCTTCATAACACAAGACGAGATGATTGGTAAAATCTCGTCGATGCACGCTGTCCTTGGAAAGATTTCTCAGCAGACCCGTGAATGTGCTCAATTTATCAAAGATTATTCGGAGACCAAGAACTTTTGTGAGTCTTAACAAGCTGTTGCACTCTGTACCGTCTCAAGCTTCTACCATTATCACAGGGAAGAGACTTGGAAAGAACGTCTTCGTGGAAACGAAAGATACGATCAAAAAGTACAGTGACGTGTTCAATACGCTCATGGAAAATTTCCGGGACCAGATTTTTCACGACGTGGCCATACACGTCCACCGTATGGGTAAGGGTTCAGACGTCCTTGTGACTTCACATATATCCATATCTTTTCAGAAGAAACATTGGACCTCAGCGGTATGACTTATGCAGATGGTGCGGGACTAGATACCGGAAAAGAATGCCTTGAAGGGACCCGCACGGAAATCCTTTCCCAGATTGCGGAATGGGTCAACAGCACTGGGGACAACGTTCCACGCGTGCTGTGGCTATCTGGCCCTGCAGGTAAGGGCAAATCGGCCATCGCCCACACCATTGCTAAGTGGTTCAACGACGTGGGAGGGCTTGGTTCGTGCTACTGTTTTGACCGCCAGCGAGAAGCAGATCGTCGCCATGAGAAGATCTTTTCCACGATCGCGCTCGACCTGGCTGACCGTGATCCGGAGATGAGGCGGGAATTGGCAAATGCAGTTAAGACCGCGAATTCGCTGAAGAAGACAGCGGATATCGTCCAGCAATGGCAGAAGCTTCTTATCGAACCACTGAAGAAGTCATCTGGGTCAACTGGGGAACCCATCGTGATCGTGATCGATGCACTAGACGAGAGCGGTAGAGCAGAGACACGGAAAGGCCTCCTCCGCATTCTAGCTGGCAAACATCAAAACCCTGACGTTCCCAAAATCACAGACCTCCCAGACAACTTCCGCTTCATCGTTACCTCTCGCCCGCTTGGTGACATCAATGACGAGTTTCGTGGTGCTCAGCATATTCGACAGATGTCGATGGATGGCATTCCACGAGAATTTGCAGAGCGCGACATCCGTGCTTACGTATCCAAGGAATTGGAAGGGCCTGATTTCCAGGATAGAGAGTTCGCAGTCCTCGCTGAGAAAGCCGATGGTCTTTTCGAGTGGGCGCGTCTCGCCTGCAGATATATCAAAGAGTCCAATATGGTATCCCCAAAGGTTTGCTACGAGGGTGTGGTGTCACGTGATGCTGCTGAGGGAAGCCCGCTATTGCACGACATGTATCGCCTCATTTTAGAAGATATCATTATCGGGGATCCATCTTTGCATTCGCAGAAACAGCGTTCGACTGCATTGGCGATATTTCGCTCAGTGATGGGACAAATACTAGTCACAGCTGAACCACTTCCTTTAGCTTCCCTGAATGCCATGAGGCGCCATTTTCCAACGCAAGAGGACAATTTTGACATGGAGTTTGTGGTAAAAAGGATGGGCTCCCTCCTCAGCGGCACCGCCACCCCCAGATTCCCCAATCCGACCCCTTCACGCATCTTTCCACGATTTCTTGACGGACGAACGATCCAGTGGAGAGTTTTTCATCGACCTGTCTAAGGCGCAACGCGACCTTGCATTCGCATCACTTCGAGTGATGAAAGACGGTCTTCGCTTCAATATCTGTGATTTAAAGTCATCGTATCTGCCTAATAGCGAAGATCCCGGGCTGCAAGAACGAGTCCAAAAATGCATCTCCCCACATCTGTCATATTCATCTCGATTTTGGATGTCGCACGTACGAACCACAGCCTTCGAAAAGGAACTCGCGAAAGAAGTGAAACTGTTATTTGACCACGAGCGGGTGTTTTTCTGGTTGGAGTCACTCGCCCTGACCAATGCGCTCAGCGGTGCAGTTCGTGCCCTTCCACCCATTGCCCAGTGGCTGAAAGTGAGCACATTGCTACTATGTGTCAGATAAAGCGCTCATGCTCAACTACAGGGCGATTCCGAATTCAAAGATGTCTCGTCGACTGCAATGGACGTACAGAGGTTCATTCAAGTCTTCGGCGGCATGATTTTACACAGCACACCACATCTGTATATATCAGCACTCTCATTCTCGCCTGCCAACTCTCCGCTATCGAGAAGGTTTTCTGCACGTTTTCCGAATACTCTTCGTGTCGCATCTGGACGTGATATAAACTGGCCAGCTGTTCAGACCGTGCTCAGGGGGCACACTTCTTCAGTTCGGTCGGTCTCGTTCTCGCCGGACGGCACTCGCATCGTCACTGGTTCTTCGGACAACACTGTTCGGCTGTGGGATGCAGGGACGGGGGAGCCAGTTGGTGAGCCCTTGCGGCACACTTCTTCAGTTTACTCGGTCTCGTTCTCACCGGACGGCACTCGCATCGTCACTGGTTCGGAGGATAAGACTGTTCGGCTGTGGGATGCAGGGACGGGGGAGCCAGTCGGTGAGCCCTTGCGGGGGCACACTCATTCAATTTGGTCGGTCTCGTTCTCGCCGGACGGCACTCGCATCGTCTCTGGTTCAAGGGATAACACTGTTCGGCTGTGGGATGCAGGGACGGGGGAGCCAGTCGGTGAGCCCTTGCGGGGGCACACTGATTGGGTTAACTCGGTCTCGTTTTCGCCGGACGGCACTCGCATCGTGACTGGTTCAAAGGATAAGACTATTCGGCTGTGGGATGCAGGGACGGGGGAGCCAGTTGGTGAACCCTTGCAGGGGGACACTGATGAAGTTTGGTCGGTCTCGTTCTCGCCGGACGGCACTCGCATCGCTGGTTCAAAGGATAAGACTGCTCGGCTGTGGGATGCGAGGACAGGGGAGCCAGTCGGTGAGCCCTTGCGGGGGCACACTCGTTCAGTTCGGTCGGTCTCGTTCTCGCCGGACGGCACTCGCATCGTCACTGGTTCTTTCGATAACACCGTTCGGCTGTGGGATGCAGGGACGGGCGAGCCAGTCGGTGAACCCTTGCGGGGGCACACTCATTCAATTTGGTCGGTCTCGTTCTCGCCGGACGGCACTCGCATCGTCTCTGGTTCTTTGGATAATACTGTTCGGCTGTGGGATGCAGGGACGGGGGAGCCAGTCGGCGAGCCCTTGTGGGGGCACACACATTCAGTTAACTCGGTCTCATTTTCGTCAGACGGCACTCGCATCATCACTGGTTCCTCGGACAAGACTATTCGGCTGTGGAATGCAGCGACGGGGAAGCCAGTCGGTGAGCCCTTGCGGGGGCACACTGGTCCAATTCGGTCGGTCTCATTCTCGCCGGACGGCACTCGTATCGTCACTGGTTCAAGGGATAAGACTGTTCGGCTGTGGGATGCAGGAACGGGGGAGTTGGTCGGTAAGCCCTTGCGTGGACACACTGAATCAGTTAATTCGGTCTCGTTCTCGCCGGACGGCACTCGCATCGTCACTGGTTCTTGGGATAAGACTGTTCGGCTGTGGAATACAGCAACGAGGCAGGCAGTCGGTGAGCCCTTGCGTGGGCACACTGAATCAGTTAATTCGGTCTCGTTCTCGCCGGACGGCACTCGCATTGTCACTGGTTCGGAGGATGAGACTGTTCGGCTGTGGGATACAGGGACGGGGGAGCCAGTCGGTGAACCCTTGCGGCACACTGCTGAAGTTAACTCGGTGTCGTTCTCGCCGGACGGCATTCACATTGTCACTGGCTCGAAGGATGGCACCGTTCGTCTATGGGATACAACGACGGGGAGCACTGTTCGTCTGTGGGATACAGGGATGGGGCAGCCAGTCGGCGGGCTCTTGTGGGGGTACACACATTCAGTCAACTCGGTCTCGTTCTCGCCGGATGGCACTCGCATCGTAACTGGTTCAATGGATAAGACTGCTCGGCTGTGGGATGTAGGGACGGGGGAGCCAGTCGGCGAGCCCTCGCGGGGGCACACTCATTCGGTTAAGTCGGTCTCGTTCTCCCCGGACGGTACTCGCATTGTCACTGGTTCGGAGGATAAGACTATTCGGCTGTGGAATGCAGTGATGAGGCAGCCGTCGCAACAGTGCGCCGTGTCAGATCCTTCAGCATTCTCAGATGAACATCGCACGATCGAGGCCACAACTACCATGACATTAAACACTTGCAACAATCACCTCATTTCCTTCTCGTCCAACTCCATCCATGCGCTGCGCAACACTTCTGAGTTAATGGAGGGAGCATCCCATGACAACCGCAGTTCGACCCCCATCTTCCTGGATAGTGACAGTGGATGGGTTGTAGGACCCAAACATCGGCTGTTATTCTGGGTCCCACCCGCTTCTCGACATCCATTTTATAGCCCTGGCACTTTATTAGTGATGCCCAGAGGAGGTCCCGAGCTTGATTTGAACCGCATGGCACATGGACAATGCTGGCAAAAGTGCCGAAAGGAGTAAGTCTCTTCAAAGCCCTTTCTGTTCCTCGCACTTACTAAAATCAACACTTGCAGACCTTAGTACTGTGATGATCCTATTCTAGCGAATCCGTGCTTCCTCACAGCGGACTGAGAAGCTGAACAGAAGGACATCGTTGTTGCGGTCATCTGTGGTGTTCAAGTCCCCATTGCACCGAGTACATTCATAAAGCCTGAGAAAACGGGGTGGGACGAAATATATAGTTCACTGTGTTCACTGTAAAATACAACATGCGATCGCGATATCCAAGACGATGGCAGTGAGAACGAGAGCAAAACGATGTGTGTGATGATGATGATGTGAGCTGTAAGCTGTGCGGCGTGACAAAACAGTTGGAGGAAAAAAGGCACTGGGCAAGAGCAAGCGAACGGGAGACAAAATTGAGGCAATGCGAAGAGTAGAAGTTCCAGCACGATAAATCAGATTGAATTAAGGGTGATATTGGGCGCAAATGCACCAGGGTGTCACAACGGGCGTCCTCATCATGGAGCTCTTCGATAGTCAGTTTCTGGAAATTCAACAGGAAGAGTCTAAGGACTGCAATTGAGTTCCATAAGTCTGCATTGAACTCGTGATAAAGGAGTGACAATGTGAATATTTGCATGTGACTAGGAGAAACAGACTGCGACTCACGAAGCTGTTGGGAGGGCATTTATAATACAGTTACTACGCGTCTTCAACATATATAGTTATTGGATGGTGCAAATTCGTGGCCCATTTTATCCTCTCCGAAGCAAAAAATAGGAGGGCTCAGCCGCTGTAGTGGTGTCTCCGTTTCCACTCCAGAGGTGTAGCTACGTTTGATCTGGCGGCATAAAAGATGGAAGTATTGTGCAGGCGTGGTCGGGAACACTAGTAAGTTAGGGTTCCGGGAATTTGCACCAGGCAAATTTGCCCAGCTAATTTACCCTGCAAATTTACCGTGAATGACAGTGTCAATTTCACACCCTCGAAAACATAGTGTCAATTTGGGTGAATTTGTTTCTACTGGACCCAGAACACCTGAAAAGCTTGAATATGATATACTGTAGAGTTACGACCATAGCTTCGCACCCTTTTGGGTGTGACCATGTCACCCTTAGCTTCGCAGCTTCGTAGCCCCTTGTGACGTGTGATGCACCCAAATTAGCTTCGCCTCAACCGTGATTGATATGGGTTTGCAACCACCTTCCTCTTCCTTTCGGTGCTGACATAGACCGAAAGATCCTCAGGTCGTTACCTTGGGCCATCTGACATGGGCATTTTCCCGATGGATATGAAAAGCAGGCAGCTGCATCACATGTGAGTTTGACCTTTCCTCAGCATGTCTGTCATTTTTGACCCATCAGAATGGATCTCGTGCGGCCGCTCCTTTCCTCACATCAGCAAACTACCATGTTTGTCTACAGAAGACTTAAATTTGCATTCTCGCTACAGCCAACCACAGAACTTCACAGTACACACAAAGCTCACAGCATACAGTAGCTACAGCACCACTTACTTCCAGTCACTCACAGAGTCACAGTTACTCAATTACAGCAATCTTGGCTTCAAGTTGCAAGTGCTATAATCACACAGTAGTAGTATATACTATATTCCGCACTATTTACATCACTCGCAGTAGCGCGCTGAAAATTACGAACCAATGCAACAACATATATTTTGGACATATAAACGATATCACAAGAATCTACATAGTGCGTAGTATATATTGAACATGAAAAAAATGACGAAAGTGCCGCCAACAAACAGAATTAATCAAGCTGAGTGGTGACATGCCATGCATTTTCTAAGTTATCTGTGATGTGTTCAGACATCAGTTCATCCTGGGGTACCATCATAACAAGCTTACCGGCGTGCAAACATCCTTGTCCGGATAGAGGGGCCTGAGCGTGAGGAGTCCAACCGTGCCTCTTGAAGGCAACTCGCATATATCCTAGGCCAAGGTCCGCATCATCCACCCTCTTCCCCGCAGTTTCAGCTTGGAATCTCAACAAGCTTGACAGAACCTCATGTTCTTGTAGTATCGAATCGGCGAGGGCCTTCTCAGCTTGGAAAACATCGCGCTTCGCTCTTATGAGGTCCATCATCAGGTTTGCTTCACCATCAGATGGATCTCTGACGGACTGTTGAAATGCCAATTATTTTGAGATTTTACGAAAACATTGAAAGACTGACTCACCATAGCATTGAAATTGTCAACAACTTCCAATATATCGGACATACCACTAGTAGTGTGATAACTGGTGTGCGGATTCGAACGACGTGGCTCGCGAGAGTCCCCATTGCTGTTGCGGTAGGCCTGAAGAGAATTTCGCGAGTGTGAACCAGAAGTGCTGACTGATAAGGATTGTAGAGTAGAAATGGTCATCGCAATATGTGAAGAAGGATTATCGGAAAATGCCGGGCCTGTGACTTGTTCGGGACTTCGCACATTGACGACCTCAGCATGCCCGAAGCTTCAAGTTATTGTCCTTCGTGCGGCAAAAAATTCAAAGATCACTCATCTGTTGCTCGCCATATGAGTCAGCCCTTATCCGGGTGTAATACATGGCTCAATGACCTGATCCAACTCGAGCAATCCAGCTGCTCCCCAGAAGATGCCATGGAAGTGGACGACATCGCCGAACCTTACATATCCGATTCCTATGAACCAGTGGGATTCATGGATTCGGATGATGTTTTTGGTGAAGGAGAGAGTGTGGAGAGAACACATCAGGACAACATACAGGATGAGAGCAGCGAAGTTACAGACCATTTTCCCAATCCCCCGCTTGCCTTCGAGGACGGATACACATTTTTGAGCCTCTTTGACTCCGACGAGAACAGTATATATCGCAAGACGAACCTCTATTATCCGTTCAGCTCTCGGAAAGAATGGCAAATTTCATCATGGCTTCTGCGCTTGGGATTAAGCATGGGGAAGATAGATGCATTTCTAGGCCTCGAAATGGTGAGTGTCTCCCAACTTCAAGGTCATCGCTACGGCTTACATTAAAGAGTATCTAGATCAAGGACTTATCTTTATCGTTCCACTCAGCAAGAGAGTTACGGGGCTGAGCTGAAATGTTGCCCAGTGGTCCACGCTGGAAGTTGCAAGTGATCACTACAATGCATCCTATGAAGTCGCCCGTTGTTCTGTACTGGCGTGATCCTCTCGAGTGCATCTCGAATATCTTCAACCATCCACTGTTTCACGATCATATGGACTACAGCGCTCGCAGAGTATATATTTGTGCGCAGAAAGCCTGCCGTGTATATACTGAATGGATGACAGGAAATTGTGCTTGGGAAATTCAGGTGCGTAACATATCGAAGGGCGAAATCAATAGCTCATATTTCCTTGAAGTCTGCTTTACCTGCGGGTGCAACCCTCCTCGGCACGATTTTATCCTCGGACAAGACTACTATTTCATCATTGACAGGCGATCACGTCGCTCATCCACTCCTCATCAGCCTTGCCAATCTACACATGAACACATGCTCGAAATTGTCGACCCACTCTTTTGTCCTCACTGCGCTTCTACCTGTCCCAAAGTTCATTCACAAGAAAAAACACATGAAGGGTGTGTTGCAGGATCGTCTTATCCACCAATGCCTCGACATCATTTTGCATCCACTGAAACAGGCTGCTGAACATGGTATCATGTTGTCTGATCCCATCGGGCGCAGTCGCTATTGCTTTACTACCCTCGCAAGTTATATTGTCGATATGCCCGAAGCAATGATGCTGGCGGCTGTTGGGGGGAAAACATCTCCCGTGACGATGGTGATGTATACACAGTTTGGAGACAGCTTCTGGCATGAACCTAGGACAAGATCGACGACTCTCGCCCAGCTTGCTGTTATTCACTCACATGCTGATCCAAATGATCTCGAGGCTTATTTCCGTGAAGCCCAGAAATTTCGCCTGAATGGTGTCGACAAGCCATTCTGGAGCAACTGGATATTTGCAGATCCTTCCCATTTTCTTACCCCCGAAATCCTCCACCACATCCATAAAGAGTTCTATGACCATGATGCCCAATGGCTCATTGTATCCGTCGGAGAATCTGAAATTGATTTTCGATTCTCTGTTCTACAGCCCATCACCGGGTTTCGGCACTTTCGTGAAGGGATATCGAAGTTGAAACAAGTCACTGGTTGTTGTCACCGTGACATCCAGCGATCTATTATTGCAGTGAGTGTGGATGCAGCACCCCCGGTGTCCTTGCTGCAGTACGCTGCGCTCATGCAATTCCGTTACCTTGTGCAGTCGCCGCACATTAACGAGAACGATCTCAAGCTTATCTCCGGTGCACTGGACAAATTCCATGCGAAGAAGGACACAATTATTGCTGCTGGGGCTCGTCGGGGGCACCGCAATAAAGCCATCAATAATTGGCATATACCTAAGCTTGAATTGATGCAGAACATTGTCCCCAGCATTCACAACAGCGGCGTCATGAGCCAATGGACTGCAGACATCACTGAACATGCACACATCACAGAGATTAAGGACCCTGCAAGATCTAGCAACAACGTCAACTATGATCCGCAGATCTGTCGACATCTCGACCGAGCTGACAAGTGTCGTCGATTCGAGCTCACCACCAACCTTTTAGATCATGATCAAAGCTTGCACTCGCAAGTGCAGGATGTCAACATAGACCCTAAAGACGATGTTGACACCGACGCTGACGAAACTATTGAGTGTCTGTCTACAGTCCATTCATCTGGATACTCACGTCCCATCACCGACTATTTTTCTATTGCTAGGAAGCTCCAGCATATGGATTTGGTACCCTTACCTCTACGCTCATTCGTCATCGAACACACCGCCTTCCATCTTTCCTACGATCCTGCCATTAGGAAGGTCACTGTCGATGAGATTGCCAACAAGTTCGGCCTTCCTGATCTGCGGTCAGCTATCGCTGATTACCTTCAACGTGAGGCCACCTTTGGACATCAATACATTCATCCAATAGGTGGTCCTAGAAGAGCCGGACATTCTGCTATACTTCCTTTTGACAACCTCCAAGTATGGATCAAAATCCGGCTTCAAGACACGGAATTTCATGATCCTCGTAGTATTCGACCTGCTCAGACACTGAACTGCACACCACCTGGTGGCCCCTGGATTTTGGGTCATTACGACACAATCATTGTCCAGACTGAAGCAGGGTACTCTTGGCCGACTAGCGGTTTTTCAGGTAAGCTTCTGTCTTGTCTCATGCTGAAACATCAATCTAATTTAATTTAATTCAATTCATCTCCCATCTCCTCAGGTCACGCCGTAGCACAGCTTCGACTTATCATGTGTCCCGTGGCCAAACAGTGGCACCCCTTCAACATGGAAAGATCAGTTCTTGACTTACGTCCAACACTTTAATATCTCTGGTGATCGCGACCCTGATCACACAGCTGCATTTGCTCAAGAGAGCAAAGCGCTCTAATGGGACTCGCATAGGGGATGTTGTACCTGTCTCTCAATTAAGGGCACCTGTCAATCTCGTTCCATGTTTTGGCGCTGTTGCGGACATGCGTCTCACTGCATACAACAGTTTGGAACATGTGTCGGAGTTCTGGTTGAATCACTTTTGGGATAAAAATACCTTTTTCCCTCTATCAGCATAGGAATATGTACATGATCTATCCTGAATAAGACTAGTATGTACCTGATCTATCCTCAATAGACAAATCTTGTGATGATGTTTCCTTATGGTGTGAAGTGCTGGCATGTCATTGTCATTGTTCACCTAGTCTCTCAACAACCATGCCATACACATGCGCCCAACCTCGGTCTGTAGACTATGGGATGAAACTTTCATCTCTGATGTCTGCACCCAAGATAAATGATGTTCCTACCATGGATGCACTCACCGAAAGGGAACTCGATGGTTTGATTTTACAGGAACCTGATGGGCACCTCAGCCATGTACTTTCCTTAATATTCAAAACCTTTAGCCCTACAATCCCTCTTGCAAATTCACTTACTGTTCCTTTAAATACCAAAACTCCACTTTACCTTCGTAATTTCAGGAAAAAACAAAATTTCACCAACAAGGGCGAAACCGAGTCAGTGTCACTGTACGATACTGTGAATCACTGTTGGAACTGGGCGCTTCCCACACGCGAGCGGCGTGCTAGCAAGTCACCTGACAAAAGTGGGCAGGATCTCAGAGAGGATGAGGAGGAGGATGAAGAGGACGAAGAACAGGACTCGGAAGAAGAAGGGAATGATGGCAAGGTAGCAGTTGGCATAGACCCCGACAACTCACTGGCAGACCTGCCTGATGTTGACACAGCACCGCCGCTGCCTGGGACCAATATCATCATCATCGATCAGTGATGAGACGAAGCTTCGCAGGGTTCTTCAATACTGTTCGCCGTTGCCCTCAGCTGCAGCAAATGACAAGCTCACCCAATTCAATCCCAGTGGAGTGATACGGACATGGAGCGGTGTGAACTCCACGCGCCCAGTCAAGGACAACGAAATCAAGTGCAAACCCGATTTAGCCTTACTAGATGACGTGGAGGCTAGGTGGGATATGATTAAGGCGGTGTGTGAGTTGACATCCCAAAAGTATGTTGATTGTTGATCTACCTGTGCAAAAACTGTGAGCTGATTTTCCGAAGGTACCATCCTACCTCTACTATTGCTAAGACTATCGATAGCAAGGCATACCTTCTTTTAAGGCGCCAGCCCTGGAGACACTTCGTTTTGCTCCTCTCAGTTTGCAATGGGTATCAAGATCTTCACGTGCATTTGTATGATCACTCGGGTGGTATCGTAACCCCTTGCATCAATATCGACTGGGATCCGGACAGATTCTTACATACCTTCTCGTGCATCATTTTTGGCGGCCTCGAGTGCATTGGGTATGATCCTACCATCAGTATCTTTACTAAGACGCTTCAGCCCGGCCAGCTCCAACATTCCTCCACCTTCACTCGTCCTACCACTGGAACTGCCAAATACGATCTAAAACAACCGAACAAGAGCGCACCTGTCATCCTCGAGAGTGGTGCTTTGGCAGATGATCCCATATCCAAGCCAGAGGGTCCTGAGCCATCGGTTCTGTCCAAACATCCCCTGCCTGAAGATCCTGAAGATCCTGAAAACCCTCTCCTGGAAGAACTCCTCCCTGAAGACCTCCTCCTCCAGGAAGGTCTTCCTTCGCCCCTTCCTGCAGATCCCCTCCTCGCGCCTCTTCCAGAGCCAATTGGAAAAATTCGAGTCAACCATCACTACTACGATATCCTGGAAGCCATGTTCTCTAGCCAAGGCCTTGTCGGTCATGGCACTGTGTGCTACTTGACAAGGAGGGGCGAGGAGGAATACATTATAAAGGATCATTGGGTTTTAGGGAGTAAGGAGGACGTGTTGAATGAGGTCATCATGTTGAACGAGATGAAGGGGGTTCGTGGCGTACCCGAGCTTGTTGAGCACTGGCTCGTCGAGATCGGACCTGGGGAGGTCGATGAAACAGAGAAGTATCGCTATAAAACACTGGAGAGTATAGAAGGTACCTTCCGCACTCATATCCGGCTGGTTTTGAAGCCCCGTGCACGACCATTGCATATGTTCCGCACAAAGGCAGAGTTAGTGAGTGCGATCCGGGATATCGTCGCCAGTAAGTACACGCCATGCGATGATATCCAAATTTTTGACTTACCTTTTTCTAGTTCAAAAGATAGCGGTCGAAAAGCGAGGTATTCTGCATCGAGATTGCAGCCTTAACAACTCTATGATCGAGGACGACGGTAATGGCTCTCATGGCACAATGATAGATTGGGAATTTCCCGTGCGTGTTCTTCAGAGCAATTGCTACCCTATCGGTGGTACGGTCAGTGTTTTACTCCCTGACTCTGTTTTCGATGGACAACTGCTCACAAAATGACCATGGGCACAGTACCATTCATGTCACAGAAGCTTCTTCACCAGCTCTCGGATGTCATTCCTTTGGTGACTGCACAGAAGAAAACTCGAAAGAAAGCTTCATGTTCAGAGACCGCAACAGGCTACAGTTGATCATGCACACTTTTTCTGATGATCTCGAATCCCTCTTTTACGTCTTCGCCTGGATCTGCATTGAATTCAGGGGTCCCCTCGGGATGAAACGGGTCCTCAAGTCTAGGGCCAATAGAACCGAATGGCTACCACGTGCATGGTCCATCAACTCTTACGCGGAGTGTGACCAAGCTAAGACGGGGTTCTTTTTCCACTCGGAGGATTTGGAGAAGCTTGAAAAGCAGATTCATCCCTACTTCAAAAATCTCATTCCACTTGCAAAAGAATGGTACGGGCTGATGAGGAACAATGGCAACCCAGATTCAGTACCCTTTGATGCTGTGCTCGAGATGTTGAATAGACATCTCGCAGAGCTTCCAAAGGACGAACCATCCCCTGAGTTATTATTTGCCAAAACAATCCTCAAGCGAAAACGGTGTAGAGACTCCATTGTGAGTAGCCTCACAAAGGCTGTATTTCCACTTCGTCTCCACTAACGCGCGCTATATATGACAAGGCGACTTAAACGCGCTAAACGCGCGACGCTTCCGCCTAATCTGCGCATCTGGCGCCTATAGCGCGCCTCTATAGCGCCTTTCGCGTTACTATGGCGCCTTTGCGCGCGCTTTCGCGCTTTACCTTCGCGTTCGCTTTTCCAAGTTGCCTGTCCTCCACACGTCCTGTCCTGTCCCTCTATGATCCGCTGGTGCGTCTCCCTTTATCTTTTCAACTGACTTTAGCTATATACCTCGTCTGTTTACACATATTTCCTTATTCTACAACACAACAACTCTTTTTCGCTTTGCTTCCGCTTCGGCTCAGCGCCTGGGAACATTTACCTTAGACATGGGGACTCTGATAGATTTTTCACTTACTTACTTACTTACTCACTACATCCCATCATCCTGCATCAGTGTATACTGTGAATCAATTTCTATTCATTTGCAACACAACCACTGCGCGACTCTCTATTCTTTTGCAACAAGCTCTCTTGAGAAAATCTGGAGAGACCTTCGCGCTACTTCCGCCTCTTCACTAACGTCTATAGCGCGCTTGTTCCGCCTCGTGGTTCCGCCTACGTCGCGCTTTCGCCTTTCGTCGCGTTAACGCGCGTTTCGCGTTTACAAGGCGTCTCGCACCCGCGCTTTGCGCAGATTCCCTTGCTGACTCGTTCAGCGCATCCCCTCGCATTTACTCGAGGAAAAGACTCAGTAAAGATCCTCTTGGGCCGACTTCTACTCGTGTTCGAGGACTACTGCAGGCGACTTATCTTATATTTTTCAGTATAGACCCACTCACGATTCCTCATCTTCAGCGCTAATGAGGCGGAAAGTGCGGAAAGTGCACTTCGTGCGATCACAACAGAGTGCTTCGAGTAGAGGTGACAATCAAATGGGGGAATCAGGACTTTGATAGATGTAGAAGTAGGCACTTAAAGGTGTCAAAGCGCCAATAGGAGGGAAATAGGTGTATTCAGATAGAAACTCAAGCTATACACTTCGATGGTAGTGGAGCGGAACTAAGTGACAGGAAAATGAACATGGTGACGTGTAGGTATGCTAAGCGAGTTCCCACGGCTCGGAGCCGAATAGGAAGTACTAAGGTAAATGGTGAGGTAAGTCAGGGTCCATAATGAGATATGATGATAAGTACTAGTGCCTGCGTGACGGAGTATGAGTTCTGAAGAAGGAAAAATGCACCAATGGACCTTGGAGGACTAGGACAGGACATGCGGAGGACAGGCGACGGATCTTAAGGAAATGCGACAAAGTGCACTGCAACGCACTCGAGCGCACTCGAAAGCGCTGGTATGCACCAAAGCACGCATTGCAAGGATATCGGGTGCATCGTGAAAAGGCGTGAATTTGGCCCATATGAGCCTGCAGAAATGCAAGTCTCTACACCAAGATCTCTTTGTGGACGCATCATATTCCAGGCTTTTGCATCTTGGCATGCAGGTCCATCATTTAACCTCTCGTTTGATAGCCTTACGAGCTGTGAGGCCTTGCAATGACTTCGGGATGTGCAGAAGAACCAGCCAGACCTCTAGATGAAGATTTCGACTCACCAATACAAACTTTCAGAGCAGCATGGTGTCGCAGATGCAGATGAAGAGCCAGCATTCACAGACGATGCTGACGCTGATGCCTTGGATGGAAGTGGTGTAGCAATTGAGGCCATCTTGCAGCATATTGCAGATGGCAGCAGCCAGGACCAGCTGGCAGGCTACAGTGTCGATGATGGCAGCTCACTTATCACACATAACGAGGCGAAGGTGTACAAGTCAGAAGTTGCAGGACATGCTCAGGTTGCCAAAGCTTTGAACATGGGTGAGGGAGGAGAGGAAAACAAAGAGATCCCTGGTTTCGGGAGAGGACAGCGCAGGCACACCATGAACACCTTGTATAATGATTTTTGGTCTCACTAATCAGTTGTCTACAGCGATTTTTTTTGATTTTTTTTCATATTTTACCATATGTCACAAAATAGCTTCGATTCATTGGAGGATGGGACACATGACAAAGTTATGGTCGTAACTGTCGGAAATTTCTAAAGGGGGCTTGGAAGGCTGCTATATTTGGACTGAATTTTGATGCCTGCCAATGACATTGCATCCAAGATGCAAGTCGGACCGAGTCTATTTCAAGCCTCTGGCAAAAGCGTGGAGTTATTTTGGTGTTTTGCAAGGTGCCAGGGTTGGCGTTCCAACAAGCTGACAAAGTTCCAAGGGGGTTGGAATCAGCTGCCGGAATATTTGAATCAGTGTACAAGACATGTGAAATATCACAACCGCAGAAATTGAGGTGATGTAGAGACTCGCGTTTCTGTGGGCTCATATGGGCTCATTTTACGAATTCTGACAACTGGTCTTCATGGCACGACTCGCACTATCATCCACTATGACTTTCACCATGGAGCGCACCACTTCCCGCGAAACGCGCCATAGGCGCGACACTTTCCCGCACAACGCGCAGTATTCCTGCGTGTGCGCCTTGCGCGCTTTCTCGCGCTCAAGCGCACTATGTCGCACAGCATCCAGGGGCATCCATCCATCGTCCAACCAGTCCCTCAGTATGTCCCTTTTCGTTATCTGACCATATTTGGCATATTACACTTCCCATTTCGTTATGCACCCTTACTTTACATCACCTTACCTCACATTACATACTTAGAGCACTCCCTATTCGGCTCCGAGCCCTGGGAAAGTGCTTAGGTAGAACTTACATACTCTCATGTTCGTTTTACACCCAACTATGACACCTTACCTTCCTACCACTTAGTATCTATCACCAGTTAGTTCCATGCAATGCATGTGTCCATCATCGTTTTGAGGCCCTAGCATCAGTCTATAGCTAGTGGCACTGTCAGTATCCGTCTAGATCCGCGCTTTTCCTCTTATCAGTCTCAGTATCTGTCTTCTACACTTGTGCACCACTTGCACTACCTTCCTGCGCTTCGCGCACTTTCGCACTTCGCTTTCCCGCACGCGCTTTCTCGCTGCTTTCACCGCCATTCACCAGGGTTGTTCAGCATCATCCCGTGGATCCTTGCTTTCCTTGCTTCCCCTTTAGGGTCAAACGTTCTTGCATTCTGCAAGTATAGCAGCTAGGCAGAGCTGAGACTCACTTATACTGGCTGAGCACTTTTCTTATATGTGCCTGCCAGGTTGTGATACCCACAGTGATAACGAATAATAAAACATAACAAAGTAGGTTCATCTTCTGGACATACAACACTAGCTTTAGATATCAGATCGTGCATGTTGTGCATGCGCAATAGGCGATTAAATCGTCATCCCGGTACAAAAAATGACAAAAGAATCACGTGACTTGCCTCATGTCTGAATCAGGTGAATTCAATCGACTTAATAATCAATATCCTGATTCAGATAATACAATCTCTCTTAGACTCATACACCGTATTGTGACAACTGCCATCAATAACAATCACTCTCTGACTGTTCATTCTGTATTCTATATGTCTGAGCTAATATCTACCAACAGACGCACATATGTACAGTCGACATCATCTGCGCAGGTACAATGCAAGTTTTGTCAGGAATCTTTCTCTACTCGTGGCATCAAGTCCCACGAGGGGAGCTGTTCACGGAAGCGGGAGAAGAAATGGCGCAACAAGGAGTTTGCTGAGGCTGCAGCTCAGGTACTTGAGACCCAAAAGAAAGGTATGTCGTGCCAATAAATTCGTTTGATTTGTTACTTATGAGTCTAATTAAATTTTACATTGCAATGATCAGAAAATCACAGAGATCAACGATGACTCCAAAAGGAACGTCAAGCAGCTGCAACTAGTCATGCTGGACCTACAGATCTTCTGATCGTGGATCCTTCACAATCAGCGGATGATCAGCACATCAATGACACAACAAATGTTGAATATGTTGATAACACTTTGCATGATGACGTGGTGTATGGCACTGCTGACGATATTATGAGTATTGGGGGAGATTCAAGACTACGTATGTATATCACTCTTGCACATTTTGTTTCTAATCAAGTTTTATTAGGATCAGGCTCGGACACAAGCATGTCGACAAGTATAATTGGGTCTGTAGCAGCAACTGCAGTCCCTATCACTTCTGACACGTTCAAAACTGAGTATCACCCAAACAGTGGACATGCCCCAACCATTGAGACCTTCTCGACCTTTGGACAGTCCATCAAGGCAGAGGCTAGCTCCCCACCCATCGTCGATAATAAACCATGGGAACCTTTTACTTGTCGCGCAGATTTTGAGTTCGCGGAACTCACGCACAAAGCAGCACTCAATAAGGATCAAACAGACAAGATGCTGCAGTTGATATGGCAGATCGCCAAGGGTCATGCAAAGTTCACGTTCAGATCTCATGCTGAAGTGTCCAAAGCTTGGGATCAAGCAGCCACCCAGATGACGCCTGTAAGCTATTTCAAAATTTGTTTGCTGTATTACTGAGTGTTTAGGTATGATTTGTTGTACAGTTTGAGAAGCATGTCATCTCGGTCCCATACAAGAAAGAGGAACTAGAATTTGATGTACATACACAGCCGCTGTGGGATTGGGCTTTGGACTTGCTGCAAGATCCATTGCTAGCGCCACACTTTGTTTGGGATGTGCAGTGTCTATACAAACATGATGGTATCGATTTCAAACAGTTTATTTATGAACCTTGGACTGCAGATCAGTGGTGGCAAATTCAAGTATGCATTGTCATGTATTCGTGCTTTGTATCATGCTGCTAATAGTATATTATTTGTGTTCAATTCATTGTAGTCATCATTGCCGAACAATGGTGTTCCGTTTGCTTTCATCCTCTACGCTGACAAAACCCATTTCACCGTGTCTGGGCATGTGAAGGCATACCCAGTAATAGCCCGCTGCGCGAATCTTCCTGTTCACATAAGAAATGGTGACGGAATTGGAGGAGGCCGTGTGGTCGGCTGGCTACCAATTGTAAGTGTTTGAGTACTAATAGTATATACTCAATGTCAGTCTCTTGTATTAACACATGTTCACGCACAAATTCTACAGGTTCCTACAGATTCTAACAATGATGGCAAGCTCAGCTATACGAATCTTAAACGTGTCATCTGGCACAAGGCGTTTATCAAGTTGTTGGAGTCCATTATCCTGTGCTCCAAAACAGGTTTTGCACACAAATGTTTCAATACCACCATGTGGTGGTTATACCCACTAATTCTACTTCTGTCTGCAGATTATGAAGAACAGTACGTGTTCTCGAGGGTTATATCACATTTCAATATCTCACATTTTGACAGATGTGTGATGGCGCTAATACATGGGCTGAATTCAAATTGTCCCTGCCCTGTCTGTCTCATTCCCTCGACCAAACTTACTGATCTCAGAACAGCATATCCTACTCGAACCGTTGAGGACACGAAAGCTTTCCTAGAGTTATATTCAAGGGACCGCGTTGCTGGAGAAGCAGTACTGAAGGTATACGGTTTACGTCCTATTGCAGTTTGTGTTTAATTGCTTTCATAGCTATTATAATCAACTTCATTACTACCATCAGAATGCGCTCTGGGAGGTTGAGAACTCCGATCCTCATGAGACTCTCTCATTTGATCCTTTACATGTAAATGACCTCGGTAACTGGGGCGCCCACCTTTTTGAGGAGCTCAAAACCCGCGTGAAGGCTCTTGGTCGTGAAGCTGAGGCGAAGATCGATGAACAGTATTTTTTGTCATTGCTTTGTGCGTTATATCTCTACCAGTACTCTGCAGGTTCAACACATTTCCACGATGGTGTGACTTGAACCATTTCAAGTCTGTCATAACGATATCGTTTAGCGACGGCAACAAACTTAGGGATATTGCTAAGGTGGGGACTATTCGCTATTGTTTCAATAAACCTACTAAACATCCTCTGAACTCTAGCAAATGCTGTATGCAGCGCAAAATGTATTGATGCGCAATGAAGATCCTGTTGGCTATGCACTGTTGCAGTGTATAGCTAGCTACCTGCAACTGACCATGTACATAGCGCTTGATGTACACACTGAAGCCACACTTGCTGCAGGAGAAGCAAAGCTCCTAGTGTTCAAAACACGCCTACATATATCTATATATCACATTTCCTTTGACTTTCAACTGTATCTTAATGTGTTTTTAGGCATATATCGACCTCCAGGGTGAAGATTTGACCAAGAACTGGAATTTTCCCAAGATGCACGCTCTGATATATGCTTTCCCTGACATCCGCATGAAAGGAGCAGCACACAATTTCAGTACTTGACTGAACGAGAAGCAACACGGACCATTGAAGCGAGCATACCTGCGTCAAACAAACCGTAAGGATGTCGCCAATCAGGTGTGCTGTCCCTTGATTCAAACTGATCTTGATACTTAGACTAACATTAATATACAGGTCCTCAAGCTTGATTATATCAGTCTGGTTTCTGAACTGATCCAGAGTCGTATTTCCCAGCTCGATGAAGATCAGCGTAGACGCACAATGTCTGAGGGAGAACTTGAAGATGAGGATACACTAGATGATCAACCGTTCTCAGGTCATCTCCACATCGGTGCTCCTCAAATTCCTGTCAGTCTTGCTGCAGTGGAGGAAGGCAACACATCAAATCGCACATTTCAGGATTTCCGAAAGAAGTTCGCAAAGTTCCTGAATAATTTCTTTGTTTCAAACAACATTCCTTTGGCCGATGGCATTACATGGTTACGGCCTACAGCTAATGACAAGGTTGTTTCATTCATCTGCATCCTTCTGAATGTCTACTGATTACTGTTTATTATTACAGCTCCAAGAACATCGCTACCTCAAGGTAAACTATGAGTCTACTGTCGATTGGAAACTGGCTACCGACTATCTCCGATGTAATCCAAGTTTCCACAGGTGTGAACATTGTGATTGTGCCTTGATCCGCACCCTTGACAAAGACGGGAACAACAAGAATATCTTTGTCCGGATATTGTTTATGTTCAAGTTTACAGTCAGCAATCATGCTCTCGAACTCACATTAGTCTTACCTATGGATGCTCCCACTGGTTCAAGACGCAGCGTGGACCGTGATCTAGGGCTAACTCGTCTTCGGGCACGCCCTCTAGCTTCATCCGAATTCATTTCCCTACAATATATCATTTGCGGCGCGTCACTTGTACCAGACTATGATCGGGATGGTGACTTTTTCCTTGTCGATCTTGTTGATATGGACATGTTCCTCCGTACAAAAGGTTTGAGGTCCTCCTAGGTATTAAATGCCTTAGTGTTTTCAGATGCATGATGCTTAGACCGCTATTACAGGTACCCGCAAATATCAATTACATTGTGCCTCCTCCTGCCATCGATAAGATGTATCTGGTCACTCATGGAGGTAAGTGGGCTGTCCATTTACGTCGACTTACTTCTGACTATCAATGGACCGTGCAGCCTTAGTACATGTTTGTATACTGTGTGAGAGAGCGCAGTTAAATCTGGTAAGCATCAAAATTTATATAAATGTCTTATGGGAAATTTGAAAGCCTCAGGCAAAGCTCCACGTCCTCGCCTCTCTCTGAATCATGCCTCAGCCACGGCGACACCAAGCTGCAGACAATTCAGACTTTGAAAGCAGCTCAAACATCAATGAGGACTTGACGGACTCTGATTCCTCCACTGACTCAGATGAAGACCTCATGCAGGTACACGCTGCTATTGCACCTGCTGGAGATGGTGCAACTATTCAGGAAGTTCGCCAGGTGTGTCTTATGATTGTTAATGGTGTCGTTTTGCATTGTACTCACATACATTCAGGCACTTGAACTCACACAGAACCTACTACTGAATATGCGTGGCAAATGCCGAGAGTTACTGAAATGGAATGCACTTCTCGAGGCTTCTACAGCCAAAGGACGAGGGCGGAAGAACCTGACCGCCAAGGATCTTGCACTATCTGCTAAAGAAGATACCGTACGGGCTCACGGGCACAAATATTCCATGACGCACTGTCTATGGATCAATGCCAAAATTTTTCCCTTGCATGCGCCTCCTAACATTGAACTCTTTGGCAGCGAGCGCTGGCTGTCGCCACAGTCAATAGAGGATGGCGTAAAGGCAGAGTTATATAAGTTCATCCCAGAAGTCGATCATGAGTTGATGGGCTACAAGAACTTTGCACCGCATGTAAGCAGTCTCTCTCAGCTTTAAATTTAGTTAAAGTAACTTCAACTGACTCCAATCGTGGTAGTTTGCGAAGGGCGTCAGTGGCATTCGCTCAGAAATGGTTTCAGACATCAAATCTTGCGCAGGTGCTATTTTTGGGTTGAATTCCCAAATTTTTTGTTCAAGGCTACCCTCGTGACACCCAGCCAGAATGCCATGCTTTGCTTGTGAATCCTCATGGCGAACACACAAAGTTTGCTCCCGTACTCTTTCTTCATCCAGAGTGTCCCAACAAAGATGAATTTCTCAAAACAGCAAAGCTTGTTCGGGTGTGTATGTTCTTAGTATGTAAATGAGCAAGGTCTTGATTGCCTGGCTTCTACCATTAGGTCTTGAAAGTCACACTTTTCGGGAAATCCTCGCTTTCGGCTACCTATGCTCCAGCTCCAAAGACTAAAGGCAAACTTTGGCAATTACGGAGTACTACTCCAGGTATGATTGCTGCTGCTGCTGTTGTTGTGAGTCTTCGTTCATCATTGTATCTCTGAGTGTGTGCTGATTATTATGTTTGTGTGACTGGCAGGCAATATTTGTTCTTTCGGGCGACAAAGACTTGTATGTGAAGGGTGAAAAAAGCAATATCATGTACCACCAATATCACAACTACTATCGCCAACGTCTAATGACTGGAGGCACCTGGGCGCGAGACATTCTTACCTTTTTCAACAATGCCCTCTTTCCTGAAACCTCATCCTCATATGTCAATCTGGACATGGCAGAAACAGGTGCTTCCCACAACACTTGGGAGGAGGAATTTGAGCGTGCCATGGAAGAGGGAGGTGATGGACCAGCTTTTCAATTTGATCCTATCATTGCACCTGATGCCCAGTCTTCTGCCCATGTCACACGCCCATCATCTACCTCCATCACACACCCATCATTGGCAGCCGTCGCACGCACACCATCTGCCTCCGTCACACTGCCTGTCATTGCCCCTGTTGTACCTCCACCTGTTTCTGTGACTGCTCCCATTGCTTTCAAGCCCTCTGTTCCTGCACCATCCAACTCCATTTCTTCAGCAATGCAAGACCTCACCTTGGGAGATGGTCCTCCACTTGTAGAGCCTAATATGGTTGGGGCTGTCCCCCCGAAGCCCAAACCAAAGCCAAGGCACAAAGCCAAAGCAGATGAATCAGGTGCTGAGGTTCGCAGGTCTGGCCGCAAGAAGTGACAATATATTGCACCCGCTATAGATATGTCTCTCTACACTCATGCTCACACACACTTTCAGATATCTTCTTTACTGTGATTCATGTTTCTTGTCGTTTAGATTATCTCTTCAATCATAGTTGTGTCTTTTGATTTCATCTATGAGGATACCCTTCTTGTTTTGATCGTCGATGATTGCAAACATTTGAGCTTGCCGGACTCTCAGAACACCAAGTACGAGAGCAAAGAGCTTCACAAGAAGTTTAGATTTGTCGGTGAAATTGACCTACCTGAAAGTCAGTGGCTCAATTTGTGAATTAACCTTCACCTTAATAGCTTTTCTTTTCAGGCGAGGATTCTGAATCACCTTTGCTCAAAGAATGACCCAAGCCACATATTGCAGTAACATATCTCCGTATTATACGAGTGGACGGACGTGCATAATATCCCGTATGATATGGGCCAGCGGACCATGGGCCGAGGGTAGATATATCCTCGACTGTGACGGATGGGCCGGGAGTGTTATTATTCCCGATGGAGACGGGTGGGCCCAGGTGGGGAATATGTAAAGTAGATGGGTGGGCCGATGGACATGAATTTTCAATAGACGGATCGGCCGAGGTAGTTGGATATTATGTAGATGGGTGTACCAAGGTAGATATGTATCAAATAGCCGGGTATATCAAGGGTGCTTGTTATCACATAGACAGGTGGGCCCAGATATATATCATATTAGACGGGTGGGCCGACGAATTAATATTATTTTGTAGACGGGTGGGCGAGGGAGTGGTAAAAGATGTATTATATACAGGGTGGGCCGACGGGAGACATATATTGCATAGATGGGTAGGCCGACGTGGGGGTATATAAGATAGACGGGTGGGCCCAGGAGAATGATAATTGTAGACATGATGGAGCTCAGCTAGTTGTATATCATCCAAATCAAAGGAGGTGATTATTCAAAGTCATCTAATGATGTGGTATGGCACTGGAGCTTTGCAAAGGGGTGAAGTGGAAACTCGAGCGAAGTGTACCGAGTTCCGAGACCCGGGTCTCGACAAACGAATATGTGATGTCCAGCACACTTCCGATCATCTGGTATTTCATTGAGCAATGGATGATAATAGATCTTTGAAAGCCAACATCATCCAAGCCTACCAAATGCCAAATGCCAAGTTCCGACCACCGAAAATTGAGTGAAGTGTACCAATATCTGAGCCCCAACTATCGAATCCCGAAAATCGACCATCGAGTCCCGACTATCGAGTCCCAACTACCGAGTCATGAAACCCGACGCCTGACCATTGAATCCCGACAATCGAGTATCGAGTCCCGACCAACGAGTCCCGTATCGAGTCCCGAGACCCGAGATTCGAGACCCGAGATTCGAGACCCGAGATTCGAGATTCGAGACAAGTTCCAACTATGGTGTCCCGGGTATCAAAATCGAGTGAAGTGTACCGAGATCCGAGGCCCGGGTCTCGACAAACGAGTATCTGACATCCAACAGACTTCCAATCATGTGGTATTTCATTGAGCAATAGATGATAAGAGAAATAGATCTTTGAAAGCTCAGATCATCCAAGGCTCCCTTATCTGATCCTCTCAATCTCCACCCCCTTTAACACCAAAGTGCGGACATTCAGGATTCAGCTTCTGATCTCACAAGATCAATTCAATCATGGATGTTTCTTCCACTTCCGATGATGAAATAACCCTCTTGCGCACTTGGGCCCTGACTGTCACTCATGTGGCATGTGATTATATGGAACAGAAATTCAATGCAGAGAAGACAGGAGGAGACCCAGTTATACCTTCTCCAAACCTAGACACTGATCTGGTGATGGCTTGTGGTCAATTGGTTGATCGGCTCATAAAGGCATATAAAAATCCCAGTGAGTCTTCCTGCAGATTCGGAAAATTCGTTTTATCAGTCAAATTGCTTCATCACAGTTCAGATGCCAATCGATATTGCAAGATATAGCAAATTGATCTCCCCAAAGGACACGGGGCGTAATGAAGAGAGAGAGGAAAAGTTGCTCGAGAGGTGTCCTCCTGGCCATGAGGGCACAAAGTTGATCGACATACCCGTGACAATTCTTGATGCATCCGGTGCCATCATCGCATGGTACCTCCCAGACGCCTTGACCGATGCCACCCAGGTGTGTTATATATATTGTGACTGGATGGATATTGAACATCAAATGGTACGTACAGAATGAAATTTGGGCAGCCTCGGATTTGCTAGCTCCCATGCTTGAACAAAGCATAAAGCTCGATGGGATTTGGCGGACTAATCAACAGTGGTTCACACCAAGCTCGGAAAATGATGTCCTAACTCCCGGATGCGTTAATTTATCTCCGGCATGGTTTCAGCAGGGGCACGAGGTAGGATCTGATGAGATGGCGATCTCAGTAGTTAAACTCACCAATCCCATAGAATCAGTCCGATCCGGAGGTATCTGCATCATTGAAGGGACCATCCTCCGAGAACATCCTCAAAGCCATTGCGAGGCCAGCAGCCATTGCCACAGTGGCACTCAGGGTGATGCATCCTGAGCAGTACTGGGCAGGGTTGCAAGCCTTTGCGAGCCTCGGAGAAAAGGCACGAAGCAAGGAACTGCCGAAGATGTCAGAGACTCTCCAGTACTGGGCAACGGTGTTTAACAGCCTCACCGTCATATGCAATCGGGAAACCCTGAATCATCGAGACCCCTCATCGATTTCCGAATGCTTCGATATTCTCACTAGCGTGGGGAATTATTCTAATGCTCGGATGAGTATGCCAAGCCTGCAGCTGGAGTTAAGGTATGATCCGGGGTGCATGATTGCATTTTCGGGAAGGATTGTCAGACACGCGGTTCATGCAGTGGAAGGGGATCGGATTGCCTGGGCATGGTATATGAGGGATGCTGTTCATGTTTATGCTGGGATTCCATCGTGTGGATGGGCAAGGTTGGATTGGAAGAAGTAGAAAGGTAGTTACCCGTGTTAGTACCCACCTTCAAATACATGATACTAGATGTCAGGCACTCCATACTCAACATTCGGGTTTCGGGTCTTGATAGTCGGGACTCGATATTTGAGTATATTCCATAGTGATATTGTACACATTTCACCGACTACTGAGTACTGGGTTTCGGGTTTCGGTACACAGTACCCGGTACTTGATAGTCGGGACTCGATATTTGATTTCACCGACTACCGAGTACCGGTTCGGGTTTCGGGTTTCGGTACACGGTACCCGGTACTTGATAGTCGGGACTCGATATTCAATTTCACCAACTACCGAGTACCGGGTTTCAGGGTTCGGTACACGGTACCCAGGTACTCGGTGATTCAAGAAAACAACTCCCAAAATTGATGAGTGTCATGTTTTGAGTTTTGTTTCGATTTGTTTCGAGTGTCGAATCTCGGGCTTCGGGCTTCGTGTTTCGGGTCTCGATAATAGGGACTCGATACTCGATGGTCAGCACTCACATCTCGGGCTTTGGGAGTCGATTGTCGGGACTCGATAGTGCGGATTTGGGTTTCAAGACTCGGTACCCGGTACTCGGGTTTCGGTACTCAGTGATTCAAGAAAGTGTCGTGGTGTTTGGAGTTTTGATTTGTTTCGTGTCGAATCTCGGGCTTCAGGCTTCTTGGGTTTTGGGTCTCAATATTGGGGACTTGATACTCGATGGTCGGCACTCAAATCTCGGGCTTCGGGAGTCGATTGTCAGGACTCGGGTTTCAAGACTCGATTGTCGGGACTCGATGGTTGGGACTCGATAGTCGGGCTGTGGGACTCGATTGTCAGGACTCGGTGGGGACTCAAAGCTCGCAACTCATAGCAATGTTCGAGTTTCAAGTCTCATCTCGAATCTTGGGCTTTGGGACTGGATATCCGGGACTCTATGTTTGGGACTCAATATTTGGGACTCAAGATATCTGGATCTTGATACTCGATATTTGGTATGCAGGACTCAGCATATAGCAATAGGTCAGATATTCGAAAGTCAGTATGTAATTTTCAGTACTTATTTCATCATGTAAAGAATTTAGACTTCAACATTCTGAACTGAAGGACTAGAACTACTCTGGTCCCCTTGGGTTCAATTTGGTTAGGATGGCGGTGTACATCTGAATCTGCCATCTTTTCACGGATGCCAGCTTGTTGATCCTCAATCACTGTCAGGAGGCGTTCCCTCATCCACCTCAGTGCCTTCAGCGTTGCAAGCGAGCTTTCATCCACCTGCTCGGGAACAACAAGATGTTCGTCCTCAACGCCAGACTAGAAAGGATTAGTCATCACTCAAGGAAATTCTGTAAAAGTCTTACTAGCCAATGCTGGTAGTGACAGACACAATTAGCGAATACCTGATCCCATGGCCATAATTCGTTCAGGATGGCAGTTGATCTGGTCCACCATGGAGTACCATAGGTGGATACAATGCGGGAGGGATCCCCCAGATCTGCAACGTCTTGAAACTGGCATAGGTGGGATGAAAAGATGTGGTCCAGAACCATGTTCCAGGTGAGCTTGGGAATCAACTGAAGAATATGAGCAACCGGGCTCGGAACAACCGAAATGATGTTCCTTGCAGCTGAGTACTGCAGGATGGGAGTCACAAAAGTCTGTTGGAAATGTCAGTATTGACCACCACAGTCATCAGCCTCTTACAGCTATCTCCCATTGCAGCCCGGCTTTAAAGTGCGTGATCCGAGTAGCAGATGGCTCCTGGGTGTGGGCAGCCTCCATCTGATATTGAGAGATGGACGCTCGGATGCGAGATGCAGCCATTGACATTGTAGCTGCAATATCTGCCTGAGTGAGTGTGAGGGGTCGGAACCCATTGCCGGAAGTCTGAGAATTAGAAGGGGATGTTGGGGGAGTATGCAATACAGACATGGTTAATGCAGGATTATGAAGCTGGAAATGACAATGACAATGGCAGTTGGTTCGGAGGTCAAGATATGAGCCACTGGTTGATTGATAAAAATTTTCAAACTCCAACATGGGTCGACCCGGCCAATTCCCGGGACTCAAATGTTTGGGTCAAAGTAGCTGTTTCATATCGTTGGCAAAAACATTTCATTCATCTCGAGCATCTATAAACCCGGTCTTCAGGTCTTGAAATGCTGCCTGGGCATCCTGTGCCAGCAATGAATACATTTGGGATTGCCTTCCCGAGTAGCATGCATGACCCGGAAGGTGTTTCACCAATGATTCGCGCATCCTGTCACCCCATTGGGTTGCTTTCCACAGAAAAATGTTACATGTCCAATCCATCTCCAATTGGACCAACATCATTTCTTCCTTCCATCGATCCCATAGTGCCTTTGCCCGGAGCCAATGAACTCGGTAAACTTCGGATGACTCCGTCAGCTGAGTGCGGGACACATCAAGCATGCCCGAACTCACATTCCTCATTCCACGAGTGATCGGGACCCCCAAGGTCGACTTCAACTGACCAGAACCAAGCGAGGGACTCGTTTCGCTGACCTCGGGCATTTGGATCGCCGACGGCAGTGCTGATTTTGAGTTGCTCTCGAAGCAGGGGTTTGTATTTCTGAACCTGGTCTTGCCCTGGCTCCAGTTGCATCATTTGCTTCCTCGTCTTTGTATATATACTGGCATGGAGGGACACTGCCTGCTGCACTGACGTCACCTGGGACCAAGCTCGAGTTTTCAGGGCCTGGGATTTGGCTTGCCTAACTGTTGTTCGAAACAGAATCGCCTTGTTGCACAAGTGAATTCGGAGGTTGTGAAGGGAGTCATTGGCCTGCCCTTCACGAAGAGACATCTCCAGCGGAATGAGATCGTCTGCCATACAGCGTCTGCATCGATCTACCCCGAGGTTTGATGGCAATGGGATTACAGTGAGCTCAGGGGAGTTTGCCCATGTGTCAGATGTCTCGGTGAAGTCTGCCAAGTCATCATCGAGATCATCAAGAATGTCCAAGTACAAGTCTTCAGGATCTTCATCTGCATCAAATCCCTCTCCGAGATGCGTAATAGCAGACCGAGTGAATCCATCTATCTGGCCTTGGAGACGATCGCGTTGCCGGGCGATGTCTAACTTCTGTGTCTCGGTAGTTCTTCTACCAATTCTTCGGACCTCGATGAGCAATGCAATTTGAGCCTCTTCAATCGCCAACCCCATTGATATCCATGTCGCCACAGACCTGCGAGCAGGTGCTGCATTTCGGGCATTACCCTCCTCTAGTAGCCTAAGCTCGATCTCCTTTTTGCTCGGTGCTGAATGCAAAATTAATTCAGACTTTGATGGAGACAAAGTCAACTAACCCTTCTTGATATTAATCTCATATACATCCATAGCCGCAGGATTATTTATTCTGCTGGACTGAGCGATCCTCTCGCTGGCTAGCCACTCTGTCTTTGAATTGCCGGGGTGCTGCTTCATTGAGTATGTCGAAAGCCTTTTCACTTTCGGCAATGCCATTCTTCGCCTGCTTGTATTTTCGGCAAAGGGTCCTTTTCATGCGGATCATCTTGCAGAAATTGGAATCATTCATCTGATAATCGAGACATTCCTTTCGATGCGGGGATGACATTCCCCGAGCAGCAGGGGAAATCAGGTTGAGACGTGACCATAGGGTCTCCATGATCTCTCCATCAATCCGACCGATGCCTTCAATAAAATTCGACGCATATCGGACATAGCAGCTGTCCTGATGTCCGTGGATGTGCCACAACCCGATTCCGGGAATGATGGTCAATTCCGGAACCATTTTGAGAAATCGGCTTCGATCCACCCAAACCCGAAAGTGCTTGTTGTATTGACAGTTGATATCATAGAAGGTGACCGCCCTGGTGATGCCTTCCATGTTGTGCCGGGTAGCCTCACAAAGGGCATAGTCCATGTTCATTTGTCTGCAAATGATGCATGGTTAACTCGTGAATATCGAATGGCTGGGTCGGCTTGCCTTTCGCCTTTCTGAAAATCTACCATCGAGTGAGGAACAAAGCAACCGTGTCTCGCACAGGCTACTCCCCCCGATACCCGTGGATTCCAGCTTGTGCCGAGCCGCATTTGCTTGATTTACTGCCCTGGTGATTGTTGCAGCTTGATTTTTCTAAAGTGTCGGCAGCCTCTGCAAGATGCATTTTATACCTGTCCTTTCCCACCATGAATCCCAACCCATCTGACAGCCAAACTTCATCAAATGGCTTCATGGGATGCAGGTGTTCAGCTTTGAAATTTCCATCCATAACAAATGACCGGGTGTATTTCCACCTTGGAGTTGTTATTATCGCTGAGGTGACTTCGGTATCGAGGAAGACTCACTCATCAAGTGATTCATGCCCTGAGAAGGACACATTAATCCCAGGCTGAAGGACATGCCAGGCAAAATAATGCGAGATCTCCTGCATTCGGCTGTCGGAACAATGGCCGAAGCCATGCCATTTCATCATCTTCAACTGCCTCCACTGTTGGGCGACTCTCATGAGCTCTCGGTATCGGTCCTTGCCACATGCTTGTCAATATAATGTCCTTTAGATGAGAGATATATGGCATTACTGGTACAAGGTGTGGAAACATGCTCGAGGTCATTCGCCGGAGCTTGCTGTAATAGTTCATCGCCGAGGTCCCACATTCAAGGTTGTCCAATAGAAAATCATCGAGAACCCTGAAGGTGAACAAAGTCTTCGGCTTGTTAAATGAAGCGGGGAAAAATCCATGTTGAAACATTTGAAGGTCTGGACTCATGGCATTTGGACAATCGCAGCATCGAACCTGGAGGTGATGAACTCCGGACTTGTCAATGATGACCATGGTGTTTTCCTTCGGCTGGAACTCAGGTCCCGACACAGATGGTAGATCTTCAGGCTCAAGCTGGTCTTTCGGTTCGTCTTCTTTGAACAAATCCCACCTATCTGTAAGTACCGGACATTGTTTGCCCTCATGACCAAGGTGTATGACAAGTCCGACATGAGCAGAGACAACTTTGCTCGAAGAATTGACCATTCCATTGACTGATCCAGTGGAAGGGATTGCAAAGATGTTGACTTCTGCAACAGCCAGTGCAATAGAGTGGCTCCACAAGACAATCTTGACATTTGTAGACCCCATCCTGGTCGCAGATGACACATCTCCTATCTTCTGGTGGAGCTTCTGGATCCAGGAGGTGATGCAGATATGATTTTTGCCTTGGCAGCCATTGCCTGAGGTAGTCATTCTGACTCTGCATTTGTTACACTTAGCTATCATTTGAATTGCAATGCAACATTTTACAAACTTGCCATGGTTTTTGGAAGTTGCAATGGCTCAAATGAGCCTTGGTCTTGCTCGTAAGTGTTGTCAGGAATGTCTTCCCAAAGAGGTGGTGCCTCAACAGGTCGAAGTGTTGGTGATTCTGGGGGAGAGCTAGGCATGGACCTGTAGACACGTCTTTTTGTGCTTGCAAGTGGGACCTTGACCCAAATTTTCCTACCTCTGCCGCCCCTTGCTTCTACCCTGTGGGATTTTTGCAATGGGGTGCATCTGTCATATCCCGTATTCCGGACCCACGTCCGATGATGTTCCAACGCCTTCCAGATGCACATCTGGACCTCCATACCCTTATCCATGACTCCATACCCTTATCCGTGCCTTCAGTCCTCCAGTCCACTATCGGTTTGGATCCGTACACCTTCGTACATCCATATATCCATACCTTTGGACCTCCGCAGCTAAGCCTGCTTCATCCACCCTTGGTCCTATCGGATCCGAGCTCATTCCATCTTGGACTCTACCTTCCCTAGACTATCAGTCTATATCCATGATCCATATCCTAGTCTCGTCTTCACCTAGATCCCTGGATCCACTCATCCAATATCCAGACGCTTCATCCGATATCTCTAGACCTCCGGATCTGACCTATACTCATACCCGAGGCCCAAACCTTAAATCAGCGTCTATCTCCTTATGGTAATCCCCTTGACTCCGGACTTCGGTTATCTCTGTTCCCGTCTTGCTTATTGATCCTTGTACTCTGTTCATATCCGAGTTCATTTACTTATGTTCCGTTCATACTTACTAATATGTTTCCACATGCTTGTACATAGCATTTGTATTCAGCTTACTGATCCTCTCGGATCCCTTCCAGTATATAAACCTCTGTACAACTCCCGTAAAGTTTCCTTAGTTCGAATATCAACATAGATTTGCTCTCTCGCATCTTAGACTTCACTCATTCTGATCTCAGACTTCACTCATTCTGATCTCAGACTTCACTCATTCTGATCTCAGACTTCACTCATTCTGATCTCGGACTTCAGTCCATCTTAGTATTGCCTTTCCTTAGGCCTAGGGAAGGATTCCCTAGGCCGACTTTCTGGTCTTCCGGATTTATCCTTCCATCTACATCCATGCTTAGGGATTGACTCCCTAAGCCAGAGTTTTGCCTTTCTGGCACTTCCTGTCTTTCCGAGACTTCTGTCTAAACCCTGTTTATCCGACTCTACCATAGTGTAGTCTACCTCTGTTTGTTTCTACTCTGGACCTTGTCCATAGTAGCCTTTCCCCTCCTGTCCTAATCCTGTCTGCTCCTCCGGTCCTGGTAAACCTTCAGACCTTCGGACGTCATAACCTTCGGATGTCGTAACCTTCGGACGACGTACCCTTCAGACGTCTTAACCTTCGGACCTCCGGATGTCCTGTTCTTCGGACCACTCCTCCTATCCTATCCTGCTTTGGACTCTGTCCCTTGCAGCCTATCCTCTATGTGTTTCTATCTAGGGAACTTACCTTGGGAAGTCTTACCTTCGGATCTAATACAGTGGATGAAACTCCTCCGGAGTTTCCTATACTCCTCCGGAAGTTTCTTGCATTCATCCAGAAATCCTCTCACACTCTACTAGAGTAGCCAGCCTCTGGAAGTCCTTCAGACTTCGTCAGATTCCATCTGGACTTCATTCTGAAATTAAGGGCACGTACTCGGGTAAGGGGCACAGCGCACAAGCTGAGGCCAAGCCCTTCGGATCCGTCTACCCTTGAGCTACAGTCTTAACAGCATCTACCTATCTTCATGTTTTTTCGAAGGCTGCAAGCAAAGCATTAGCTCAGGAATGTGAATAAATTGTTATTGCAATGTGATGTTATGCAGTCTTGATGTGTCATTACAAATTCATTTCCAATAATGGAATTGCATCCAATATGGGTCAATTAACCAACTGTTAGGCTTTGCTCAAAAGTTGAACTTGTCACCATTATTACTTCCACCTTGCTCATCCTCAGCCCTTTCTGCAATCTCATTCACAATGGCAAGATCAGGTCATTCCACTCAGTTGACTTTCACTTCTGGAAGACATAGGGCGTGTCAACCGCAGACACAGAAGCTCATGGATAATGAAATTTCGGAGTTGAAGAACTACCTTCCTGAGTGGACTTTGGCGAAAAGGAATGAGAAAAGGGCAGTTTTCACTGCCATAGCTAGGGCTGCCAGGCTATTTGCTCCCAAGGTCGACCAAGCACAATGGAAGAAGAGGAAGCAGGTGATTCATCCTTGCTTCATTCAAAACTAAAATTTTAACATCTTATTCTTCCATGAACTCTCAGATGTACAAGACATGGTTGTTCAACAACCAGAAAAAGAAGGAGAGGAAGGACATGATAAAGTATGGGAGTAAATGGACTCCTAGGCAGGTGATCTACCAGCAGAAATGGGAGGAGGTGCTGAAGAGGATTGAGGACGAGTCCGGGGCAAAGCCAGGAGGTCCCAGTATGTTCAAGCATTATCAGGCAGCTGTAAAAGAGTCATGGCTGAATTGTCTGACGACGAGTTGGAGAAGGCAAAAGACACGGCTGAAGAATGGTCCAACAACTTTCCTCCTCCCGAGATACAAGCACAAGTGGCTCGTAAGAAGGGATGGGCGTATATGGAGCACTTTTCGAAGGAGATGTGGAGGCAATGTGGGATGAGAGTGTTTGTGATGTCGGCGTGGAAGAATGAACAGGGAGAGGTGCTGTTCGGGATGTAAGTCAATTTTATCATCACAGATCTTCGATCTCAATACATTTCATGCAGGCACGATGATAACGAGGCATTAGGAGATGGGGAAAGTTTCATGAAGACAAAGGACTGAGAGGACATTGAGCCAGTTTGGCAGGAGTATGCGCAGGAACAATTCAGTGAGTGTTTGATCTCTGGCTACTGGAATGAATTAGTTGATCTTCGTCATGATAGGTGCCGGGGCACAAGATGGTGGGCGACAGGTGAAGGGAGGTTGAAAGAGAATCAGGAAGCCTGCTTTCGAACTCGAAATCGATGGGGATGGGATGCCAGTGCTTCCCGACATCACCGAAACGAAACTCGAGGAGAAGAAAGCCATTGTCAGAGCATTTCTCACATCTCACTATTATGAGTCCATCATCGCAACACCCCGAACATTTGTTGAATGCATTTATACAGGTATCTGTTCCGGGATTGACAAGGCAGTTGTGCCATGGAGTGCCATCATACAAAGTCAGGATGACTTTGTGGCAAGAAAGTATGTTCTGGTGGATGTGGACTTGAAGGAACCTTCGAAGTTGCAACATTGGGACACGACCGCCTTACTGAATTTCTGGTATGCTCGGCAGGAGAAAGGGGAAGGTCCAACATTCCTGTTCAAAGCATGGAAGAACAGAGATGGGGACATGGTAGCCTCGGTTGTATCTAGGGATTCGCCTTCTCATCGGACTCGTAAAGTCAGACAAGTTATGATCCGAAGGCCTCAGAATTCGGCAACCGAAACTGACAGTGATCCCGAGACCGATCACGAGAGTGATCCAGAGAGCAATCCCGAGGGCAACACTCATCAGATGGAGGATGATGCTGATGATGACGCATTAGAAGGTAGATCCCCACAAAGAGACCCAGAACAGAGCCTGGTCCTTCAACAGCACATGAAGGGACAGCGGGTCCCACATGCAATTCCAAAGCCTCGCCTGGTCAATGCAGGGAAGACTGGTGCACTGCTGACATCACGAATGGGCGACCTCCTGACTGGACTGACTGAGAGAGTCACTGACAATGTTCAGGAGGATGGTGCAACCGAAAGAGTCAATAGGTCGCCAGCGCGAAGAACATGTGGGGAAAGAAAGTGGTGATTGAGCCCTTGGCAAGGACAACCGGAGTAAGTCAACACAACAGCCATTGGACACAAGCCCTCGAGTGATGAGAGCAAGGGGGAAAGAAATAATGGACTGATACTACACTGCTGCCTTTACCTGCTTGTATTTACATGTTGATGTGTAACTTTCATATATCTGACCTAATATGATATGCCGAGTCCTGACTACTGAATATCAATTATTGAGTCCCAAACATCGAATTCCAACTATCGAACCTCAAGTCCCGAAACCCGAAGCCCGAGATTCGTCAAACACTGAGTCCTGAACATCGAACATCGAGTCCTGAATATCGAGTGCTGAGTGCTTAGTCCCGAGTATCGACTTCTGAATATCAAACATCAAGTCCCGAACATCGACTCCCGACTATTGAGTATCAAGTCCTGAATATCGAACATTGAGTCCCGAACATCGACTCCCGACTATCGAGTATTGAGTCCCGACTATTGAGTCTCGAGTCTGTTCGACACCCAGGGACATGTATTGAGAAATTGGTAGTGTACATGATGTGGGGAATGTCAGTGAAAATTCAGAGGTTGCAATACAGTAATTTACATGGTCATTTGTTCTTCAAAGTGTTCACTCATGGAATCTACTACCTTGAGCATTTCATGCTCATCTGTTCAACTCTTTGCAACCTCTGCAGGTAGGCATCAGCTTTTTTCAGGTTTGTCGGATGTGTTCTGCCAAAGCAGTTTGGAATGGTCGCTCAGCCTCGATCAGTTGTTGGATGGAAGGGTCAGGAAGACCTCCATTATGGTGTTTGTAATCATGGAGTTGATCTTGGACGGATTGGTCTTCCAGAAAGATTAGCACAAAGATAAATGCTCTGCTTTCAGATACTCATATTCTGGGTGTTGGTATTTTCCGAAAGGATGGAGCTCCCGGACCATCAAATGTTCATCCTCAATATCAAGCTCCAGCAGGTCTGCACGAGGTTTGGTAGATGATTTGTTGGCTTGGGAGATAAGATCAGTATCAATAATGGTCTGGAATGAATGGACCCACATGACATAGACACCTCTGAGGTAGCCGGAGCAAAAGTGGGAGGGTCAGCAGAATCCAGCAACTCATAAACATCAATGACATCATCCTCAGGCCCGAGGTACAAGTCTGGATCAATGAGACAGCTGGCATCATCAGCTTGACCTGGATGTGATTGATCTGTGAGGGTGAAGTGAGCATGCATGGTGATCCCTGATCATAAGGAATGTATAGTCATACCAGGTATTGCAGCCGACACATCCGGGGGCCTGGATGATGTAGAATCATATTCCATGTCATCATCCGGCCCAAGGTATAAGTCATCTAAGTCATCTAAGGGATACCCGGTGAATAGATAAGGCATGATAAGAATACAACATACCTAGTGATACCCGGCCCATAGATGAGTCATCCACATCCATAGTGGTATAGTCGGTCAGGGGGTCATTAAATCTAACGGCTGGATGAGAACTCATGTGTGGAGAATTGGTGGACTGATTGACTGATGATCTAAAAAACTTCGAAGTTCAACACAAAGCCGGCAATTGCCGAAAGTTGAACCATGACCAAAAAAACACAAACAATGAACGATTTGTGGATTGCCCATCAAATGTCTTGTTTGTTTAAAACTTCATCTTTCTGATAACTGATTTCAATCTGATTTCAAGATCTTTAAATCTCTCAACTCACTCATCATGTCCACTCCAGTTGACAACTCTTTGACCAATCTCAAGGCATCCACTGCCCAGATCATGGCCATCATCAGTGCCGCCCGGCAGATTCCCCGGGTCCCAGCCACTCGGCTTTGGGAAAACAGGTTGCTACACTTGTGGTATGTATTTGTTTTTTTGTGCTTTTTTGTCATTAACATCTAGGTAGTCTGATGTAGCCAAGGAGTATGGGTCCGGGGATATTCCTATTCCCGGCTCATCATTTCGTTGCTCCAAAGAGCTCCAGCGCATCCGCTGTCTTAATAACCGAGGGTCTTATATAAATACGTGTAAGAATGTAATGACACCACAATTACACTGGATAGACTTCTTGCCAGTCCTCGATTAACACGGTCTAACGACTTTTTTCTTTCGTGGTAGAAACATGTGAGTCTTGGGAGGCTCGCTAAACCAATCAGTCAGATTAACTTAGCCGG